CGGTGGGTTATTTTAATTTATGTCTGAATTAAATTTTTCTGTTTTATTTTTGGATTTTTGTTCATGAAAAATATCGTAAGAGTTAATTTTTGAGATTTGGACTTTTTGTTATGAATTTGAAACTTTGGAATTTTATGACGTGACTTGAAGTCACATTAGGAGATTTAGTGAGGAAAATAGAAAATAAGATGGAAATTGGCAGAGGTTGTGTTGATTGTTAGGTAGTTAGAATGTTGTTTTTATGACTAAATCTTGATGTTTAAAGGTTGATTTTTAGACTTTTATAGTGTATTAACGATAGAAATTATGTTAGAAATGAAGTTTGATGTATTTTTATGGTTAGCTTGTTACTTTTATAGTGTTTTGTAAGGGAATCGTAGGGTAAATTCTGTCTGAACCTTGAATGATTTTTGTTTTCTTAAATGGTGCAAAGTAGTTTTCTAAAACGGATCTTAAGAGCGATTGGTTAGCAAATGTTTAGTTTTAAATACCTCTGACGGCTCTACGAAGCCTATAAATGATAGTGCAATTAGAAAATTTAGAGAGAGAGTAGAAGAAGATTTTATTTGAAGAACTTGTTGAATTTAAAGGCCTTCGGGGTCGAATTGTCGTAAGTTAAAACGTTCTTCTTTTTGAAAGGTTGTTTGGTCGTTGACAGTTTTTAAGTCTGTCATTTATTTTAATAATACTTAAAGCTAAGTATTTGTAAGATTGTTCGGTTTATACTTCTCTCCATTTTTGTTTTGAAATAAATTGTTGTTCGGTTATTTCCCCAAATTTTATTTGGTGTCAAAGTATTAGCGTTAAGTCGACCGGAGTTCAACGAAAGTAGAATCAAAGTTTGTTAAAGTTTTGTAGCTTGATCTCTACACTTTTCATTTCATTACATATAGTTACAGCTACCAAATATCTCTTAGGATAAATATCTACCGTACATTATACTACACATGGCTAACAGTCTACAATCACAATACTAAGCTACATTACATAAGACCTTCGGGGTCGAATTGTCGTAAGTTTAAACGTTCTTCTTTTTGAAAGGTTGTTTGGTTGTTGACAGTTTTACAGTCTGTCACTTATTTTATTAATACTTAAAGTTAAGTATTTGTAAGGTTGTTCGGCTTATGCTTCTCTCCATTTTTTTTGGAATAAATTGTTGATCGATTATTTCCCCTAATTTTATTTGGTGTCAAAGTTTCAGTAAGTCGACTGGTGTGCAACGAAAGTAGAATCAAAGTTTATTAAAGTTTTGTAGCTTGATCTCTACACTTTTGATTTCATTACATTTGGAAGATTAAACAATAATTTTAGAAGGTTATTCCCCGTCGAATTTCTAGATAAATAATGATTTCGATATAAAGCTGTCCAAGAAATCAGTTAACAAATTAGCAGGCGAAGTTACCTTACTTCAAATGTAAATTCGACAAGCAATGGCTAGGGTAGAGTTAATCTACGAAAAAATTTTAAATTTAATTAAGCAAAGCTATAGTGATACTATACAATAAAAATATGTCGGCAAATAGCTAAATATTAAATATTTACTTGTAGCTAGCGAAACATACTGCCTTGAGCTAAATGATGTCTTTCAGGTTTTTCTTCTGATCTTAGCCAAGCAAAATAAATATACAACAGATTAACCTCTGTTAACAGCAGTATCACCCTACAAGGATCAAAATAAAAAACTGTGAACACTACATATAAAACCCTTGAATAATGAATTAAATTTTATGATAGTATATACTTCAATCTAAATTCACAAAGGAGCTTTTAAGAATTGCAAGCTTTGTTTATTATAATAAGCGATTCCATATGCTTAATGCATTCAAAAATAATCAGCTTCTAACCCTTTATCAACGATTGACGTAAGCTTTTCTTTGTACCAGGAAGGTCAACGACTGATATTACCTATGAGTACAAAATAATATTACTTTCATAGTCCTTTCGTTTCTACTCTATAACTTGATTTGAAGTATTGTCATTAAATCGATAGCAAACTTAGTTTATATCAATCATCGACTATCCTTGACGTCACTTCATTACGATAATGAAAATTACTAATGCATAAAATTTGATATACAGCTCGTACCAACGCCAAAACATACGCATATCTTATTATACCAACTAAATCCAAAAGCGGATAAGAAAGCTTTACATTTTAGGTAGCTTCGTTTATAATATTTTCGTAAAATTAATTTTTGACTTAAAAATGATAGAAGAAGCCATAGGATTACTTCGAGGTAATCTCTCTGCTATTTTGGTATCGTGGATTTTTGGCACTGTTGGAGTTTTTGCGAATATTATGGTAATCGGTATTTCACTCCAAAATTTTCTTTTAAAACGTGCTAGGAAAACCAAATATAGCAAAGTCCACACAATCCTCATTATAAATTTGGCTATAGCGGATTTATTTGGTGCTATATACCTGCTAATTATCGCAAGTGCAGATCGCTATTATGCTTTTCACCATTCCTCCATTTTTAGCTGTGTTTTTGCTAATAAGTGCCATAATGCTACTAATATTTGGATAAATACACCCTTTTGTTCACTGGCTCGATTTTTAGCTAATATTGCGACCCACTTACCAGCTTATATGACATTATTTATATTAATTGATAGATATAGCAATATCGTTAAGTCTCATACACCTAAATGTTATAATTTAGCCAAATGGCGTATTGCATTCCTAACAATATTAGCATGGCTGATTTCAATATTTGTGGCTTTTGCTAGCAGCATACGTTCAAATCAAGTTCATAATCCACATAACTTTAAAACAATCATTAATCTGTGTTATTTTACCGATTTAGATGACCCTATATTTCAGATATTTGCATTTCTGGCTTTTTTTATGATTATTATGAGTTACATTTGCACCATGGCCCTTTATGTTATGATTATTGAGTATATTCGTCGCACTAGGCATAGGGTTATTCGTTTTTGCGCTAATATTACTGCCATTCAAAATCGAATTGAAACACGTCTTACATTAGTAACAGGTATTCTGGCAATAACAAATTTAGTCAGTTGGTTACCACTTTTAATTTCGTTTATAGCCAAGTTTCTACGCTGGCCAATAATGACCTCTGAATTCGGTTATTATTTTTCTGTTTTGTCCTTTTTATTGATATTTGTCAACTGTTGTGTGAATCCTGTGAGTTACATGTTTCTATTATCGGGAAGAGTTAAAATTTGCTCTAGTTATTGAAAGCTAGCATTAAATAAATAGTAACGTAAGTTATTTACAGCACTTTTCATAATGACAATTTAAATGCAAGTATAAATCGTTTATATAATTGTGCGTTGATATTTCAATATTCACCTTAAAATACTAACACGAAGTAAATGAGGAAAATTACCTAGCCTACGGTCAAAATATAATAATTATGCTGCTAATAATAAACAGTATTGGTTGTGCATTTTTATTATTACAAACTACGATATAGCAATAATTTGTAGCCCACAGACCGGTCATAATATAATATTGTCACCTAAAAATTTTTCCTTTAAATTGATCAATTCCTAAAAAATTAAAATTTTGAGTTTTCAAAATATATTTCATGAGAAATGCAAAATCATCGATTTTGATGACCTTTATTTCTCTTTTGAAAGATCTATGGTAACAAACTAATACTCTAAATTTAATTTATTTATTTATTCATTATCAAAATCAGATTAGATGTAAGTAATTACTCATGTAGTAAACTTAACAGGATGATATTCTATTCACCGTAACAAATAATTGATCAAATTTAGTATTAATAAATATTTAAAGCTTCGGCCGTCTTTTAGTACGAATAAAATGTACAGGCGGTAATATCTATTGGGCTATAGATTGAACTTTGTTCTGCGCTATTAGAGCCTTTTATAGATAGTAAAATTTACTAGAACTTTTCTTGTCAATGAATCAATTATTAATTTACTTGATAGTTTGATTCTGTTTTCGTTACTAGGACTTCGTGTATTAAGCTAGTAATTCAATAAAGAATAACTTGTGGAAGTGCTCGTAAACTTACTACGCATTATGATGATTTATTGGAGGTCTAATCAGTCCAGTTTAATTCATAAGCTAGAAAAATGGGATTACTTACTTGAACCTGGATAGAAATATGCATAAATTAATGATATTTTAATAACAACTGCAGATAGATGGTAATTCTAGCGAATGCTTGGTAAATTAGTCAGAACCTTTTAAAAGTTCGATAATCTTTAACACTATTTGGCTACCATATTCACAATTTTAGGAGATATTTTAGGAAGCTAAACTATAGAATTTGATGCAGAGACAAACGACGTAAAAGTTTTTTATAGGATTATGAAGCCCTACTCAGACGATATTTAAAATTTTATTTTTCTTATTATTGCAATTGATCCACAAATTTAAAAAAAGTGTTTCTGTATTTATTCTTTGTCGTAAATAGCAGTATTCAGTGTAGAAAATGATGCTAGCAGGCACTCTTATACTTTCTTATTAGTGGATAAATAATTTTTATCAATGAAAGTAAAAAATTTAATTTAGTAGTTCACGTTACCTCTTAAGATAAGCCAGCAGTTATAATAAACATTGATTCAGAATTGGATTCAATTTTCTTCAATAAACGATAAAAATTCGTATTGCAAATAGGGCTGTTGTTGTTCTTAAATTACTGTAAAGAATTAACATAATAATATATACCGGTAATGTGCCAAAATCCTAGAATCGATACAGAAATATAAATACATTGTCAAACAATTAAGGGCCAATGTCGTCCCATTGTTAAAAATTTTAATTTCCAGCAATTATCGGATTTATCCTTCAAATATATGTACCAAAATACGTTGCGATAAGTTAAGTAAAAATATCAGATAAACTACAGCTTTTCCTATGCGTACAAATATCCTTCATTTACGCTTAGCTAAATTAAAAATAATTACTTCCGTAATGGTTTAGCATATAGTTATTGTCAAAATTTAGCTATTAATCTTGCTATGAGTAACACCATTTTTATGAATAAAATAGAATGGTCATTCTGGTTTTGAAATTTATGTACGAAATACAGTGTATCCTGGGTCTTCAATCATTACTAGATTTGGCTCAATAAGAAATTGTTGTTAAAGTCGTTGTACTCTCATAATTAAATTCAAAAGATAAAGATATTATACAAATAAACAGGAACTTCACATTGAAGCTTTATGAACTTGAAGATATTCAAAATTGAAGCACCATCAATTCAACTTCTTATTATAAAAATTCACAATCAGTGTCAGTAGTGTCACGAAATCATTTATCTTTAAGCCAATTGGATATCTAGAACTGAAAGATGATAAATTAAATTCATTTAATAGAATTTGTAACACTTGAACTAAATATAAATAGCAAAAAGACTTTATTATAACATTAGAATAAACAATCTCGTCTATCCGAATTAAACAACAGCTTTTAGAATTGTATTTATCTCGCTGAAAATCCTAGACTCTGACACACTTTAGGCTACAATTGTTATAAATTTAAGATTTTTGGAGACATTACTGAGTAATTTCTTGTCACAAACCAGCTTCGTGACAAAGATAACGTAAAAAAAAATCTCTAAATTACTATAGTCTCCGGGATTCAGTATCCCTTAACTACCTCACAAGAATTCAGATGCCTTTGCTTCTACGCTAAAACAACTATATCATTCTTCTTTTATTCAACTATCTGATGAGCTTAAATAAACTCTTCGGCAGCTTCTATCATGTATGAGTCATAAGAGTTCTTGAAATTTAACTCATATCAGATAACTAAATTAATGCAGACATTATTAATAATTTGGGACATATACTGAACGATTCTAGATAATTATGTTACGGACTAGACTATTAGACTGCAGTATGTCCACACGCATAATTAATTATTTATGGTATCCTCTATAATTGAATATCTTTAGGATATTCATCACAAGCGTTACAAGATATAACACTATAATCAATTAATACCCGTAGCCTTACGAGAACTCTTACTACAATACAGCATAATTTACTGTTACAAAATAATAACTACCGTAGTTCTTACTGTAAGTCATTATTAGTTATCTCCAAATATAAATGTTAAACACTAAATTTAGTCATTTACTCTTCAAAGTGGTTAGTACCGTGACAAGCCTGCAAAATTATACTATCTCTAATGCATCTTCTTAATAAATTATTTTACTGCTATGCCTTTGATCATACTGCATTTATAAAAGGTAATTACAATGAGTTACTTACAGTAGGAACCACTGAAGTTATGAGTAAGTGCGATAAAGCCGTAGGTGATTACTTTGAAGGTTGTAACATTAAATGTGATGAATAAATAAATTATTTTCAAGATATTGAACCAGTCCTATTACTTTTTGAAGGGGCCTCGTACGGTGATGAATTATCTTTTGTAACTCCAATGACAAGATAGCCTAAAATATTTATTTCTTACCTTTTATCTAAAAGAACTATCATTATATCACGTGCCACGGTTTAAAAACGGATTTAATGACATCCAAGACCATAAATTTCCAAAATAGTAGCTAATCCTATTCAATTACAAGTTTTTAACATACTTTAGCAAATTTAACTTCTAGATATTCACACTAGTAAAGGTTTCTGCGTGACTACATTTACTGCACATGCGAATCTTTACCAACTTGACTGATAAATTTACTCAAACATAGTGAATTGTTTCAATCACTAGCTACGCAAAGATTGATCCAAATAACATAAGAAGTAATTGGTATGGGAATATTTCAAGGCAATATAGTAGCAGTTGTTTTATGATGGCTATTTGGATTGATTGGGATAATTTCAATTACGTTCGTATGCCATATTTATATCCATTCAAAATAGATCTTTTAACAACCGAGTCTTTTATGGGTTTAATAGGGCTCATAAAATTTTAGTGTTAATCTGGCTCAAGTAGATTTACTTGGCTGTACATACCTCCTTATTGTTGCTAGCGCTGATCAATACTATGGCCCGTATAATGAATGATCAGCTATTTAGCTGTTACTAAAAGGGAACACGCCACAACGTAACCAATTCCTCAATCATGATCCTACATATTTATCGGCTCGATCTTTTGCTTCCATTGCCACAGCTTTGCCAGCATTTAACACGCTGTTTATGGCAATTGATTGATACACGAAGACCATGAAAGATAAATATCGATGTCATTTAACCAAAAAGCGATGCAGTTTCCTTACTATCTCCACTAGGCTCCTTGTAGCATTACTTGCGGTCGTTAGCATCATTCGATCCCCTCAATCTTATGATCCACATGATTTCTCTAATTTTACGAATATTTGTTGGAATTCAAATCCAGAAGATACTATAACTTAGATTTTTGTAATTTTTGGATTTATCGTTGAAACTGCTTGTTGTTTATTCGCTATACTCTTGTATGTAATCTTTATTGGGCACCTTCAACAACGAAGACTAAAAGTAAGCCCTAAAGATAATAGCATGATAAAATATGGCAAAAAAGCTCAGGTTCGACTGCGCGTTATAGCTGGAATTTTAGCCCTTACTGAGGTACTCAGTTGGATGTTTACATTCGCGAAATTTCTTAGTAATGTTATAATATCAAATGCTGATACATTTATTTTTTATCACTCGTCCATTCTTGTATTCTTAATCATGTTTATCAACTACTATGTCAATCCTGTTATATTAACCATCATGATTTCTAAGAAACCCTAGCTATGAACTTCCTTTTGACGTCGATTGTGAAATTGACTTAACAAAACATAATTACCGGCTTTCAGGGTGATGATTTTAAGTATAGCTTTATTTCTGTGTTAGTTGTATAGTCAATTGTACAGTGTCGCATTTAATTGCGCTGACTATATTTCATTATATATAGAACAGCAGCTCAAACTACGGCTATCTGTGAATTATGTCAGTAGCGGTTAGAGTATTAACAATTTCCATCAGCCACAATCAGAGAGCATAGTTATTGGTAACACTCAGTGCTAGGTATAGGAGCGTATCTATGCTTTACCGTTTTATCATCAACCAAAGCCCACTAACACTCTTTATTCTATGCAATCCATTAAATGTGTGTAGGCGGTAGTAAGATGATTTAATTTCTTGTTAATCATAGTTAACCCAAGTGCAATCACGCATAAATTGAAGCTATGTATGAATAATGAGTTAAAATATTTATTAACGGAAAAGCTATTGAGAATTGTTAAGAACATTAAAGGCCGAGATATTTTCCCTAGAAAGGTATAATAATTAGATTGTATTGTGTTTATTTACAAGTTAGATGGTTCATATATAAATGGAAGCAGTTCTAGTAAGAAAGTGTTATAAATGGGTTCGTACCAATAAAAGTTCAGACTGTAGTGTACTTTACTGTATGTATGCTTTGCTTTTAGTAAAGAGCGTTTAAGTTATTAGATTACTCGTAGGCTTTTGCTTTTTTCCCGTTGTCATAGAGTTAATTTGTGAGAATATAATTTAGTATTAAATAAGAGTGATCCTATATTTTAAGCAAATTCACAGCATAGGCTTCCTTTTCAAGATTAAATAGTTATCATAGGTGCTTTGGCCTATTTTAGAATGTTATCGTATATCTGGCACAGGTAATTAAACTAACCAGGTGTGAACTTGTCCAGATTTATTCTAATACTCTGATTAACTATCTAAATCATATCAGTAATTATTTATATATGCTGGCTTGGCATATAACAGCAATCTTCTTTCATTAGATTTACTTATAAGCAACGTCATTATTAGCAAAGTTTAACTGTCAAAACTATGCGACATATTACATTGACAATAAATACAATTACAAGGTGCCATATGGACATAATACCGCACACTATCCTATCCTATTTCCAAGTCATCCATTACATAAACAGTAATGTGTATGTGGCATCTAATGATTTAATCCGATGAATCAGTTACGTAAAAAAGGCCAACTCAGTTACCGCCTTTAATGCCTTTTAATGACAATTTAAACGCTTAATAATCTATAGTTGTGCTAGTAATAACTCATAAATCTTATCAAATAAATTAGGTTATTACTTCTAATATACGCGCAATTTAACGCTACGTGGCATCAGTATAAAATATACTTTTAAATTAATATCAAATGAGAGATCTCTGGCAGTAATGAGTAAATATTCAAATTTATCGAATTTTAGAGTTTAGATGTAAGATCAAGTTATTATAATATAGGCCTTGATTAATAAATAACTGTACACTCATTCTCTAATCATTATCCAGCTTAATTGGTTTAACATATGTATATTGTGGAATGAATCGATCATCCATGCTAATGATGCTTGTAGTATCTTCAGATTGTAAGTTATCCTGTAAATTATCTTTTATAAAGAGATTTCTATCCACACAAGGCTGATAATTAAGTGTAGCACCACAAGGAGTAACTGCAATGAGAGGATGAGCTGCAATATGAAATAGACAAGATCAGTATCTCAACAATGATTTTAAATTTCAAGTCTATTCAAGACATTAATTATACAATGATTTTAATTCCCTTGATACCATCAGCTATTTCATACTAACAGGATAATGCTGAGGCAATAGAATCATTCGTTTTAAATTTTGCTATAGGCCCTAAGACTGGCTTAGGTTGTGTTGTAATAACATTTTCATCAGCATCATTTTCCTCCATTTCTGATTCTTTTAATGCTAGTGATGACGATAACAAAGCGTTATTAATAGCATTTGGATCTAGTAGTAGTGAATGGACTATGCTTCTTGTACGTTGAATAGGAATGGTAGCAATTTCAATTGGAAATGTTAAATGTAGATCAAATGCTCGTGGAATATCTAAATAGACCTATTTTCATAGAATAGGTGAAAAATTGCAAAGATAGCTTTTATTAATCAATAACAATAATTACTGATATATATACACTAATGTAAAAAGAATTAATTACAATTGTTGGGTAAAATTAAATGAGTGCTTAATCTTCAATATTAATTTGTAATAATCATTCTGTAACTCTTAGTATGGATGCACATGACTTTACTGTATGAAATAACATAGCCTAAATCATTGCCATAAATATTGCTAGTGAAGTTTCGTATCAAGATGGCATGTTGTGTTATTAGTTGAAATAAATAAGGTTCAGCTGTATAAAAATAGATTTAATTTACAAACTGCTGTAGGAGTATCTAACGAGTAAAACAATAATATAAAAATATAGCAGCTATTACTACATATGAATAAATGTTTGGTCTATTATTACAGCTCTGCTTAAGAATCAGTTAGAAGTTGGTACTATGATTAGCCGGAAATAATTACTGCAGTAAAAATTCTACTAATGCCTTACCTTAACAAAGTAACTGATTGAAATTGGGCGCGATGTAATAGTTGGCGGTAGTGCTGGAATAGTTAAAGTTTCATTCTTTAAGGTAGCCGTATCCTTTGATAAAGGAAGTGTCGTTTTTTTATTAGCATAAATCTTTTCTCCTTTACTACGTCGACCTAGTAAAAGATATCAAACATAAGACATAGCTATTATAAAGTTATCGCTGCCATTTTAATTAAAAAAGTCTGAATTACCGTATTGCTGTGTTCACACAAACACACGCCCAACTATGGTCGATACTAAATCATCTTATAAAGTTACCTCTAGCTTTATATAGGACACTCTGAACTAATTTCATTTTGACAGCATCAACAGCCACATTGGAATTATTTTCGATTTGGATTTCTCGAAGATGAATATTTTCGCCTGGACAATACGCTTTGCGATCGAGCGATGCTAAAATTCGAAGAGGTCCATGGCGGCAAAGGAAACAGCAAAAATATTTTTCTGCCTCCATTACAGCATAAGGAGTCTAAATTGTATAGTAAGCGTAAAAATGGGATTAAGCAACTAAAGTCCAAATTTCTGACCTGCATACAAACTGCTCTACAGCTTTTATGAGTGTTACTGTTTCCTTATTTCATAATTTAGTAGTTTATTTCTAATTACTACCATCGATATGACAAGAATATCGTAAAGTTTAGAGCAATGATATAAAGAAAGGTACTAATTTACTGAACCTAGTTATATGCTTTCAACTAACTAAAACTGAATCATAAATTCACTCCATTTAAGAGATTGCTAAGCTTCGAACTCTTAAAGGCGGAATATTATTTTCTTTTCTATCTTTGCGTAATGGTTTAGTTACTTAACTTTACACAAGTATTTGCCAGCTATAAATTTATCTAGGTTTTCATGTGGAATTTTGTACTAGATAATTACGAGTTATTACAAAGTTTCAAAGTATTGCTTATTAATTGTTACATTGATTTTCCTAATATTTTTTTAAGCTTTGATACAATTAATGTAAGGTACATTTTTAATCCCAAAAGGGATAGTCTTAACTATTGCTATTAATATGAAGCCTAAATCAATCCTGTTTCATTTTACATTAGATGCGATAGAAATAAAGAGACAAAAGCTATAAACTTAATTTTCTCTCACGATTAGTAACTCGACTATACAGTACTGATTTCATGTTATAGAATAATACTGTAATAAGCTAACTTAATAATTAATTGCATATTTTCTAATAGTGATTAATTAAAAGTTCTAAAGATTAAAATAAATTATTTTTCTACAGACGATGACGGAAGCTTAACACTATTTGCAAAAAATAATTGGGAAAGAATGTTGTCTAAGATACAATTAATTGACAACAGCCTTAGGAAAATCTCAGTCAAAACAAGGTCAGTGTCTATAAAACTAGATTTTTAATGTACCACTTAAATAACTATCATATTTAATCTGTAACCTAAAGTGATCTGTACTTTAAATTAATGTTATTTACGATACTATCATGTTTTGAATCGACTATCCAAACAGGATATTGGGCAGAATAAATATTGACCTGTTTACGATTTTGAACTGAGGAAATTCAAAGGATAGCTGAATAATAATTTAAGCTTACTTACTCTTCGATCCACTAAGTTGCAGTCAATATATTCTAACACAGTAAATGTTTTCGTAACGATTGGATTGCTATTTTCTTCCTTCATTTCGATCCAAGCTTCAATAAAATAGCGAATATTATTGCCTTTACTACCTTCATATGACGAAGGCAGTTTGGCATTGGGTAAATTAAAATGAAATTGAAAATCGTGTCTTCCTTTTTCTAAAGTATTTCCTGATTCTTCCTTCTTAGCTGATTCTAAGTTTGTGTAGAAAATTTGTAAAAAATCTTCAGTTAAATGATTCAAATAATAAACCAGCACTCATAAAGATTGAAAGCATGTAATAAAACTCTATTCTTAGCTAAGTAAAAGGGCTATATTGCTGCGTCATTTCTTTCACGAAATGAATTATTTAGAGCAAAAGTGTACATTTAAGTCTCATGTTAACACTACTTCTCAGAAATTAATTAAGGTAAATCAGAATTAATTCAACACATTTCACTACCGACTCCTAATTCGCAAGCCACGAAATTCACAAACTGGATATATTGTTACTGGAAAAAAAAACTTTTACAGAAAAGATTTCATGGCATTATTGCCATGTATGTAAGATGCTGCTATAGAGATTATGTTATTCATAATTTCAAAAATCAATGATAATAATCATATATCATCCAATCAAATCTGATATGTTGAAGCCCTTCATATGATTATAACCTGTTAATAACTTTGTTGCTCATATATTTGGTTTATACTACTTCTAATTCCGATCCTTGTATAGCAACGCTAGGACAATAGTCAATTTTGTTAATGATAGAGAAAAAATTTGTCTACTATCTTATGCCTACAGCAAACTAACCTATTTTAACTATTAAAATTGCTAAGTATCCGAAAATTACAGTAGAGTAAGCCTAATTAAATAACTTATACTAAATCATTTTAAAGAAAATAAAAATTAAGAAGACTACCGGCTTAAAGAAATTTCAAGCAGGAAAATGCTTAATAATATCATGTCTACCGATGAATCTAATTATCTATGAATAAATCATCATTAAAAAACCTTGGCCAAATACGGATTTAGCATCATCGACGAAAACTTCTTCTTCTGTATAAGTTTTCCATTTATCCTGACGACGATCATAATGTTGTATTCTGGATTTAGCTCTTCCAAATAAGCGAACTTTAATGCGATAAATTTGAATATCTTTCTTTAATACCAGAATAACAGTCCCTTGTATAGCTTGGCCAGGATAATAAACTTCTTCAGTTTGGCTTAATTCGATAGCAAATATTCTTACAAAAGGTAACATGGTGTTGATTAGAATCGGCTAGATAACTTTAGCATAAGAAATTTTTCACTGAATCATCCATCGAAGTAGATTTACGAAGTGTATCTAATCTGCAAAGGTTCATCAACGATTATTTGGAAAAGCACTCAGGTAGTCATTAGCAGTGTCACTAACTGTTGATGTATATGATGAAATAACAAGGATTTGACTATTTAATTTTTTTATCCCATTCCCTTTCTAAGTTTAATGCTTTTTATAATAAATCAACGCTTGAAATAATTAAACAGAATCAACAGGGTGCAAAACAACGCTCGTGACGTAACTTGTCAATGCATTGAAATTTATGCTAACAAAACTGTTGAAAAGAATATTACACAAAGAAAATACAACTAACATGGCAACGGATTATTGTTGGTTATTGATGAAAGATGAATGTTATTACTACTAAGCATGGTTATAATTTATATTCCATTGCATTCCTAACATGAAGATAGAACAAAACACTTCTTTGCTTTTGGAATAGAATTCAAATTCTGAATGATTAGTATCACTTTATTTGCCTCAGTTAAACTACCGGTACTATTAACATTGATTGTTGATCATGTAGATTGGGTATGCGATCAAAACAACATTATTGTAGATATAGCAATCGACTAGGATGCTGGAACAAATTATCTAGCAGCAGTGTCCGAAGTCATAAGTAGTCTATCGTTATGGATATTATAAACGGTTCTCAAGTTAACCAACTAAGTGATTATTGAATTCGCGTATGAATTAGTAGTACCATAGGCAAAAAATCAATATGCAAATGATGAATAATTCAGTACCAGTATCTAGTATTGTAGTTATTGCTGGATAGACTTCAAATAGAATAGAAATGGAGTAAATTATCACTATTCTGCGACATTAACGTGTTTTTTTAATTTATTTTGTATGATCAATCTGTTAATTTAATGGAATAAGGAGTGCTAATTAGGAATTCATGCTAAAATTAGATTTATCAATTAAATCGAATATGTAGCAAATCTGGTCTAATTCATCACTAGGGTAACACAAGATTCATTCAGAGCATATTAAAACAGTCTTATTCTTATAAGTTGCATCCAAAGTATATCATAAACTTAAATCAAATCTTAGATCGTTTTCTGAGATTTATTAGAGTTATAATAGGCTTGAAAACAAATTAAATAACACATTAGGTGGGTGTATCTTTGTCACGAAAGTAATCTTCGTGATGTATACTTTATTTCTAAGTTACGTTCTATATATATTTCGCGGTCTCCTTAATTGTAATTTTAGTCGCTAACAGTGATATTCTTAATTTAGGATTACATAGGCTAAAACAGTAGTTGACAACCAGCTAAACTGGATTATATCTATCACTTCCAAGTTGTTAAGGTTCAAAGTACAATTCCTAAGTTTAGAGGAAACGTTTTAATAGGATAGCTGTATATGCATCTGTTAAACTATTAATAAGCATTGATTATTTTAATACTGTTACAGTAAACTTAGTAGGATTAGACTGTATCTAATCTGTACAGATAGAATCTCTTTAGGATATTAAATTGGTTAATTTCTAATAGACGAGGTGGCTTTTATAGCTAAGCCGGTTTTAGGTCCGAAACCTATATAAACGGCGAGTTCGTCGACAATAAATTAGATTGTGATTTTCTAGTAAGTCTTGAACGTCTTCCTACGTTAAACCCTATCTGTCTTGGAATACCAATTGACTGGTATTCTAAATAACAGTAGTAAAGGGTAGAAATCACTCTCTCAATCCTTGTTGCAAGTTAAGGTTATTCCTAGCTCGTAACAATCTTCCGAACTTCTAGATGCTGATCGAAAATTGAATCATTTTATTCTTATATTGAGAATCCTATTTCTCAAATTCTAACCCAGTCTATACTGTTAATTCCTAACGAATTATTTCTACTTGATGCATGATTAAACTAGAGTTTCTGAATTAATTTGCTTTAAATCATAAAATTTTAATAATTTTTATATAAGAAATTGATCAAGATTTCATCAATGCAAAAGTATAATCATTAATCCAGTAGCGAGATCGTTCCCGTCACTTCTAAACACTACGTAACGTAATACTCCTTTGCCACGGTACTCGTATCTCTACAAGTTATGCTATATACGAGTATGTAGACAGTTAATAATTAGTTAGATACTTAATTCATAAGAGAGCCTAAAGATCAAATCATGTTTTGATCATAGTTAGTCTTGTACTACATGTGTACTATTATGTATTTTAAAAGTAGAGCTTAAAGTTATACTAATTTAGATCTAAGAATATATGGTAGATAATATTGTTTATCGTATTAATTTCCATGCATAATGGTATATTTGCTGTAGCTGCTCTCGAATAGGTAGAAGGTATATAAGCAAAATACTTTTCATAATAGCAAGAGTTCTCGTTTTGGTTTAAGTTATCTTTGGAGTCTGTACTTAGCTGACGTTAAAAGTAGTTTCTGTGTTACAAAAGTGACTTTAACAGCCTTTTAATATCAGATTCATGATATTATTAAGAAAACAAAGTAAAAATGGATAGATCGAGCAAAATAAAGCTTTACATTAAAAATCAATCTATACAATTATCACAGTATGTCTATCATATACACTTTCATAGCTGTCTATAGAAGCTTATGAATGGTTCTATTTCATAACCAAATGAGTTTTAAGAACAGCAGTGGCTATTGTTAGCTGTAGCTATTTAGGATACCTTCGACTATACTACTACATGCGTTACATAATAGAAGACTATCCTTAATATTAATTATTATTACTTGTTGATTCATCAATTCACAATTTTATTATGATACAATCTTGCCTAAAGCTACCGCGCGATAAGTAAAATTTAATAATACAACTCATAAATTGTTTAGTTTGTGATTCTAACAGCTTAAAGCATTTATAATATATAAGTTATTATTGTTTGAGTAAGGAAGAATGGTCGTTGCTATTTATTAAAACGATATAGAAGCTTTGTATTTCTTTCCTTTGACAAATCTACCTGCTGCTGTGGAAAACGCCTTGCTTGCGATAAAATTCAAAAAGTAAAAACTATTCCTTGGATTTGATATCACTTACGAATTAAAGAGCAAGACTGCTGCTAAATACATTACCATTTAGGGTAGGAAGCTTTCCTTTGTGATATACTATTAGATTTTAATAGTAACGGTATTTAGAACTAAATAGATTGCAGTAAACTAGCACAAACTAAAACTATTACTTGAGATTATAAGACTATATGATAGCTATAATACTGTGACTTTATTACTGCCTGACTTGAACTAGTTATTTCGCAATTGATTTTGAATTTTAATCACCTAGTAGTAGCTTATTATATGACTATTATGTTCTGTACTATTCCTTATCGATCAAAATTTTTCTACTTTTTATTATAGTACTTTAAAAGTATTAATATAGAATTGTGATCGTATTCTTTTTGAAGATACCCAAACAAGAATTTTCCTTTTCTAGCTGATCGAGTGATCAATTCAATCCGGAAAAAATGCAAAAGCTGATTACAATCAATCTTACATTTTTGTTCATCATTGCCTGTGTGGCACTTTCCACCACTGCCGATTTTAATTTGACGATATTGCACACCAATGATGTCCATGCCCGTTTCGAAGAAGCAAATCGATTTGGTGGAAGTTGCAGTAGCTCTGATGCGCAAAATGGAAGATGCTTTGGGGGCGTAGCGAGACGTGCTACCATGATTAATAAAATTAGAGGCGAAAGATCAAGCGTTCTTCTGTTAGATGCCGGAGATCAATTTCAGGGAACGTTGTGGTTCTACGTATTTAAAGGCACCGCTTGCAGTAATTTTATGAATCAACTTGGTTACTCAGCTATGGTATGCTTTCAACCTATCATTAGTCTAATTTTGAAACCATAATTTTAAGTCGAAACCTTAAATCCAGCGTTCAGCATTACAGTCTAGATATTTATTTATAATTTCGTAATTTAGTAACTATATAATTAGCATATTTTATCTAAAAAGCTGATATAACGATACAGGCCCAGGTTCAACAGTATACATTAGACTAAGAATAGAGTGGAAAGAACATCGTTACTTTACAAAATCATTGATATAACAGAGAGAATTGTCGCTAAGATCCCGGTAGTAATTTAATTCCTAGCCAAAGGCGAATACTTACTACTCATCGCTAGCGTATCCAACTAGTACAAATAGTAATAATGATTTAGGTAAAATACTACCCTGGTACATTTTACAAACTATGCAATACTTTTCATATAGTACAAAACAAGTTAAGCAACTGAATATGATAGAAGCAATTGACTTAACTCTACTTATGTATACCGAATTACCAGTAATAACTACTGAATTAAAATTTTCTGGTATAAAATAAATTTCGATCAAATTTCCAACACTAATTTCATGTCAAACAGTGAAAATCTATATGTAGCCGCTAAACCCTTAAAATCTTCAACTATAAGTCATCATTTATTTTAATATCAGTCTATTACTTAACGCCTATAATTTCATACATATTAATACTTCAACAGTGAACAATAATAATACTTGCTCTAGTAGTTATCTATCACGAATTAAATAAATTAAGTATCCAAAATAAAAAATAAGCTTTTAAATAACTTTTTAGGCCCTTGGTAACCACGAATTCGATAACAAAGTTAGTGGGCTATTACCCTTTTTAGAAAATACAACATTTCCAATCTTATCGGCCAATATCAATGCTAGTAAAACACCCGCACTTGATTCCAAGCTCAGTAAATCAACTACCTTTACATTTAATGGCCAAAAAGTTGGCGTTATTGGATATATAACAGCCGATACAACGGAGATTTCCAATCCTGGGCCAGATGTTATTTTTAACAGTGTTATAGCTGCGGTCCAAGAGGAAGCAACGAAGTTAGCTCAACAGGGTATTAACATTATTATTGCTTTAGGACATGCAGGTAAGCTTTAATATTATCAAACATCTAAGTAATAATACTGTATGATGAAAAATATATCGACAATAGAGTCATCATAGGTCCAAATGATAAAATATGAAGAACTTGGTATAGTAAACAGAGTTTAAGCAATCTAGCAAGCAAAAACCATTAGTAAGATTCTGTACCTTTACATTAAAATGCATTCCTTTTGCAATTTAAAAATAGGATTTGATATGGACAAAGCCATTGCAGACAAAGTCGTCGGTGTAGACATCGTTGTCGGCGGCCATACCGACACATTTTTGTACACAGGAACTCCTCCGTCTAATGAAGTTCCAGTAGGTCCCTACCCGACGGTCATCAATCCTAGTTATAATTCGAGCAGAAAAGTTCTGGTCGTTCAAGATTTCTACTTTGGAAAATACTTGGGTGATTTACAAGGTAATTATCTGCCCTTAACTGTGGCTTGTAACATAAATTGAATAAAGATTATAAATAGTCTGAAAGTATTTTACGAGAAAGGATTGGAGATTTGAAATGTTTTATTATCCTTCTATTAAACAATAAACGAAATCAGTTGTCTTCGACAATTTCGGCGAGGTCAAAAGCTATGGAGGAAATCCTATCTTGTTAAATAGTTCTATCGCTAAGGATGGTACTGTTCAAGCCATGGTTACCGAATACAAAAAACAAGTCACCAGTGAAACACAAAAAGAAATTGGCAAGGTAATTTACGTCAATACTAATCCATTCAACACAATTGCAGCTCTGCATCACATCTTGACCTAAGTTAGAAGAATGCATAACTTTCACAGATATGAATAAATACACAGAATGAACTTATATTATTAGAAATAGTTTAGAAATCGATCAATGATGACCAAGCTATTATTACATAAATTTCTCCATTAGACTTATGTATTCTTAGATGGTCAGCGATCTACAGTACGCCTACGAGAATCTAATCTAGGTAATCTTATAACGGATGCCATGGTTCATCAATACTTAAAAAATCCTACATCAGCATCCTGGACTGATGTTGGTATTGCAGTTATGAATGGTGGTGGCATTCGGAGCCCTATCGATCCAACTAGACCACCAGGTATGTTTAGAAAAAATGACACTTTACTCGATGATACTTTTAATCAAACATTGTCGTAAAATCTAGTCATAGGCAATAAATTAGCCATAAATTATATCGCTATAGATTAATGTTTGTACTCATTATATAAATTTCAAAATTAAATTGTCATCATACAGGGGCCGTTACCGTGGGGGATATCTTAACAGTTTTACCATTCCGCAACAGTATTGACGTACTGGAAATTAAGGGAATGTTTATTAGACAAGCATTAGAAGTATCAGTGAGAGATTACAGTACAATATCCACCCCTGGACGATTTTTGCAAATGTCAGGTTAGTACAGTAAAGCACCGTATTCATTTAACTAACTCAAAATTAATATTTCTGATAGCTTCTATCTAATTTGAAATTATTTGTAAAAATTGATAAAATTAGGTTTGAGAGTAACATATAATCTAAACAATAACCCTATGAATCGTGTGGTAAAAGTAGAAGCTCGCTGTAATAAGTGCAATGTACCAAGTTATGGTCCCTTAATTGACAATCAAAATTATAAAATCGCAATAAACACTTTCTTGGCTAGTGGTGGTGATGGCTATTACATGTTTCGTGATAACAGAACATCGTATCAAATTACAGGATATCTTGATACAGACGTGGTTACTACCTATGTTAAGAAACTATCACCCATTAATATCGGAATTGAAGATCGCATTCGTTTTATAAACCAAACCGCTTCACCGCCACAACCCACATCAACACTTCCGGGATGTGTTAACTCAGCAATTACTATGCAACAACTTAATAAGACCTTAATCTTTCTCATATCATTAATACTTATTTTGGCCATTAACTAAGGCTAGCAAGAATTAGTAGCACAATTAGTTACTCTTATACGAAGAAAGCAAGGTCTAGATATAACCCTTGAATTCTATCCCAAAATGTAATGCTTCAATTCGTATATAAAATGCAGTCTTTTGTGGTATTGAATAGGTGCTCATTATTCTTTGCCATTTCGTATCTAAACTCCATAGAATAGCCTTTAATAGTTATATAGGTGTATTATTTTTTTCAACATCAATAAATATTTTATTTAACGATAATACTCTATCGATGATACAGTTGCATTATATATAATATGCACGTAAAAGATTTTATTATCCCGTCATTTTAAATACCAAGCTATGAAAATAATACCTAGAGAAAATTTCTAGTAGTTAAAAATGCATTTTGTAGCATGTTTGACACCCATTACTCACATATTACTAATTTTTATGCATATATCTTTTACCATCAGCAAATAGTTGCTTGTGCGAAATAAATTTCCGGTAAGAGTAACGAAAATCTGTCTGCATAAAGATGCTTAAGTTAAGTCACTATATTCTACCAGTTTAAGCCTATACAATGTCGACAAATGGAATTTTCTGTGCAAAACAGTAACCATTAATCAGGCGAGCAGTCCTTCAACTGCGGACTTATACGATAACGGCAAAAACATAACATAAAGCAGAAATTTTTTAATTTATTTAATCCATACCGTACCTTATAACTTTGTGCTGAAACATCAACTATCAATGCTAACGCCAGAAAAGTAGCCTTAGCTATTAGGTGAAATCAAAAAAGCGATTAAGTAATTTTTCAGACTAAATGTTAGCCAAATCTGTGGATTTGGTTTTACTGCTTGCCATTATGCACTGATTCCATTATAATTACATTAAACAACAAATTAAGGTAATATCTTGTTGCAGTAGTAATTATTGCGCTAGTAATCTAATGCAAAGAATTATGTCATTTGTGGTACTGCATCATACAGATATAAAACTTGAATCAAATTTATTATCCTTTTCTAAGATTTCTCAGTCTCTTCACAAATTTGAGAGCAATTTAAATTATATGCTGTATTGATGTATTTTCAGATCTTTTAGGTGCTGATTGAGAGTTTAATCGATTTACTTTTATAATGAGTATACTATTTGTCAAACTTTAACCTATTCTATATTATAATTTTCCAGCGAATGATTTCTAATTGATGCACTAACTTAATGCAGAGAACCTAAACCAATCCACTTTAATTTCTTCGATGATCGCTATCTAAGAAATGGATCAAGAATTCGTCGGCGTAAAAGTATAGCTATTAATTCAGTATCGAGATCGTTCTTGCCACTTCAGAACACCACATACAATAATTTACTTTCTAAATCTGATACATTCTTTGGAATACTAAGTAAAATAGGCGGGTTGAATAATTGAAGTATTCGGCAGTCCACAAAATTGGTACAATACTCTGTTTTCTCCATTTTTTTATTACTGTCCACGAAAGCTGATGAAAATTTTCATTACATAACTAAATGAGCTTTAATTAAGGACAGCGACGGCAATCGTTGGCAGCGGTTATTTAGGATACCACCTATTACGCTACTAATCATGCTGCATAATAGTAGGTATCGTAAATATTATTGTCACTTGTTAATTTATCAATTCGGAATCATGTTATTATACAGTTTTGCCTAAAGTGCACGTGCAAAAAGCAAGCTTTATTATACAAATTGAAGGTCACTTTATTATGAAATCTCAATTGCATAATGCATTCATAAGATAGGCCGTTATTGATTAATTGATTACGAGTAAGGATCATTGCTACTGATTAAAACAATGACATAGAACTTTCTTAATTCTGTAATTTGAGAAAATCCACGAGCTGCTGTGGAAAATGCCCTGCTTCTGTCACGATTCTGATCCCTGGATTTAACAACGTTTACGAATTAAAGTGAACGACAACAACTAGATACATTAGCACAGTTTCGGATAGAAAGTTTCTTTTGTGGTATGATATTAGAATCTAATGACAATATTGTAATAAATAAATTGCAGTAAACTCGCACAAACTATGAATATTGCTCGAGAATGCAAAAACTGTTTGATAGTCGAAATACTGTAACTTTATTACTGTCTGGTTTGAACTAGTATTTTCGAAAATCGATTTTGAATTTAAGCATTATCGAGTAAATGCCTAGTCATATTTTACCTTTTATATATTAAAACTTTGTATTAGTAATTTTAGCAATTACCTAAGAATAGCAAGGAATTAGTAGCGCAAATAACTTCTCGTATACGAATAAGACTCAGGTATTGGTTTAAACTAGTTATTCTATCCCAAATATAATATTTCAATTGGGTGTATAAAGTACACTATTTTGTAACATTTAATAGGTGTTAACTATACAGTATATTGTCATTTATGAGTATATTTAAGTTCGATGGAATAAACAATATTAGCAGCAGCTTTATTACAGTTTATTTCTTTCAAGATCAATAAATTACAGTACTGTTACGGAGCCAGGCTCCGAAATATTAATTGCTATGTTAATTAAAATATCTCATTTAAATTATCTTTTGCTCCAGTAGCTTATTAGATACTAATGTTTATTAATAAGTACTTGCTTGTTATTGCCAAGGTATCAGAAAGTTCAATATTGTAGACGTGTCGGAGCCAACACGCTTAGTCAGTAAACGCATATTAATAACACCTTAAAAGCAAGGTGCAATTATTTTGCAGAGCCCCGAGGCTCTAGTTGGCTCATTAATTCGTTTAATATTAATTAGCGTTGACTTATACTGATCTATGTTAACTTCTTCTAACTGAACTTCTATACTAGGATATGTATACTGTACAGTGTAAGTCGCTATGTCAAGAATATTCACAAGTGCACCATCGGCGTTGGCCGAGACTATAGAAAACCGAGCACTAGCTTAGCTGCTCAGTTCCAGTTAGTCACTCGCAGGGTCTTTTGACTATTATTGCTAAGAATGTTCTTACGTTTTTCTTTAGTACATTTTACGACTAAGATTAACGAAAATAAAGTGAAGTATTTAAACCTATTACTCATTAGAAGCTTATTTGTGTAGCTGAGAGTTAGTTCAACTACGATAGGTCCCTAAGTTAGTTGGGAACACGAGCACTAGTGAAGATAGTGTTTAATGCCTGTTTTCTAGTTACAAAGGCTATTTGTAACAAGTACATATTGAATAATTAAACTTTCTAATAATGATACAGTCGCATTTAATTGTCACTGGATTTTCTTACTCTGTCGTTCTAAATACTCAGCTAAGAATGTAATATCTAGACAAGGTTACTTGTAAAAAATATTTTTTGTTACATGTCTGACTCTCAATATTCGTTTATTGCGTATGTTTCATATACATATATTTACACTCAGCAAATAATTGTTGGTGCGAAATAAATTTTCAGTTAGAGCAAAGATAGTCTATCTGCATAAGGATGTGCGCCAACATACCCTTCTACCCAATTTTGTACGCTTAGTATGGATCAACGAAGTTTTCTATGCCGAACAGAAACCATAAATAAGGAGGGTAGGCTATTATCTAGGAACTTATAAGATGATGGCAACAATGTAAGGTGAAGTAAAAATTTCCTAATCAATTTAAAATACCCTTTGTTCAGCTAATACCCCAAGATTATTACCTCGTTGTTAAAGGTTCCAGACTACCATGTAGTCCGAAGGTTTATTTTATTATTGGCTGGTAAATCAAATTGTGCTTATGTAAAGAATAGAATATTGGGTAATTTGAATAATATTTTGCCATATCAGTAAACTTGCTATTTCGTTATTACCGAAGACTGACGCAATGTTAAACTGACATTATAATAATATATTAAAAATCGCAAAAAAGTAGAAAGAAATATAAACATATACATACAATTTTGATTATAGAGACTCCAGTTTCTATAATTTTCAGAGAGTTTCGATAGCTACGATTGATACTGTAACATTTAAATCCAAACCTTTTTACAGAGTAAACCAGACTATTTATGGAAACTGAGGGCAAATTTTGTAGAATTATGCACGATGTGCAGATAAACACATGCACCTTTATGTCCCATATTAAACAAGTGTTCACTGTATTAAAGACCGATCTTATATTATTGCCAATGGAAACGAATATTTCAGGATTTGCAGTTAGAATTCGATCGCTTATTAAATTTAGAGTTAGTTGCTCTAATCGTATTGAACAAGGAAGTAGGTGTTCATAGAACAAGTTTGCCTAATAAAAAATTGTACCCGATCATAGGCGTATTACTATTTTACATAAAACCGTTGCTTAGTTACTAGGACTATGGTGGGGTGCACTATGAGCATGCCCTAATAACAGTCCTATAGCCGAAAATGAAGATTGATTAGACCACAAAAGGATTTAGCTAGAATAAATTCGATTTGTGATTCTCTTTTAGCCAAGAGATACTCCTTTAGCCGACGACTATTGCCCTTATTCAAGTACATTAATTGTACATTATCAATCAATTCACTCATGTAGTAAAGTTCTCCCAAGATCAGCTGATTATATTGCAATAAGACACATCGCGAGATTCGATCAGATTAAATTATGGCCGCTAATAATGATGATGTTAGCGGTCAATTAGCTCTTGAATTCAGCCAAACAAGCTTAAATTATAAGATACAGGAAGCCGTTCAGGTTGGAATCATCTTATTTACTATAAACTAAATAATTTCATTTCGAAAGTACTTACGACCTCTTTGATAAAATTACCGGATAAATGGCTCCAGAGATAAAAACTATCTAATATTATAATTTTATGTTAATGGTAAGGCTATAGGAGTAGGGCTTAAGTCAATTTAAGTATTTACTAAGGCAACGATATCACATTCATGTCAGATATTCTGAACGACATCTTTAAGTAATTAAATTATCTATATCACAAGAATTGGTTTTGCTATTACTTTTTAAGATTACAAATTTAAAAGAAAAGATTTAGCGCAAGTTTTTATACTAAAAAATAACGCATATGTGGGCGATGAAATAATGAAATAAATGTAATGAGGAAATTTAGTAATAGTAATTTTTATTTGATTTGTCAGTCATATTTGATTAGAAGTGACGTTTTGTAGAGGATCTTAGTCCTAGTCTGAGATTATGATTGCATTCGCACCTATCAGTTAAAAGAAGATCTTCTATAACGTCGTATAGGTGGAGTAGATGAAAATGATTTTTACTTCTGAATTTATCTAATTTGTACACAACATTATCATAATCACAACCGTTATAGATGTATGTGCAATTGCACTTTTGTAACAGCTCGAGCCGTAAAGCTCTGCTATATTTACCTGAAATCCTTTGCGGTAACTCTAAGGCTATTTACTGATGAAACAGTTCAAATTCTCTGCATCCTGTGATATAGGGTTCATACAATTAACAGTACATGTTATTTGCAAATCATTTTATAGCAACTTTGTCCTGAAATTTTGATAAACTAGGAATATTTGGTCAAACCTCAAGTTACCTCTTCAAACGTTTTCAAATCTTTACAACATTATCTTACAGATTTAGGTTAGTAAAGATTGCCATCTTAAATGCTTTAAATTATGACCGTTTAGCTAGGATTTTAACGATGATACAATGTATCGGCTTTTGATATTATAGGTTGGAAAAATGCTATAGGTAATCAAGTCTACACTCGTCTGAATAGGTATTAAATTTGGTAGCATAAACAATATGCTATTAATATAAATATTTAGCTAGTTACTTCATCCACGTGTATTTATGTCAAAGACATACGATTGGCTTAAAAGATCGAGATCTAAAGTCTATCAATTTTAGAATTTAATGGTGTCATAACACGATAATATCTTTATACTAACGCAGATATACAGATTCGTCCTTCGGCGTAAGTGAATCTAGTACTTATAAAGAAAAACTTACTTATATTCGTAAAGCACAGGTACCAGTGATTATATAATCAAGCCTAGTATATCAATGCCAATTCCGTGTATCAATTAACGGTTTTTACTATGATAGGAAAACTGGGAGAAGAAAATTGCAAAATCTTTTAATACAATGTGTAAGCAGCAAAGTTTAGAACTTGTTAAAAAGGTATCAAATCGCAATTGATCCATAACGAAGCAACTTAAATTAATTAAATTTTAGTCATTCTAATTGGGCCATAGATTCAGCACGAATTGGATCTGTGTTATAATTCTAATGTTGATCGCTACCAAAATATTTTGATACAGCGCAGTAAAAGCGATGAATGGCAAATTCGGGCCGATCTTGATTCCTTAGGAAAATTTGATAACAGTTCAGTATCTATGTTAGATCTTAACGATTCTTGCGGATATCATATGCATGGTTAAGCCTTACCCATATCAATAATTCCCTCTTTCATATTTAATAAATCATCAGAATTTGGAAACCTTCAATTTATTTATTCAGTAAAAGACTTTTACGAGGTAAAATTAGATCAACAAATAAGTTGATATTAGTTTTAAAGACAGCTTGAGTACAAAAGTATTAATTTCTTTGATTTTATGGATTGTAGATAGTAACATCTGTTAGAAATCCTGCTATCGAGGACAATCTATCATTGTAAGTTAAATATTTATTAATTTGGAATCTTATGGTCATATATCAGCTTTTAATTAGATGAGTTAACAAACTAACAAAAAAATAATTTTTGAAAGTATACTTACTTCTGCTATCCTTGAAGACAGATAATCTGATATGCAATTTTAAATGTATGAGTTATTGTTTGTTAGCCAATCGAATCCAGTTCTTAAAAGTGATAGCGCATTCTTCATGGTTTCAGTGAGAGCTTCCTTACAATAATCGTAATTTCATCCTTCATATTTTTAACTTCTTATATGTAGCTTTAATAGCCACTGGGGTGTAATGAACTTACACTTTAAAGTTAAAGAACTTGAAGATTTTGTAAGATCGCTAGCGTTTGAAATTTCCACTTTTTCGCAAATAGAATTTACGAAGAATTGATGTTGCATAATCAGTATATTACATGCATTATTATGTACTTCTTCGTTAGAAAAAGCAATTTAAAGATCTTTCAACCAACGTTTATCATTCATCGATTAAGGATCGCAAATATCAAAATAAGACCGGTACTGCAATTATGTAACCTTCATTTACGTTAGTAAACATTTCTATCATTAGTAGCTCATAATTAATTAGCCACAAATAGCTTATACTATTACAACTATAATTTTACCTCTAAAAGATTCTATTATAAACTGTGATTATGAATCCATCAGCTATACTACAAAACCTATATTACTGGGACTAGCTTTACTTTTTAAGGCTATTCCTCTGGATTACTTTGTTAAGGAACTTCATCTACAAACATAGAATCTCAGATTAATTAAGTATCTGAAGTTAAAATTTGACATAATATAAGAAAAATTCGTAAATTTTCTATATCATATTAACGAACACTTTAATCTATAGATCATTAACAAAGAACCTAAGTATAGACATCTCGTAATTAAAAGTTCTGAAGCCTGCATCCGAAAATAAAATTAATAATATTAAAAAGTTTTATGCAACGATTTACATACTAAATTAACACCAAAATACATTAGACTAGCTCTGGATTGTGCCTAACTATCGAAAACTATAACATAATTAAGTTACCGAAACAGCAATAAGCCATGAAGCAATTTAAACTGATTGCAACTTCTAGATCATTATTTTCATATTATGTTGGTTAATTTGAAAATAGTTGGTGAATGAACAATCCGTAATTTTGCTTAGGATAAAGTTCTATTTATATTCGTTCCAATAATTTGTAACTATTCTCCTAAAGTATCTATCATCAACTTTTTTACAAATATTCCGATCAATCTTATACGTAGCTCGACTAGAAGAGGAAAGGCTAAAGTTGGGTAAAAAAGGTAACCATCTATGCTAAGATGTTATGTTTTTCCGGATAAATAACACTTCTAATATCGAAGGAAATTAATTACTATACCATCACAGCATAACATATGTATGCAATAATATTTCACGAAAATAATCCAGCATATTTCAACGCTAGCTTGGAATCATGCTAAATCTAAATCTTTATCACTCTATAGTATAAGAGATTGATGATTTACATGTACTGACTTAAAACATCTTATTTCGATACTTTTATAATACTACTTATCCATGATTTGCATTACATCTAAAATCACATTAAAATTGGATAGTCGTAGAAAAAAATCATGCACCACTCTCGCGAGAATTTTCGAAACGTGGATGCCCAAGATCTTTACGAGGTCAGCTATGGAAGCAAATGCTTGGTGTATCCTTAGAAGAAGTGGTAAGCTAGCTGTTTGATTTCAGATAAAACTTTTTAATAATGACACGGTGCAAATTACTAATCTTATAAGTTGAAAGTTGACGGAATGAAAGATAATATTAAAACAAAGTTTTTTATAAAATTCCAATGTCATTTCTTTTCTTACCTCGTAAAGGATCTTTATTACTATGAACAACTAGTAAAGCACGTCTGCAGTTACGATATGTTAGTAGATAAATTAATAAGAAAGGTGAGATATCAGATAGATAACAAATACTTTACACGCTCGTAGAATTAATCTAACATCATGATCGGTTCTTTTTCTTATAACTTTAGGACATTAGGTTAACATCAGCTAATGACAGTCATTACTTTCCATTTGAAGACTTATTTTATCAGGTAGAATAGCTTATGAAATATCTTATGTACTACTAATCATTAGATCTTTTCTACGTAGTAGAAGTCTATGAAATAATTTAAATAATTCAATTATATGCGTACAATATCTATTTCGGCTTTTCTGCTAATTTAATGACTAAATATTTATACCAGGCAATGTTAGCTTTTACTCGTGATACTGCAGTATTGAAACACTTTAATAATTCAAGTGCCACGCCATCAAAAGCTTATCATAAAGGTGTCGAAGACTTAAATATATCCTGTTGATAATTAATTTAAAAAACGTACCATATCTGGATCATCCATGAAGAACGTAATCTAAATTATCTAACAATAAAAATATGCAGGCAAGTCTGAAAGTCCAGAAAACCTAATCATTTATCCACCAAACGGTACTGCCTCAAATACAAACTCAAGCAAGCTTTCTAAAATTTATCAGATACAAGAAATATGTATTTGGAGCAAGATATTATTAGTTATATACTGTAGTAAATTACTGCATAATTTTACTTTTAGCCTATCACTATAGAGTCTTAAATCAAAGTATCGAGTAAACACACTAAAAGCCTATGTTTGAGATTTACTTTAGTTCTGATTTTCGTAATTATTAATCAATATTTTCGTTTGGGATATTGCAGGAATAATTCCATTTTATGGCATTTCCATGTTCGGTATATAGCAAATATTTAATTTTTGATACTTTACTACTATTTTCGTCAATAGATAGCTTCTTGTGAACATTTACCCGTTTTAATAATCATAATTTAGCCGCATTCGAAGATTTAAAGGCTATATATTTACATTCTCTAGTTCAGTTATTTTATTACCGACTGTTAATCAAGTAGTATTTTATACCGTAATGTATCGATAAGTATTTTCTCAAGATATATATACATGCACTAAAGCTGTGGTTAGATCCTTTGAGCTGTCATTTTATATTCATGATTTCTATAACCGATTGTCGCTATTGCAGTAGCTCCAATCTGCTATTTATTTGAAGATTGCGAAAGTATATACTTTGTCCTACGTGAATTATATACCAGGTAATACTATATTAGTCAAGACATCTAAAAGATTATTTTAAATTTTATATCGTTAAGCTAACTTGTATGGACATTTGAGCAATCAACTTGGTAATAATTACTATTATATTGAAGTTGAAAAAAAAAGCGTCTGATAATAGTTGCTCTTGATTTACTTAAAACTTAGTTAATTAACTAATTTATCTTTCTCTTATGCAAATTAAATATATACGGTTAGAAATGAAAATGATAATAATTCTGCCTATAACATTAAATTTGATTTACAGCATTCAATAATTACCATATGTGAAGTTTTTAATCGTGTCACTGATATTACGCATACAAATTTCCTTCCTATTAGGTTTTTCTTTCGTCTCCATACACTATCATCACATCCGCAGGTAGGATAGCTCTCTTATCTAATAAGTAATTAAGCATACAATAGTAAAGAGAATAAACTTGAAAAGTTAGCATATTCTACCTTAATACTCGAAATCTTGAACGATTAATTCAATTTTTGACACATACATCAATATAGGGGATTCTGAATTTATGTGTTACCTTTGAAAGTTTGTTGCAATCTCACTACCCACGTTTATTCTATCACTTGCGAGAGATAAAAGCCCAACCGTAAGAATTACGATAAATCAGATTCCAGCCTGCTGTTAATATCTATAATTAACTTAAAAAACATCGCAACTTTGATATAGCTGGCTTTTGAGCAGTAGTATATCAACTAACTCTACGTATCAAAATTTCTACAGCCTAAAAATTGCCTTTAAGTGGATGATGTTTGCGTTCTCAGGCTATCTTTCACCAGAAGATGTGAGTAGTTAAATTTATCGAATTTGATAATTAACTCATAGAGTAAAGGATAGCTTATAGTTACACATTTTTAAAACTACTAGTTTCTTTCCAGCGAATGATTGTAAATGTTAGTGATAAATAAATCATGTAAACCTGTTCTATAGCCTTCTCATATTCTTTGCATACCTATTTAGGTTTTACTTTTATGGGATAAAATTATTGCATACTATTCTTTGGAAGTCCTCTCCGGTAAGGAGTAAATGGCAATCGTTATTAATAATGTAGTCTTACGAATAGTAAACATCAAGGAATTTATACTGAATCGTTATGCAACATCACAGTACTAGCAGTAGCAATTTTTGCTTTCCGAAAAGACAACTTAATGCAAGCACAAACACTAGAAAATGTAGAGGTAAATCAAATTTAAATACATGATCTTTACTTTTATGAGAGTAAGCCACCCTTCAATTACTAGTATTACCGCTGAGTCTACAGCTACTCGAATTTGGCTGGTAACTTTCATAATTTCGTTTTATACTTATTAAACTCTTGCAATCTTTTCATGTAATTTTTGCAGCGGATTATGGCCGATATTTCTCAAATACAAATTATTCCACTACTGCAATCATACCTTTTCATGGGTAATTTATAGAAGTGACGTTGTCTTTACATGTAAATGATTTATATTTGCCTTCCCTTTGTCATATTTCTATCTTCATTCTCAATGTACACAAAACTGCATCGTTTGTTGCATAAGATGACGAATATAAAAAGCAGTAAAATTATTGTACGATTTGTTTCTGTTTCTATATTACTAGCGAAACCTCTAGAAATTCTATGGAATATAGTACTATTTTAATTTAACGATTATAATAGTGTACTAAAAGTGCGACGTACGTACATTTACATTAATATGCTTTGATTTTCGGCATTTCCAATCAATTCTTAAATAATAGCTATCTTTACTTGGATTTTCGAAAATAAATATCTATTATACCAAAATTTTCAAAAGAAATAAACTCAATAAGACAAAGGAATAAATCTCGCTTGATCTTATAGCATTGAATTAAACTTTCACTTCAACTATTTTCTGCGTATAACTTTCTAAGATGTAGACAGTGGTAAATGCACTGTCTATGAATTACACCACATTCTGAAAGAAATTTAAAGATCATCTTAAAAAGATAATGCAACTTATCATTATATTACGGAAAGAATTAGAACAATAGTAATGATTTCAATGCAAGCAGATTAATCTATTGCTACCCACACTCTTAAAAATATATATTCTCCGATTACTTAATCATTTCATTCAAAATCACAATTACTAAAGATTGATGCTGTAATAATTTCCTAAATTTTCTTGCGCCATATATAATAAAGAAAAACAAATATTGGCTGATCTATATCTATTGATACTAAATTCTCGATTGATATTTACAAAAATTTTAATCCGCTACCGATACAATATTTCGAAATTGCAATATTGGAAACCACTTTATGAAACAATTCATATTTTATCTATATATATTCATTTCCGACCGCTTTATCTGAGAATATAAGCAAGCTGTAAAATAGCAATTACACATTTCAAACTATAGATTGCAAGATTATAAAAGTGTTGACTACCGGAAGAGCTAACTTGATAATGCAGAAATTATTTATTTTGACATTTTTCAGTTTTTAAATGAAGTCGTCAAAAATGGTAGTAAAGCAATTATTTTGTTATAAATTAAACAATTACACAAGAAAAGAAGCTTTAGAAAATTAGCCAGAAATTTCAAGTTTATAAAACGCTGTTTGATGCTAACTTGTTTAACAAAGACGAACAATATTATAATGATATTCGTAAAATCTGAATAAAAAACGATCAACACGTAGCTCTCAATATTTCATGGAAAAAATGAATATAAATCTATTTGCACTAATTTTTTATTCAAAGTAATATTACCAGATAGCCAGACTGGATGTCGATTTCTAAATGTATCAAGCAGCTGCTCTCTACATTTTAATATCAGCGCACGAAATAAATTATATAATGCTTCAACAACCATAGATCTAATAATAAAGATTCCGTTTCTCTAAAGTTGGAATTGTCATAAAGAAAGCTTTAAGCCTGGATTTTCTTATGAGAATGCCCATAAAACTTTACAAGCTTAAAATTACTCAAGAAAATTAGATTTTTATCGTAATTTTTTATCATCAATTCTTCTCAATACATTTGTTACAAGTTCGCCCTTATAATTTTTCCATCGCATTGATTCCATCAAACTCTCAACTAATTGCTTGCAATCAGGAAATCTCTCAACCTGGTCATTATATCAATAAAATTTATATTGGTTACATGGTAACTTCTCATTAGGCATGGTGTTAGCCCTTTAACTATAATTATAATTCACCTACTTTGATTTGCATGATACCAACTTTTGTTACAGATAAATGATCTCTAAAGATTCGTCTTGGTATTAAAATGCATTCTGCTCCATCGCTGATCTATCATAGTATTAGATATTAAATTAAAATATTTGCTGCGGGTTTTTGTTTAACAACGCACAAAAATATGATAAATTTCTTACCAAACTAATAGATGCGCTAAATTCTTTATCTGCGGGATAAATGATTGGTTCTATTCCCTGTACGTAACATAAATGGTATTAATTTGGACGACGACTAGCTAAATTGTTCATCATTTGTCATCAAAGCTAATTAATATATTTATATGCATCACTTTTAACATTTTATTTACTAATCCGATGATCTGCTTTTGCTTTTTCTTGTTATTGAGACAGCATCAATTATAGATATTTAATTTCCTTGATACTAGCTTATTATAATATGGAATAATTATTAATATAACAGAGAACACGGTGTAATCCTCATTTACTATAGTTTGTTGCAGCATATTCATCTATGAAGTTAAAATACTTGTAGCGTTCAATAGATAACCGTGGAAAAAATAAACGTTAACATTATTTTCATTCCTTAGCAAATGAAAACCGTATATATTCTATTCGAATGATTACTATCTATTGGTTTTGAGCCATATTTTATTTATACTGCAATATGAATACATGGAAACTATTATCGCCTATATCAGTAACTCCCACAGATTACTCTAAAAAGATAAAAAAAAATATGAGGCGTTATGTCTGTACCTGATATACTACAATATCAATGCTACAAAATTATTGCTTTGCTCATTAGTATATGCAATCATAAAAGGCTACTTTAGCAAGGTAAAAGTAGGCGCTGGAATGCGACTAAACGTAATTTAGAATAAGAAATAGAAAGCAAAACTAAAATACAGGATTTGTATCTGGATTATCGATCGGTAAAGTTTAGGAAATTAAGCATGTCGTTAACGTTTCTTGTAAATAATTTTTTAAAATAATATTATGCAGCTTCTATTTGAGTTTGTAATGACGAAGCTTAAACCGACTTACAAATGCCTCACGTGTTCGTAACGTTTTCAATTCAATATAAGTCGGTAAATATTTGATGGTGCTATTAATGGTTACACGAGACTTATTGGAACTAGTCTATATGTTGAAATAATATAAAGAAGAAAGTTAAAAAACGGACCTGATTATATTTTCATCAAATAAACTTACACTAGATCTTCTATAGTCTAAGTTATAAGATGTAGAAGATGAAGATGTTGATGCTGCCGATAAAATGCGAGATTGGCGGGTTCTCTTCAAAGATCTACTAGTTGTATATTTATTAAGCAATATATTCATTTTCGGTAACATTACAACAGTATTTTCTCTTTCAGGAGCAAATTCCACGCTATGTCCACCTAAATGTCAATTAGGTTATATCATAAACTTAGTTTTATTGTACTCTTACTTCTGCAATCACATACAGCTTAGAATGTAAATTATGCGTAAAGGACATATCATTCTTGTCTGTAACCATGTATCATTATAAATACTTGTATTTATATAGTATAGTATTCAAGTATTCAGCTTTCAGTTGTACGTACAAACTATAACAAGTATGTTTGCATTTTAAATTTTATATACAAGATCTTTGGAGAAAGACTAGACTGCTAGCCATTGTTATAATTAGTAACTAAGCCCCTTATTTTGGGTAATCACAAAATTAAATCGATTACTTAGTAGGTAAATGAATGCGCCCGACTTACATGATGTCGATTTAGGCAATTTCGAATTTACGACTGAAGGTAAAGGTTCATTGCCTCTTCCAGCAGCATGGCGCTCATACCAATTATCTTCATCATCCCATACTTCATTAGTCCATCCGTAGTCATTAATTAATTTTGAAGGGGTATTAGCAGGAATTTTATAGACACTAACTGCACGGCTACGGCTGCTTCCATAATTTGGAGATTTATCGCCAATGAAGCTAGCTAACGCCTTGCGATTTTCTAGTGTACGCCTTTCTCGCAATACTTCCTTATAACGTTCCAATTCCGTAGTAGTTAAATATTTGATTACTTTGCATTTACCCTGAAATCAGAAATAAAATAATATTATCCTTATCGACTATCTATGGCGAAATAAGATATCAGAATACTGTATCAAGAATTAGAACGTGAACTTACGCTTGTTATAACGTATACCCACTGAGAATCGGCACAATTAGGACAAATAACTGAACCTCTCCTATAATTCATCAGGAATTGATTTTCAGACAGTTAGACTAATTCGATTAATATTTAACCTACAATTCCTAATTTTTATCGCTGAGAAATTTCGTATCAACCAAATACCCGCATCTTGTACATACCCATTTTTAATGTAATATCCGTACTGATATTACTAAATTAGATCTATAAATTTTATTATATAAGAATTCTTCCATGGACTTACGTAAAATTTTGCATAATCCAACTGTGTGGATCTTTGTACAGAACATCAACTGGCCAATCTGATAATGCATACACCTGCCTAAAATTGAAATTGAAATTGAAATTGAACTTCAGCTATCGAAAATTAATTTTAAAGTAGCCTAAGATCCTGGAATTCAATCACTAAGATCATAAATTCACCTACTACTTATATTTTAACTTTAATACAACTATTCAGTTGAACAAAATTTTGTTATGTTTATGTTATAGTATTAAAATTTTTACACTCGTATTAGCTATTAATTTGCCTGTAGAACATATTTACCGGCATATATCAAGCGTTTTATCTGATCTTTTCATAAAATTTTTAAAGATATTTCCATAATCCTATAGGAAAAAAAAGTTTAATTTAAACAAGCTCATCCATTACGCGTGTTGGAAGTAAAAAATTGCACTTATAATCTGAATTCCAGGTTTACCTATAACTAGTTATTCTACCTAATCATAAATAAATCTATTTACTGAATCAAAAAATGATTTCATACTTTTACGTGAATGACGAATAATTCCACATCTTCTTTAGTAAATACCGTTGCACTTCGTTCCGTACTGTAATAAATATCTTCCAACTTAAACAAATTAAGTTGTAATAAGTCATTTGATTAGATTTGTTAATTTTTGACAGTGCAGAAATGTTTAAACATTTTATTGGTATTAAATATCTTAACTTACACCGAAGCTATGCCCATATTGTAACTCGTCTCGATTTTCACCATCGAATAAGATATCGTGAACATTAAGATGTAATTTTCCTTCTAACTTTTGTTGCATATAAAATAACCTATCATCATCTCCACGATCTTGCATTACTAAACAAAATGTTGTTAATTTAGAGATTTCAAATCCTGTATCATTAGCCTCTTTCGTAATCTATTTATAAAATTCGTAATATGTGAATAAAAGGAAAGTACATTCTATAATCCTTAATAAACGCACATGTTCCGGATAAAACAAAAAATAGGCAATCACTTCGATGTCCTTTACGAATTATCACTCGATCTTTATCAAAGCTATAAAGTGAAGTTGCGACGTGACATACGTAATTTAATTCCTTCTATAATTTACGATATTCTAGATCATATTCGCTATTTCTAACAGTGAGATCATTTTTGCATTTGAAGGTATTGAATATGGCTACTTACGAGTCGTACCAAGCTACTTTACAAAATTCTCGCTGGACATAAACGGGCCATCTCGCAAACATAATTACGGATTGCATTAACGCACGTAACTATATTATTTATAAATAAAATTGAAGAATATAATACTGCATAGTTACGTAAATGGCATTTAAAATTTTTATATCTCAAATATGGAACTTAATCTTGCTTAAGCTCAATTCCTCGCGATCTAAGAATATTGCCGGTACAATATTTAATAAAAATCAAATACGATAAATTTATATGAAAACAGTACATTAAGTTTAGCAGACGCATATTGGTTCAAGGTCATCATGCTCATGTAAAAACGAAAGCTATAGCCATTTTACTAATAATATTGCATTTTAATAAAGGTCATAATATATTTTTAGTTTTACTTGGTAACCGAGGAGTCTGAAGATTATCATTATATTAGAAAAATTCAAGACCATATTAACAATATTTAGTAGAAACAAGACGTGATAAATTTATGTAAAATACAGTATTACACATAAGTATCGTACATGTGTAATACTTCCTGATCATAATGTACATTGCAAGAATGCAAGCTATAAACAATTTTACTCGTAATATTGCATTTTAAGAGTGCTAATGAAACATTTTGTAGTTTTACTTTGTAACCGACGAGTATGAAGATTATCATTAAATTAGAGGAATTTCAAGACCATGCCGAATAGCTGATCGTTATAATAAGTAAATTGCGAAATCTATTAAACCAAAAATTTACCTTCATTTATTGTATACTGATACTATATTTCGAAATTAAATCAACATATTTTCATTTAGGATGACAATAACTCACTTGTTCAATCATTTCTAAGGTTCGTTCAGACGGATTAGTGTTTAAAACATTCTTTCCTCGAGAAGAAAATTTTACCTGATAGTGTAATTAATGCGATTAATTTGTGAAATTAGATAAGACTAATAGAATTACGTAATTTTCACCAATTTGGGGAAGTTATTTGGACGAGATTGTTCGATTTTTATCAGCATGCATAGTAATTTATGTTTGAGTTTTAAAAGCAAGGAATTTAAAGCTCAATGCGTGAGGAAAGTTAAGTACAATTACATGATAGCTTTTCATTAAAATTATGATCACAGTACAGTTAGGACCTAACAGACGAGTATATTACTTGAAAATTATTTGCATATGCAATTCCATATGGCGATACCAAGGAGATACTTTTAACAATTTATTCATTGCTACAATGTTATTACCGACTATGCTCTACATTTTTCTTGATGAATTTATATGGTCAGTAATATTAACTTACGCCGTGCTGTCTACGTCGGAATGAATCTAAGTCATCCAGTTGTATTTCAGGAACGCTTTCCTCTGATAGGACGTTGACTTCATCAAGTGGCCAATAAATTTTACTACAGATGAGATGCGTTATGAAATAGATGAAATATGCACACAATAAGACTACGACAAAAATTCTTGCTGCTTCAAAACTGTTTAAAAATTAATTTAAATCTATTCCTATACGGATAATAATCTATTTCATCACAATATTTCTATGTCAAAAATACAGTAACGTCGACAATAAAACAACTGTAAACGTTCGGAGTACTATCAGTATTCCAATTCAATGTAGATATATGAATTAAAGAGTTTAGTACAAGATATTAAAAAAAGGCAGCTTTCACAATTTAGTAGCATTCCAGACAAATAGTAGCTTCTTCTATGATTTATCAATGACAAAGTAACGCTGTATCGCTGACGAAGCTATATCACGCAATTCTTTCTAGATATAAATCGACAGCACTATAATGGCTTACAAAAGCTCTAGTACGACAATAATTTTAATATCATTTAATTTAAATTCTACAGTAGATAATGGCTATCGAAGCATGATTATTATTAGATGTTAATTGATAATACTTTGTACCCATCTTTCAAAATATAATATCAGTAAAGAAATAAAATTAATCAAGAACTTAAATTCGACTGTAAATATTATTAAATACTCTTACGAATTGCTATTATCTGTATTTTAAAATTGATAAGTAATTTTAATCATGATATTAGTATAAGATTCCTAGTAATCATTATTGTGTAAGCTTTAATTTAGATACTTATTTCAAAAGGGATTTACTTACTGCAATCTTTGGCGCGACTCAAAGTAACACTTGAAAATCATGATCATAATTCTAACTTTTCGACGAAATAGCCTACGCAACTAAAATTTTCTGCAAACAATCAATAAAAAATCACAACAGCCAGCTTCATTTCCTATAGAAGCGATGATCATATTTCTTATAAGATTTACTGATAATCAAGATTGTACATATATACAAATTGAAGCAAAATAGAGAAAAGATTGATAGTCAGCGAAAGTAATGGAACAAGTTGATCGATAAGATAATTCAATGTGACTTTAGAATTAGTCCAAGACAATCAATAATTTTCGGATTAAATTCGAATGCCTTTACTTGTTTTTCTGCTAGCTACTGTCTTCAGGTACTACAATTTATATTTATTTTCACTATTTTAAGTTTTAGGCGATAATTAGAAAAGAGCAACTAATTATTCTATTGCAGTAAAATGGACAATTTTCCTTAATTCATCATCTTGTGAACAAAACTGTCTGAAATGGTTATAGTATATTCCCAAAGTAGATCAGTTTATAGCTTAGATTTTAAGAACATACAAGTATCTAACAAACAGAGAGATAGACTTTGGCATTTCTTTGTAAAATAACTGATTAACGTAATGCCAACTTGAACGGAAATAAAAGGCTTGTCATATTATTTGACTGCCTAATAATTTTCTTTTATTTTTATTATTTTAAAAGCATCTAGCTTCAGATTTAGTAATGATATTTTATGTTCCTACAGACAGTTCTCTAGGTATCCAATAGTTTCCTTCAAGGATGGTCGGTTCAGTGTAGCAATAAATCTAACGGCATGATAATATGGTAAGCAAGGCAATAAATCATAAACTTACACTTTTCCTTTTATAAATTTTTGAAACCAGGGACATGGCATGTGATTTTTGTCGTTTCAATGGCAAGTCGGGTAGTTGTAAAAAGGACATACTATTTCGCTGTTCGCGACGATTTACAATTCTCTGCATATTGGACGTATTCAGTTGAAAGCTAAGGTCTAAATCAAATATTCCTCATATTTATTAAAGCATTCGTAAAAGAAGCAGTAATTAATTCTTAGCAATAGCGTAACTATGCTAAGAGAAGCGTTGTACAGCCTAGTCGAAATCAACTAATAGACGATCAATGAAAAACAAATGCTTGAATCGCCTACTTTGGCAATGGATGGTTTCCCTCTCAGAGAATGAAAAATCATTCATCATGATTGACGATATTATCGCTAACCAAAGAGACCACCAAGAAATAAGAATGCCTTTCTTTTACTAATATTATTGTTAGTGGCTTTTATGTTGCATTTTGCACGTCCCATCACCCCACGGAGTCCATTTTTACAGCATGAAAAAAATCGGTGATCCATTGTTGTTTTTAGTCTTGATCTTATACGCGTTGCTAATATCCAGTAGAGAAACAACATGAGATCAGTTACATCATGTGTGCAATTTTATCAATACAACTGACAAAGAGCTGTTGACAAGTCTATAGTTAGGCAAAATAAGTAGAAAAAAAACAGTCGACATTACGAATATATAGACAATTTACCTTTGCTCAACTCTTGATAATGCTATGTGTTAAATATAAAAGAAAGGAACGTAGACAATAATCACATTTAATCTAGTAGCAATCATTTTCGATAGCCTTCAGAAAACTTAAACTCTGCACAGGTAAATGAGTATTGATTTCAAAACGGTTGATGATCAAGATAGAATGAGCATGAAATTTGAAAGGCATAGTAAGTTGTTTTAAAATTGTAGAAACCGTCTAGAAAATAAAGTAGAAGGTTATTACTGATATTGGAAGGAGCTACCCACGATCTAGAATATGAAAACTATTTATGATTAAATTACGCCAATCTTAGTCGCAATCCGTTACCAATATATATGTCATGTTATATATGTTGTAGATTGACAAAGTCTTAGCCATTTAACAAATAGAGAGAATAAAATGCTATCGCTGTAAAGCAGCATGATATACCAGGATAAACGACATCACTTATATAAAACCATTTGCAACCATAAAATAGAATTTTTTACCATTTTTATTAGTATCGAAACAAAAAGAACGTACTATAAACAGTAGTTCATTAAAAGTATATCACATTAAAGCATAGGCTTATGAAAATGCAAAGCATCACTGGTAATAAAGTATCTATCTTATATTAAATTATCCGACATAGTATCACACCAAAAAATCCTTAGAATTTTATCCTGTAGCTACTATTATGACCGCACAAGATATTCGTATATATTTTATGACACTGGATAGTCTTTTACAATTAATTATAATAAATTAGCCAGCTGCTTTTATGTCATAGGTATGCAGCCAAATGGATGGTACTGTAGGATGAGGGACAGTAGTTACATATTAGCTAGATGAAGGGAAAGAAGTTCCCATATCAGCATAGTTCAGTCTAATTCTATGAATTGCTAAATAGAAATAACGAGGCATCGTTTTGTCTTATTTTATAGTCTATTAAGATGATTTAGCATTCTAAACAGTTAATTTGAAATCCTGTAAAGTATTTACTCGCAATTGTGTTATTATAGTGGAATGAAAAGGAATATGTGCGAGTATTTCCGTAAGCAAATAAGACAATTACAGCAAAATACTAAGCCCTTAGGCTTCCTTTAGGATACACTGTCTTGCCACATTACTAGTAGAATGTGGTGCAGTAAATCAATCATTATTTGATTTCAAGCAAAAGAATGAACCTATACTCATCGGAATTTTTTTCAACGTATTACCAGATGATAGAAGTTTAATTACATTTGCTTATAATCCTATTACAACTAATTGAAACCAGGCAGGTGAAAAATAGCATGATTTGAAACTGAAGGGTAACCATTGGAAGGCGAGAGTGTAGTAATTCAATTCATAACCATATTAATACCTTCTATTCGATCACCGGGGCTTTTAATTATATATTCCGTATCCTAATATATCTGAAAGTGAAATTGTGAGATTAATAATTCGGGTTAGAACTTTAATATTAAGATAGTGATCATTCTTAATGAATAAGCAAACTTGTGCTAACATCTATTATGTCTACGTAATTAAGCTACATAACTGATCAAAGTAGTGGACTTCTTCATTAAACTACTAGATTGTAATTTTACAACAGCTGAAACTGCTTTTCAATAACTTGTCAATTAATTATAATTATCACTATCTTGGACGAAGTCTATTATGACGCTATCCCTTTGTATAAATACTCAGCCCGAATTGAGAGCAACACTATTCGTGAGAAAGGGATGTATCAAGTGCAAACCTTCAATATCATTCAAAGGGGTAGTAATATGTCCCACTTAACTGCCCTAAAATGCTGCCAGTAAATTTTTTTTACTTTCTTTTGATAACATTAACATAACCCATCCGCTAAGACGATATTACTTATAAAACAGAGTACCGTTAGCTGCACCAAATGGTAGAGAAGATGATGACAAAAATTCTGCAGAGAGTACAGGAGATAAATGAATAGCTACTCAAACTACACATCAAATTTGGTCGGGCACTACTTCTAATCTCGGCCACTAGCCATAAATGAACGGTTGTCGCCATCAATTGATTTCCTTTCATAGCTAACTATTAAAAAAGTAGTTTACATCACAAAGATGATTTATCTGCCCTAAAATGCTGCTAGCAAATTATTTTGAATGTCTTTTGATAAAGTCAATAAAAACCCATCCACTAGGATAATATTATTGACAAAATAGTGGTGGTTGCATCAAATGGTGGAGAAGATAATAATAAAATTACTGCAAAATCGACCAATGCCAATTAGTCAAGCGACAAATTTGGCTGAGCAATACTCTTAATCTCGATCACTAGCTATAAATGAATGCCTGTCGCCATCGATTGATTTCCTTTCGTTGCAAACAAATAGAAAAGTAGTTTGCATTATAAAGGGGGTAGTAATATACCCTTCTTCGTTGCCCAAAAACGCTGCTAGCAAATTATTTTGCCTGTCATTAGATGAAATCAGTAACTGCCATCCGCTAATGCAAATAATACTATAAGATGCTAGACAGTACAGTAGATAAATGCTGTAATTAGCCACTGACGGTATGCAGTACGACAAAATTGACAGGGCACATTCTATAATCTCAATCACCAGCTCTAAATAAATGTCTATCGCCATCAACCAATTTCCTTTTCATAGTAAACTATTAGGAACGATAGTTTCCATCTTATAAGGAGTACTAGTAGTATAGCCTGACTAGCTACCGTAAAATGCTGTCAGCAAATTATCCTAACTGTCTCTTGATGAAATCAATTCAAAAAAAGCCATCCACTAGGACGATGTTATTTACAATATAGAGTATTCGTGGAACCAAATGATGAAGAAGATGATGATGATAAAATTACTGTGCAATCCATCACTGCTGATTAGCTTCTCAAGCCAACACTGCCAATATGACTGATTCGTGGGCACTACTTCGAATCCCTAGCTCTAGCTATCCATGAACGCTTATCGCCATCGATTGATTTCCTTTCATAGGAAACGAATCAAAAAGTAGATATATATCATCAAGCGGGTAGTAATATGCCTTACTGAGCAGCCATCCAATGCCGCCAGCAAATTATTTGACTTTATTTTGATAAAATCAACAAAACCTATCTGCTGCGATGATATTATTTCGAAGACAGAGAATTGGCAGTTGGGCTCAATGATGGAGAGATGATGATCAAAATATTACGCCGTAGATCAATGCACCCATCAGCCACTCAAGCTATACGACATATTTGACTGTGCACTACTTATGATTTCAATCCCTAGCTACAAATGAACGCCTGTGGCACAATGATCGATTACCTTACAAAGCGATTACAAAAGTAGTTGACAACAACCATATTTACTATTGAATGACGTAGAATAGATAAAGTACTCTAGGTTGAATAGATACGATTGATACAATAGATAGCAAACAATAGAACAGTGGTCTTGCCTTTGTTTAATTTTATTTATTTATCTAGAATAGGTTGAGTTGCTTGTAAAATTGATTGATCTTCGTAAGACTCAGTATGGTGTTGATTTTATACATTGTTATCATTTAGCCAATAGAACAGGGACGCCAAGTCCTTGTCACACCTACTTTAGACACATTTTATTATTCCAAAGGGCTAAAACGGCAGATTGAACACCTTCATCGCCAGTCATTTTCTACTTGAATTCGACTTGAGCTTGATCGAGACAAATATCGAGCACCATCGCCAGCTAGATAGCCTCTACAATAGAAAGATCATATTCATATATGAGTCATCTATTCAATCAAGGCTCATTATTGCATTGCCAGGGTCAAGAGTTTTTGAAGCGATCATCGACTGGGTCTGTAAGTAGAGCTAAAGCGTCGAATTGATCGTTGTTGACGATAGTTTCAACTAGCGATTAAGTTGTGGCCGACGTAAGATTCATTCTTCTATTGTATCACGATTACAGAATTCAAGAAGAGCTAAAGATGTCTTATCGTGCAACTAAACATGGATTTGCTGCTGAAGCCCAGAAGAAAGTAAGTTGACCGAGAGCCATAACCTGAATAATAAGTATAGGCCGCATGTTAGTATAATTACTAGGCTTACTGTAAAATTATCACGTAGTCGTGATCATCCATGCCCACCAAATGGCTGTTAAGGCAATCTTAAATGGATAGACCGTGCTTTCATTCCTATCGATAATGATGATCTGTTACGATTGCTTTTACTCCCTTTTTTTGTTACGCTAAGTTCTTAATTTTACCTCGTTCTTACGTATACAAGTTGAATTTTCAATGCGTACTCTGCTTGGCTATATCATCATATGCCCGTTAATTTATGAGTCCTTCGTATATCTCAGCATTAGCTTGAATGCGACTTAGCATCACTTCTCTGCATGAACAAATTGACAAACATCCATGACAGATAATACTAATTTTGTTGCAGTCTGGCTCGAAATTGCAAGTTTAGCATGAACATAAGCGCATAGAAAACACAATGACTTATTTATTTGACTTCGATAGCGTTATTTAAACTAAGAGTAGCAGTGACCAAATTGGCTGAATAATAAGAAAACTAAGACTCAGTTTTACATTGTAGGTAGCAGCAAAGCACAATCCTGAACAAGAAAAGGAAGTTTTAGACTGGATAGAAACGGTTATTGGAGAGTCGCTCTCCGGAAGTTCCGCCAAAGAAAAATTGAAAGATGGCATTGCCCTGTGCAAGTCAGTACTTTAATGTAACAGATAGAGAAATTGCTTCTTTATCTTATTTGTAGTAAATAATCTTCATGATACATAGCTTCCAACGCTGGAATACAGTTTGGAAGAGTGATCATTCCTGCATCAAATAGGACTTGAACTACATAATCTTCCACCTCACGCCTAACCTAATTAGCAACTTACTCACCTAATATTTATGGATCATAAATGTAATGAAATCGTCAAGTATTTCTACTACTCATTTAATGGTGTAAAATCAAATCGTTCATTACTTGCAAAAAATCAGACAGAAATCACACATTAAGTCCTTTAACTAGACAAGAAAGCTTTTAGATTCCAAAACTGATGCTTTAGTGAACCTTAGGAGGGACACTATCTAAACACCAATCGCTCTTTTGATTGATCATCGGTCGCTGTGGGATTATTTTTTACACTCATTAAAATACTATATTAACAAAACAAATCCTTTCAGTATGCAATTAATATCGTAGAATTTTAGTTTCAAGGGTACTTTTATAGACTGTATCTACATCACTTTAGTTATATGGATGTGGTTTAACGTGATTTGATTAGCTCGACGGAAACCTTTTAGCTACAATTACGGTATCTTAAGTGTATACGGGAACCATTAGCAAAGATCTTTGTCAGGAAATGTGAGTCTATGAAACCAACAGTTTGCCCGTCAACATCACATAGATCGAGAAGATAGCCGAGCTATAGCCATAAATTGCTCATTAGTAAATCCATATCAATATTCGTAAAGGAACTGCACCCTCAAGAAAGTCATCTACGCACGGCTGAAATAGTCAACTCCGATATCTTTTTTACTTATAAATAACCAATAAAATAATCTGTTGGCTATAAAAGACTAGTTCACTTTACTAAAGCTATATATAGTGAATACGAAAGAGGAGCTATTTATTGACTTAGTCATATTTGGCTTTACAGGCTAATCAACAAACTGCAACCTGGCAGTGTTGCGAAAATAAATGAATCTAAAATGGCCTTTAAGCAGGTGAATAGACAAACTATTTTACAGTAAATGCGACTCAACTCTTTTCTACTACTAATATAGATGTAGCATGCTTTTCATTCCTTATTTTAATTTTACTATAATCTATAATCATGGCTGCATTAAGGTAAAATATTACAGTACAACAATATTATCCACTATGGTAATGTTTAGTTTTTATAAGACCACGATACAGTTTAATGTTTGAAATTATGCGAAGCACACGTAGTTGAATAAACGAATAAGTATACATGAAGAAGTCAGTCACTCAAGATAGATTAGCTTTTATTGATAGAACAGCTACCGCGCTAAAAGCTCTAGAATAAAATATTTTGATAATAGTACCACGTAAAGATCCTCAGGTGAACTATTTTAAGCTTTCACCCTACCTGAGGTATTTATTACCGTAACTTTTGCATTTTTATGGGTTATATGATTGCATATATTATAACTATACACTGTTATTTTATTTCTCGTCAATCATACAATACGATACCTTTGAATTCTTCAAATATTAATTTCAATAGCTTAATTAACTTATGATTATTGAACTTTGATCCTTTCCGAAGAAAGTATATCTACCACTGCAATGCTAGGAAAATATACAGCATGCGTTATACGCCATTACCAAACCCCAAATTAATCTGGATTATACATAAGAGTCAATAAAATTTACTTTACTTTGGGATTGAATTTACTTTCTATATCAGAATTGCACAGTATATGAATATAATCTAATCAAGGACATTTATGCGTATCGGTTGGCAAAAAAAACGTGTCTGCTATTCTATTATTATCCATTGTTAACAAAGTAATAATCTAGAAATTGCAGAAAGCAGTAAATACAGTTTTTAAATTTGTATCAATCCAAAGTCCTGATTTTAACAGCTAAAGAACCATCTAAGTACAGTTTTATATAAGTGAATAACTAATGTCTTTTTTTACATGATAATTTCAACGTATCATCCTGGTAGCTCCCTGTATGTATAAATAATTGTAGTTTTGCTAGAGATTCATCAAAAATAGTAAGACAGTAATAGCTTTCTCCTAAAACGAGCTATCATATAATTAAAAATCTGTTATTTCACTGATTTCTTCTCATAAAACTTGCAGATGGAAAATATATCCAAATTCTTGGCTGCAATCGGTAAATATGGTGTTTCAGTTACGGATACATTTCAAACTGTTGACTTGTATGAAGGTCAAAATATGGTCCAGGTATTTAATAAATCGTAACTGTTTCTCTGATGAGTCCATAATTAAATCATTTAGCCTTCTTAATATGCTGTACAGTTAAGTATATCATCTAATCCAACCCAATTTAAACAGGTTATTTGCACTATCGAGGCTCTAGGTCGACAGGTTAGAAGCTATTCTTGTCTTTCATACGTATAATTAATTAATTACTATATAGATTCCGAGTGTATCTATCGACTGTGTCACAAACTGCAATAGTCGTTAAATACCTAAAATCCTTCTTTCTTATTACTTCATTAATTGTAGGCTAAGAAGAATAACTTTACTGGACCTACTATTGGCGTTAAAATAGCCACTGAAAACAAGCGTGAATTTACCGAAGAGCAGCTTGCAGCAGGTCAAACAGTTACCAGCCTCCAAATGGGTAGTAACAAGGGAGCAACTGCATCAGGAATCAACTTTGGCAACACAAGACATATGTAATACTGTTTTCGTTGAGCTATTGAATTTATTGACAATCGATGTTATCTGTAGGTAAATTTTCAATCATGCAGTTAGGGTAATAATATAATAGATCACTTCCAGTAGTACCTATCAAGCTCTAGAATCAAAACGAGGCATCTACCTTAAATAAAAACTTAAGATTAAAAATAGTACTTTTAAATTCAAGTTGTTAAGATGTGAGTGTAAAGTGGTACTGTCGCTAACTACATATCAGCTAAAGACTTTGTCTTTGATTCCTTTGGTCTTAATCTATCTTATTTTTCGGGAGACTTTGAGCCACTTTTACTATTTACTCTGTAAAGTGGATTTATAGCATAGCCACGTTATTGAAGAAGGTAATAAAGTTTTTAAATGTCCGTTAATTGCAATTTCTACTCGTGTAAAAAAGAATTCAACCCGTGGCTTATAATACATGAACTCAAAAAAGAAATTTACAAGAAATAAGAGCTATGCCCTACTGATACTGAACATCAGAATCATTACTTAATCATCTATTCTAATGATATGTTATTCACGTGCTGGACAATACTGCAGCAGTGTGTACAAAATAAGCGACAGCTTTTACTTCCAATATTTAAGCGATAAGCAAAATGGTACCCATCATTTCTATTCTTCCTCATGGCAAAGACACTACTTACGGTACGGTTTAACTGTAGTAGATAACGTGTACAAACATCTTCTAAAGATTTGGCTAAATCAAGAAACTTCTGCTGGCATTAATACAATTTTACTATATTTTATCAGCTATCTAGCACTTTCAAAGTATGAATTGCTGCATCCGCTCTTTAGTTACTTCATTAATAACAACTAGAGAAACCCGTGGAAATTTCAAGAAATTTATTGCAATTATAACTTAGTAACAAAGTGACACACGTAAAATCGCATTAATATGATTTGATAGCTATCACTTTGCAATAAAGAAGTTATTTGGCTCTTCATGATCAGCTAACTCTCCTCTTAAAGGCCTACAGTCTTTCACAGAATTATCGAGTTTATACATTGATATTTGGAATATACAATATTCTGAGCGATCAAATATTATTAGGAATAATATCTAGCCACAACTAAAAATGTTTCTAGCCATTACTTCATAGTATATGTGTAAATTATTAGCAATAGTTTCCTATTATTAACTAACAACAGACATACTTATTCTAATTTGTGACTTCTAATGTACACTTTTAAGTAAATTTTAAGACGAAAAAGACCGTTTAATCCTTAAGCAAACTAAAATAGTCAAGTTTATCAACTCAAAATAGAGCTAACTTGACGAATTCGTGAATTCAGATTGCAAGAACAACGACCTTTAACTTAATATAACGTGATTCACTAAAATATAGAATTGCGAGCAAGAAATTACCGAAATAAATTAAAGAAGCACCCCGATATTACCCGATATATGACAATATTTTAGTTTCCTATCAATAATTTCCTGGTTAATCTGTCTAAACTTTCCTATTTAACATTGATAATATTTTCATGTAGAATAGCAAATAAGTAGCTGTGACAGTGCTATGTACTGTATTAGAGTAGAAATATCTATGTTAGGATAATTCTGTTAGCCTATCCTTATTTAGTTAACTTCTAATTTGGATATACTGTGTTTTAATACAGAACTGACTTTTTATGAAAGTGACACTTATACACATACTGAAATTAATAGTTATAATAGGGAATGCAAATCATCTACTTACAGTTCGAATCATTGTGATTGTAATTTACTTATGGTAGATCGTAAATTATCATGGAAGTGCTCCGTGATAGGACATATCGTAATCTGACTATTCTGTATTAGTCATTACATGTCTATGTTCGTAAATACTGTTGTCTGCATTAAGGGAGCAGTAGCTAATTTTAATATCTAATTCAGTAAATGATTCCGAGGTTAATCGTATTAACTATGACTCATGAACTATTTAGGAATAGTATATAAATGCAGCATATCGTGTAATAAAGTGGATTCTCAAACTTAGTATTTAACGTAAAATACGTGGCGTTTAAGTCTTTGTGTAGTCTGCTAGTAGAGCAAAAGTGTTTATGATAGTGCAGATATCGTTCCTTGATACGTAGTTCAAGGAATTGACTTATTGATCGTATATTACGTTATCTTGTTGCAAAGCTGTTTTTGTGACAGTAGCAACAGTACTAAAAGCATTATATGTAGGCCCACAAATGCACTAGATTAGAAATCGTTTTAGAGCTTCAATATTGTATAAATTCATTCATCGTTCATCTTTATTTTTCATCCTCATATTAATTGAAGTTTATATATTTTTTATATTGGAATGTACAATCATACTGGTTAATTAAGTTTGCAAGGATATAAAAATCGCTTCAAATGGCATAGAATATTAGAGTTAAACAAGAATCTTTATGAAGTAAATTAAGTACGGACTAGGTTTGGGCTTAGGTTTAGGTTTAGGGTTAGGTTTAGGATAAAATGCCCGTATCCAGAATTTTTATCAGAAATATAAATTTAGCTTCAGGTACAGTTAGAATAAATATGCGTATCTGAATACATGCACTCGTACTCGTAGATTTAAAATCCAGAGCAAGTTTATAGTGAATTGAGTAAAAAAAATAGACAGACATTGATTTATTGTAGACATTGACTGGTTCATCAATATTATAAGCCAAATTTATGCCTTATTTAGTTCTGCCACAGCAAGGACTCCATACCGACATCTCAAAATTCCCCTAATGCTTCTTTTGGATTTGGTATAACGACATGATAACAAGATCTTATTTAATCTATAAAATTGAATTTAAAGATTTTATATAAGCAGAGCCAGCTGCAACTTAACGTCAAGATGGCTAATGATAATATACATTGTTCGCTAATGAAGCACCCCGCTAAGAAGATGAATGAAAATGGCTATGAAAGTAAAATTATGATTATTTTCAGTTACTTAACAGTCCCAATCACAGTTGGAATAGATAGACAACCACCATAGTTGTGCCATATATATATTGATTATTATTGTAAGTTCGATCCATAGTCGCTAGCGTATAGGGTAATTCAAAGGTCAATAAGCCATTCAAATAGATTCTACGTGATTAATCCCAATAATTATAATTGTTACCTCTAGCTCGCACTAATATGCTCCTTATCGTTAGTAAAAAGTCTACATCTTAACTATCCACTACATACTATAATAACCAACTTACGTTCTTGAATGTGTCATTCTTGCTCTGAGCCATCATTATTTTAGCAGACTATTTTCACAGCTGGAACTAACTATGGCTGATATAGCTCCTGGATATTGGTTGTCCCCTCCAAAGACATATAGTGTAAGTTTGTTAAAATTTTCGACCTGATTGTCGTAGAATAAAAATGGCTATATAAGCGAATCTAGGAGCGATTAAAAATCTAGGTCTTCTTGAAAATACTTCTAGATTGATTTAACCGAACTTATAATTAACTTTTGACCGTACGATGCTCTCTAATTAGATTGTAAATATGGAAAAATAGTAAAAAATAATGTCATTAGTTTCAAGTTACTAGTTTTAAACGAGTTCATAGTTCTTGAGAGATTACTGTCTACGAAATAGAATCAGTTCTTAACTACTACGATTCTTTTCACAAAATCAAGCCTTAAGCATATTTACTATAAATTTCGTTCAAAATTTTTGGCAAGAGATATTTAGCTTATTAGCATAAGAGTCACTAAAATGTAGAATCATCATACGTGTAGGTTAAAATGAATTCGTAATTCGCTAGAATTACCGTATTAACAGACTGAGATTGTTAAACTGCAGGCAGTTGATTCCGTCTATAATGCATTATATATAGATAAAATCATTTGACCAGAATTTTACTGTTTGTTAATTCCCTTATAGACCAGTCATCGTTTTTAGCTAAATTATTGTATATTATTAATAAGAGTTTCAATACCTTAGTACGAAACTCTTACTCGTAATGTTTAGAATGCCGATGCTCTCTGTTGATCAACGGAAGGATCGACCATCGTATTCAATGCGATATTATTGTATCAGTTTAAAAAGATCTACGTATATTGCTATTATAGCTTATAGCATTCGTAATTTTATTTGGTTACAGATCATTTCCCCATTTTCTTTTTTAAATTTTCTATCAACATACATTTAGTATACATTTTACGGTAGCATGACTAGATTTATCTTAAAAGCCCAATAGTATTTTTGCTCGTTAACATTATAATAACATGTGTCAGTATAGATTCCTGATCTCCTTTACAAAATTAGAATTAACCTGAGCGATTTGCTAAGGCTAATGTTGAAACAGCTTTATCAAAATCATGAATTACTATGTACTTATACAGAGTAATACTGAACTGTAATATGGCGGAATTGAAAACTAGTAACATAGCAAATCGATTAATCATTTTACTGCAGTAATGATTAAGGTCTAAGCAATAGCATAACGCCATTTAATTTACTATAATGCGAATTTGTGCTCAAATGAGGCTTTTATCTTTACTAATAGTGTCCTATAATTTTTATATCGTAAACGTAATAATACTGTCTTTCTTTCTCATTTAGTCTCGCGATAAGCGAGATCTAGGTAAAGAAATGAAAGTCCTACACTGGATCTCAGCTATTATTGGAAGATCACTAGGAGATGATAACGCTCCCGCTAAATTAAGGGATGGAATCGCACTTTGTGAGTAAGTAAAACTCTTACAAATTATGCGGAAATACTTCTATATTAAACACAGCCTTAATATTACTTCATCTCCATAAATACTCACCTTTAAATCAGATACTCGACCATTGCTTTCAAATAAAGCGAGCACCCAATTCTCTAAACTAATACTAAATGCAAAATTAGAGATTTTCTGTATTCCATCTATATTTTGTCGTAGCCAATACTACTATTTTCATCGCTATTCTGATTTATTCCACAAGCAAAAGGCTATAAAGTACAACAAGAAACAAGATCAAGCATTTAAGAAATATTAATGTTGCTATCATTATAGCTACGCCTACATTCAAACTTCATTTTTTTAATTAATGGCTAAATATGAAAATTCATTTTCAAGAGCTAACTATCAAATTCTAATCACAATCAGCACTAACATAAAATCTTCAGCCTTATCTTTATCGATAGAAAAGGACTAAATTACCAAATAAAATTTTTGCACAAAGCAATATCAAAGTTATAGCCAACACGATTTCGTCGCTAGAGAAAATCAAATATATAGTCGTCAAAATTTTTCTTAATTTAGGCTCCTACATGTAATATAAGTATCCGATAGACTTTAAACTTATTCTACTGTCTGAATTCAAAATTCAAATGTCGATTGCAGCTTTCAATTCTCTTCATCCATCCACATCAAACCATTTACCATGAAATCCTGCTTTATATTTCAGCTATTTCGAGATAGTTTTTCAACTTCCTCTAAGTATTTTACTGGTATATAACATATTTCTAGGTCATATTCGTAGTTTTTAATTGACTTTGCGTAGCAAACAACCATATCTATAAGCATTTTATGAAAATTTTGGTTCTATAGATCTATCTCTGTTTTTATAGATTATTCTTTATAAGTACATAAGTCTTTCTATCCGTTTGCTAGATAACTGATTGATGTTTTATATAGTAAGTTATTTTTAAAGTCTTCAACAATAGTCTTCACTGAAATATGTTTTAATTTCTGTCGTAAAATTTCTGAATCTGAGAGATACCGCTGATATAGTATGTCATTTAGTTACTTCGTTTAGGAAGTCCTGCAAATATCTTTTTTATTGTGATTTTCTGTACGTTCTCTGCTCAAATCTCTCGATCTAACATACGTTCGAGTACTAATTGATAACCCAAACAGTAATTTAGTTTAAATTTAAGAAATTCTTCACGCAGTAACATATCTGAATTTACATACATAATTCATATCGCCGGACTAAGTTGCTGATTGATGGTTCTTATAGCAATTTTTAGCTGTAATAATCTTGGTATTTATACGTGATACGTATTAGTAACATGTTTACGGAGGATGTCTGCTTAGACCAATCTCAATTCGTTCTTATTATAACAGTGAATTAAAAATAATCAATTTTAGTTCTACTAACTGTAAGTAGAATAGCTTCCTTGAAACAATACACGTATCGAAAAATTCGTCTTTAACATAGTGTTGCTTATCATTCAGCTAGATTGACACCAGCTATATGTTACAAATGTTTGCTATCAATAGCATTTAGACAAGCATTATATCATTATTTCCGATAAATTTATAATAAAACTTTCAGTTTATACTAACAGATATCGATAGTTGATGCGACAATATTTCTAAACTATATCTAATATCTACTTTGACTGCAATGCATCTGCTTATGAGCAGTATAGCATAGGCAGAAATCCGTCATTAAACTCTTGGCCACTGCTTTAATTGAGTAAACAAGTTAATTAGAAATTGTATTAATAAAAGAATGGTATTTCCTAATCTATCATCTTGTATTTTTGTTGACAGATACCTTTGTTATCATTTTAAAAGCGATTTAAACGAAAATTATTTTAACATTAGCCTAAATTAATTTTTCTTTTATAATATAGAATTTTTTAATTTATTAAAGCAGTTTTTATGCATCAATGAATAAAATATGCCACATAGAAAGATTTTATTTAATTTAGTTTCGATTTTATATAGGTTAATAAATCAATTACAGCCTGGATCAGTTTCTAGTATAACCCGTAGTCGATCATCTTTTGGTAAGGTATGTACTTATGTATAATTAATCAAGTGTCTAGCAAAATTCGCGGAATGGCAGAGAAATTACAACGATATTATAGTATATCATAGAACGATACAGCCTTAAAGGACGTTTTTAACTACTCACACTATGTAATAAAACATTACATGCATATTAAGCATGAATATTATTGATCGATACCTTACTTCTACTGAAAAACCAACTAATCAAATTTCATAAAAGCAATATCATCCTTATAATACTGGTATTGCTTTACAAACAGCCTCGGATCGATCATGAATAGATTAATTAGAAATAATTACAATTCCAAATTTTTAATAAAATATTATTTGCATTACTGAATAAACGAATTAATAAAGATTCTCTTAATTTAGATCCAAAACATCTCCAAATTTCTAAAAGCTGCAGAGTTGTATGGAGTGAATAAAGAGGATTTATTTCTACCATCGACACTATACGACGGTCATCATATGGTAGAGGTATGATAGGCTTATTTCACTATTTTCTTTCCAATAAAATTATTACATAATCCAATTTCTATGGGACACTTATTTTATTATACGCTAATAACATTATTAAATTTGCTTAGACCTTGTTTAATTTATGCATTACGATGTTGAACCATTCTTATTTTATAGGTTATAAACGCCATAGAATCTTTAGCCCTACGTGTTAGTCATATGCTTTGAACCTATATTAAATATGTAGTTTATAATTTAAATGCAGGCAATGCTTCATTTTTGATCGTCAATTGGTACATAAGCTCATACAAATTTAAAATTTTTCATCTAGCAGGCTCAGCAAAAAGGCTTTGATGGGCCAAATCTTGATTTATAATAAATTTGAGCCACAAGCTGGCTTACGAAAAGAAGCAACAATTACGCTAATAATTTACAGAAAACCTTGGCTAATCAAAATATTCATCCTTACAAATTTAAGATAATCTATGGCATATTTGTATTTATTATTTGCCGCAAATTAACTTTGCAATAGCTTCTGAAACTCTGAAATCATTAATATGTGTACGATATATGAAAACTGAAGGCAGCCTAGTGTGAGCTGTAGTCGAGTATCGGATAAATATCTCTGCCCAAGCTCAGAAGCTCTTCAGGAGCTCTAACATTTAACTGTTTCAATCATACAAATTAGTTATTATTATAATATCTCAGTAGATAAATCCAAACAATTTGCATTCTTATTATACGAGAGCTATCGTAGCAATAATTTACATCATCCAAAGGATCTAAATATTACCAAATCATTGGTGCGGAAAATGTCTTCCCATAGTATATTAGCGTTTCGTCTTGATATGTCTTGTAAATTTAGTCTACAAAATGGAACAATAAACATTTTCATTACAATAATTGTATTAATAGTTACATAAGTTAAAAGTAAATAAAATATTTAGTGTTTTCTAAAAACAAATGTTTCGTGTTATCTAGAAATAAAATAAATTATTGCCTATAAGCATAAGCTATTTAAAAATAGACCTTTTTATTTCGTGATCAGCTGATCCATAGTCATATTCCAATATTTTATGGTGAATTGGATGACAATATTAGCAACTTTAATATTTTTGTACTGTTATAAATTTACGTAACACATAAATAGGTTTAAATCTTATTAACTCCTAAAAGTAAATCAATTAAGTGATACATCAGTGCTACTTTTTAAAAAACTCTCTGCTAAAAAATATAGTAGTTCCTCCAGCAAGTAACTCTTAGCAGTTTGAACAGTATTATTTGTAAAGCAGAGCTTATCCCATTCGTAATTGTAATAATAAAAATCTTCCATCTCTTAATCGTTAGTTAATTGACTCTAACATAAATGAAGTCCTACGACATGTGTAATCAAGTATCTTCTCAAAAACAAAACAAGAACTACAGTTTCTTGTTAACTTCACTTTATTGCCTAAGTTACGCTCGTCTAACAGATACCAAGGACGATGTCTAGACTGTCTCTTATACAATCTCGCAATCTCACAATCTCACAATCTCACAATTATTTATTTTCATATAATCTAGCAATCTTAATCTTCGATTTACTGTATTTGGGGCTGTACTGCAATATGCTAGAAGTATATTTTAAGTGTGCATTTATAAAAATTAATTATTACTTCTAGTAAAATTTTCAAGTATTAGAAATATATTTTTTACCCAGTAGAGGCTGTTATTACAATAAATTGTCTTAAATAATGAAATATGTTAAACTACAGTTTCTTTCAAATATCACATTATTACTGAAATTAGATTTGTCTTATTACCACCAAAGAGTGTCTAATTTCAATCAGATTCTCTAAATTGTTACAGTAAAATTCACAACTTACGAGTATAAGGCCTGCAAATCTCCATATTTTTAATTGTTATCAACTCCAAAAAATCAATCGAGTTCAGCACCATACCATACTCGATCAAACTACAAGTAGCATGCAGTTTGAAGTCGTTCTTGTGTGATATAGTCAATTTTTGTTCAGTTTAACGAAAAGTAACAACCATCCCACTTAAAGTAGCAAATAATTACCAGTTTTATTAAAGATTTACGGAAGGACATGATGGACTATTATCAAAGTTTTAATGATTTATTCATAATTACTGCACATTACGCATTATGGAAATGATCCAGGGAATATTTTCGTGCAAATTATTAGCTCACTATTTATGTAAATTAAAGCCCTTTTGGATTCTTATACATCAGTATTTCGATGTTTGATTAGTCTAATTATTCACTGTAGCTGTAATTCATGATTACGATGCATTCTAATGACTACCTACCGACAACTATTCACTGAAACGATATTTCCTCGCTATTAAAATTTAAGAAATTGCCTGGCAACGATGCATATACTTCGGATTATATAAAATATTTTCACATAGAACACACTATTTTAATAATCTGATTGATATGTATTTATTAATCAGATCTGATGACTTGCGGAGATATCTTAATAGTCTTATTATAGACATGATGATGTGATATAGATCACGTACACTAACTATATCGTGGAAAAGAAAATGTAAACAATTAGTAACTGTAACATAAAAGCCATATCATGACTATTGTATTCCATTCTATAATATTTAAGGTTACTTCGCATGAATCGATATATTGTAAATCTAATTTTTCATTATAATAGGTTATGGATTATCAGTAGGAAGCGAAAACGAGAAACAGATTAAATCTACCATCTGTTTTTAGATCTACTGCAGAAATATTTAAATTTAAAGAAATTTAAAGCATGATTACAATTTCTTAGTGTATTTACTTGGTAAACACTTCTAGCAATTGTAGTTTTCTTATTAGAAAAATCATGACATCCATATAATACTGAATAATAATATCAGTCCGTGCAGAATTTAACTAAAGGTCTAAAGATTAGTTAAAGGCAGTCATCAAACTCGGTTAGCATATCAATATAACTAGAGTGCACTAGTTCAGTTTGCCCTATATCTAGCTGTTCCATTAAATCACGAGCGACCTCTTGGCCATCTTCCAAGGTTTGATCATGCGTCAGATCGACCTATAGCCAATTTTGAGAACTAATTAGAGCTATCCATTTTGCTATAAAGCTTCATTGATAAAATTTAATGTTGCATGGATACCATTACTCAATATGTCCATTACTAAATTTATCAAATCTATTCTATTCCAAGATGATAAATTTAGCAGGAATTGAATTATAGCACGAGCATCTTTGGAAATTATAGTCTATCATACGTATCGTCTATTGGATAAGATAATGCCATTATTCAGTTTACCGAAATTTCTATAAAATCGCCTAAATCTGCCACACGATCTAAATAAATTTTTGTCTGTCCAAATTCGGCAATGAGCCTCTCCGTTCTTACAACTCCTAATCGGCGATCAGAGAAATTATGTTTATGTACGAACACAGGAAGCAAGCTGGTTTGAAATAAAAAAACATTATGACGAGTCAATATTGCCATTCTTTGGCTATTAGATTGTACCTTTAATCCCATAGGCTAATTTCAGAATGTTTTTAGTGGCTGTTAAATCCTGTATTGAAGTAAATATTCAAGATGTTGTAAAATTCTCTATACAAAAGCTTGAGAAAGAAATCTGATGGGCACCTAGTTGTGCTTACCTTAACTTCTGAATAACAATATTTGGAATTAGTAAAGAGTTCCTTGTCGGCTTCAACATCAAACATTAACAAACTTTCGCCGGTATTATATTCTCGTAACTAATCAATTTGCATAGGCACGAGCATGAAGTGTAAATTTTTACTTGAGAAGAGCCGCAAAAAATAAACAACAAATAAACAAGCTTACTTTCAAACGACCGTTAGGACATGTAAAAAATGTATCCTCTTGAATGTAGGAGAATCCTAATAGCATAAGTAAACTTTATTGAGCTTCAAGTATATTCAGAACTCGAGATACACTTAATAGCTGACTGTAGAGTCATTTTTATGCTATCTATCCATGATATTTTATATACAAACTCCAAAGTAAGGAAGTTTTTATACTATATAGAATATTTTATTTCGTATTACAGACATAGATATCGTCTTGACTGATATCAGATCAAGAACGATTTATATCATATCGCATTTTCTAGTTAGACCACATGTGAATAAAACTATATAATCAGGGATAGCTAGGAACATTACCTTCATCTTCTACAAGGCCAGTAATTGTTTCTTTTACCAACTCATAATTTCTAATTCTTGCTTTAATATTTATACTTCGATCTTCAGGTTCTTCTACTATAATATAAAGTTACAAGAAGTGAACTTCCGAAACGTAATTGGAGAAGAAAACTGAAGTGAAATAACCAACAGAAAATTAAGAGAATCTGATCCTTTCGCGTAGCAAGATTAAAAGAAACACCAAGCAGTTACTAAAGTATTCTTAATATATAATCGCTTACCTAGATTGCCTTCAGACCACAATTTATTTTGAGCTTTATCAACTCTCAGAGTCTCTCCACGAAGCATATCCACCATTTTGTCACTATTAAAATGATGCTCAGCGATTTCCCTCGTTAAAAAAGTGATTACTTTACTATACAACTATGATATTTATGTATCATTCCCCTTAATAATTAAGTTGCATGTAAGACAGAATAAATATTTACATAATAGTAAAGAATAGAATCAGAAATTATTTACTATTCCCATAAAAGTAATGCTTTTCTGACTCATGTGATATTGATCCATTAAAATATCAGCTATATCATTGGAAGATGATTTGAATATTTTAAACGTAACAATAATAATTACGCTCTCCTTCAACTTATTAGCGTTCTACTTTATAATTTATTCGTATTACGAAAAAGCTCCATGAATGATTACAAAGATTCCATTGGAAATAATAAACTAAGAAGAAATGCCAAGATAGAATTGAAGCAATCTTTGTTTCAATGTGTCATGACCTTCGTAGATAGCGCTTAAATTGCATTGTTTGTCAATGCTTGCATCATTTTTCACTAACAATATCACTTGAAAGAAATCTGGCCAAGGCATTACATTAAATAAAATTTTTTAAAATCAAAATTATCGAACAGGTTACCGATCAACGATGTTTCGATAGAACAACGCTAAAATTGATTACATGATCAAGTTATAAGTACGTCCTAATTAAATAACAACGAATGACGGCCTTATAAAATTTATTTAACCAGTTTTGGTGTGAAAATAATGATATTATTGTAGCTATTGAATAGTCTTAAATCGTATTATTTAATGAATAACGCTTTAAACAAATATACCGTCCAATACAAATTTTTCTTATATGGAAATAATGACTAATTAATGTAAATTGATTTGGCGTGTGGAAGAGGATTCAAATAGTTCCATTTGCGTTAATGTTTATCTTCTATCGTATAAAGCTCTCTAAAACGTGAATAAGAAGATGATGACGACTACTCCAATGTTAACATTAGCATTCATTTTGTCTACTCACATAATTTATTGATTCTTCAGCACGCAAATTTATAAATATTAGACTTTTAAACTTAAAATCATTTGATTATTTAATAATTAGCTAATTAGTTTGATTTTCAATTATACTATCTGTATATCGTGCTGATAAATAACCTTCATTATACAGGAAACTAATTTCTTAGAAATAGGTATAAACTAATCTAAATTCGCCTGTATGCAGAATTGCAGTCATTTCTTAGAAGTAATCATAATTTCAATAGAAAATAAACAAGCTTACCGTTCTGAGAGTACTATTCTAAAACCTAGTGACAAATTACTCCGCAATGATTTCGACTAAATAAAGAAAGAAGTAAACTCTTATTCCATTTTGTGATCTATCATACTTATTACGACCTCTGTCTTATAATCAATATATCTAAAATATAAAATAAGTTGTAAAGATTTGCATTGCATACTGCAATAAGTTTCTAATTTTACTCCCAGTAACTGAAATTAATCTATTACTATATCAATCTCTAAATCAATTCGAATCAATATTAAGTATTTAAGTTCTTATTCTCTGTCTAATGAAGCAGATTACTCCCATCTTATATCTTCTAGTAGCTTCTTCAAATAAATATTATTATAATTGATGTCTCAACTTTGAAAAGGTTAATCAAGTTCTACTTTTTGCGTATGAGTGCTTGAAATTGCGTCCTTGAACAAATCAACTTGATAAGATGCTTCATTTGTTCTAACAAACGATAAATTAAATGATAACTTAAGTCATATAACACAGCCCATCCCTTTTTCAGTGATGTAAAGACAATCCATTCTACGATGAACTGATTACCATATTCTGACTCTCTGTTGACATACGTACGTAATATATGATTTAAAGATTTCTGTTTTAAAGGCTGATCATAGGATTAAAGTTTGTAGAACCATGAAATCTTCAAATTCTAGCATAGTGTGCAAAAACTGCGACGAGTAAAATTATATACTTATTTAATTAATATGGTATTGTTATACGACATAGAAAATTTAATAAGAGTATAACTTGCTGCGATGAAATTCTAATGCTTTAATTATTTATTTAAGGTCATAGAAGCAGTTCAATTTGTTCACTGGCCGTTAAAGTTCTCAAAGTAACGATATTTCTGTGTATTTTCGTATATTTTAACATAGTGTCTGGCATTAGATTATGTATGGTAACTATAATTGGTAAAATCAAGATTAGCAATGGACATTAAATTTAGTATTAACGCCTTGAGAAGGTAGTTGATCCAAAATCCAAGATATGCTATTGACATATAGAGGGATATACGTCATAATAATTTTGCTATTCTTTCCTATTCTAAACCATCCTTATCACAAAAATAAGAATAATCCTCTCTGGACTGCTTGAGTATTAGCAATAGATCATAGTTAATTTGCAGCAGCAGTTTGTAGTGTATTAAGATTGTATTGCGTTTGTAGTATATACTTACTATAAGCATTCTCTAAATTGTCCAAAAACAGAGGTCCTATTACAGTCTTGACGTACTATGGATAAATATAGCTTGACATGTTTAATTATTTACAATACTTACAGTCTTTGCTACTACAGAGACTATTGCGGTCTATATTGTATCAAACTGTGCAATCCTATTTTCTGCATGTATTTCGTCTCATAAAGTTGTAAATGCTAACGATTTATCTCTAATTCATTTATTTGCAATAGTTACTGTGTTCATCATTTTCATGTTACTTCAAGACAGTTTACACCTTGCTCCACCGCAGCCAACTTACTTACGTTATTAGCTTACAATAAAAGTATTTATTTTCCTTCTAAACGGATTCGCATCAATCTTTAAATGGCTACTAAATCTGCTTCCAGTAATCATTTAGTCCCTTCCGAATTTTAAACACGAAACTAGCTATGATCTATCGATCTCTGTAGTATGGTAAGTACCTTAGTTCTATCCTACATAATGGCGACTATCCAGTAGATGCTAATTTAAAAGAATTAGATAAATTCTATACAAACCCTTTCTTTGTATGTCTTGTAGCGAAAAAGAGGCGGATAACATTCTTAACAACATAAAGCAAAACTAAAATTACTCCTATATTTCTCTATCACAAAAAGCGAAATCATTTCGGCCAGTATCTGTCCATTCATATAGTAGAAGTCATCAAATCGATGAACTTTCTTCAAGACCGTCGTCCTAGGTCTTTATTATTTTTAAAATCGGATGGCAATATTATACTTTAGCTACAAATTATCTTAGGGTTATAATTATCCATTTCTTTTATAAATTTATCATTTAAAACACGTCTTTTCCAGCTAGCTATTAGAGCTGTAGTTATATCCTACTTTACGGCATTCAATAAAACTGTATTCACTTCGACATCCTACTATATACAGTAATAAAGCATGGTTAATGATATTCGATAAACAGCTGAATAAAATTTATAAGAATTTACTTAATCAACATTATTTCTTGAAATATATAGCAACACTTTTAATAATAATTTACTTAATCAACACCATTTCTTGTAATATGTAGCGGCACTTTTAATAATAATTTACTTAATCAACATCATTCTTGAAATACGTGGTAGCGCTTTTGAAAATAATTACTTAACTAGCACCTTTGCATAAAATAGTAACAGAAGAGTTGCTACTTTGACTCTAGGCATTCATGTATTGAATTTTAATCCTTGACTTTTTTCAAGCACAATTAAACTTTTACGTAGCCTAAAACAACGCTATACGATACATAATTAGAACTCGCCATGATATAGTCTGGGTGCTTTGAATGAATAAATAAGATAATTGCTATAATGTTTTCTTTCTCCGCATGAATCCAAGGTGTATACAAAGGTATGTATCTGCCATATTATTAAACTTGAAATAGTCCTAATAAACTGTATTAGTCGGATGCAGTCAGTTGTAGATTTAATCACCATACTCATCATATTAACAGCCTAAAAGGCTGTTATGTCTGTTATGCTATTTATAATTGAATGGGCCATCATGGACCATGCTGTGTGATATTTAGTCATTATATTTTTAATGTAAAATGTCGGATTTGATATCTTTAATTAAATTTTATATAGATTCTACGTCAGCATGATGCAGGATAACAAGAATAGAATAGAGTCAAGGAAATAAAGGGGTTAGCTTAGTTTTTTTTTCATATAGTATAATAGTCTTTTCCAAAGGATTAAGAGATGGCAGCATTATTGACAAGATATTTGTACAAACTGTATGGTAGTGTTAGTCACTTTTACTTAATTTTTTACTTACATAGATTCTATATCATTACGTTGTGGGTACCAAGAATAGAATATGATCAATGAAACCAAAGGGCTAGCATAGTTTGCTACATATTGTCCGATAGTCTTCATCCAGATGATTAAGAAATGGCATAATTGTCATGGTGTTTATACAAACTTTGCCTTAGTGTTGGTCATCTTTAATTAACTTTTTGATAGATTTTATTTCAGTATATTGTAGGGCACTAACTATAGAAAACAGTTAAGGAAATCAAAGAGCTAGATTAGATTGTTTCCTATTGCACAATAGTCTTTTCTAAGAAATTGAGAAATGGCATTATTCGCATGGTGCTTATGCAAACTACGTGGAAGTATTCGTTATGATTGCTTAATTTTTACTAAGATCGATTCTATATCAGCACGTTGTAGGGTCCATTCAGCACTAGTTTCAAGATTTCCCTTTTACGTAGTTAAGTGTATTATTGATACAATCTTTAAGCTGCGCTAATAGAGTATGCACTCTACTAAGAATAGAATGCAATCGAGGAAATCAAAGATCTAGCTTAATTTGTTTCGCAATGTATGTAATGATCGTTTATTTTGAATGGGTAGCTCCATTTATAGTTTCTAATACAAATCGTTATTAACCGATTCAACTAGGTTCAGCGAAAGTCATCTTTGGTATGTTTACATCAATTCCAGCGACTAATTGGATAAATAAATCTAAACGGCTTCAAATTTCTTCTGTTGAGATCTAATCCAAGGCATAAATGAAAAAGTTTCTACCAGAAAATATTCCCTTAGTACTTAATCTGAAGTCACGCGGCAAAGTAGTTGAAAACTTTATTTCGAATTCAAAGCCAGTCAATAGTGTCTATTCGGCTATGATTTGATTAAAATTTCCCGTAAAAAATAGTATTTCTATGACTACTTTGCTCAATCGTATGAGCAAGAAGTAAAGTTTGAATAAAACTAACTAACAAAGTAAGTAGAGTAAAAAAGAAACAAAACACTTGCATTATTTTAATTTTAGGTGTGGGTAAGATAATTGCAAATATGCATTTAAGAATGTCTTTATTAAGATTCTTTTGCTTCGTTTTTATTCTATTCGTATTCTATTATTCCAATGTTTCACTGATTAATAAAGCATTAATGACCATAATCAGCAAAATCTTCTATTGCATTGTTAATTTTATATCGTGCTGTGTTATTTATTGGTTACCAGACTATTGTAGAAGTAAACTGTCTACAATTACAGGACCGTTAGCCTTACATTTCAAATTTACTGATCACTTACTACTAGCTCTTTATTCTTAATAGAATGTAGGATAAATTTTACGTTCTAATCAGAATACTGATGTCCGTCTAATACTTGCTGTAAAAGGTTTATCACAATATATTTTATACTCTATGAAATGGAGTCAAATCACTGCAAGGTTCAGTCAAAACATCTATTAATTAATCTAGTAATTATTAGCCCCAACTCAGCGAGCTGATTAAATCTTGCGAGTATCTCAATAATATTTGCGAAAAAAATATACGATCTTTCTTATAAAAGGAGTCTCAAAATTATTTATAATGCACATATGCAATTTATAAATTCTCTTCTCATCTCTTTCGCCGACTCCGAGACACAATATGATAGACACACCTAACAATTAATTTCATATTACTTGAAGCTGATAAAAAATCCGCCATGCCTGCCATATTAATTTTCCCTACAGCAATATTTCTTATTGATCTTTCCAACATAACTTAGCAGTAGGAGGGGATTATTATTTAATAGACGTGTATAACATGCCATTCAAAGCACTAGGGATATGGCCATGACATAAAGTTGATATATTTGAATAATAAACATAATTTATATCTTACCTACGTGACAGTACGGTAATTTAACAGCAGAAGTGCGAAAATTAATGACGTATTCTAAAATGTGTATCGAAACGACATGACTCTAGCGTTGGGATTGCAATGACTAAATCGTATCAAAGTTAAAATGGAAAATAGATTTAATCAAAGTCATAAAGAAAAATATATACAGAACAAGTATTCAAATTCTTTAATTTTAGATAGACTTTCAATGAATTTCAAAAATGTCTTAGTAGTAAAAAATATGTACACTGGCGTCTTTTATAATGTGCAAGTTATATACAAGAATTGATAGCTTTAAATAAGCCTTGGCTATACAAATATATTGAAGCAAGTATAATGCCCTGAAATATCATTTTCAGACGAAACAAATTATGATTTCAAAATGTAAAGGTTATTCAGAATAAGATGCTATTCTAAATTTATGATATAGATAACGGTAGCAAATTTAAAAGTTCTCCCGATAAGTAAGATATTTGCTAACAAGTTGGCCTGCCATTAAAATAGACTCTTAGTAATCGGTCGTTCCCAGATCTCTCGGACCCATCGATCATACATCATGGTTGTTTTTACATATTGGAATGATAGCTTAATCCACAATATCTATTTTAAATTGAAATAAGATAATTTAAATAAAAAGATAATACGATGTCGAGCACAATTATTATCAATTCTATCATATTAAGTTCACGAAATCTAAAGCTAAATCCTTACAAATTTGTTCAGAAAAGGATACACATTTCAGTGGAATTACTTTATCATTCAAAGCCGGTCCTTTGTAACCTTTTTTATGAGCCTATAAGCAGCAGAGTCAAGACGAATATATCAATATATTAATGAATATAATATGATTCCAAATGTTTCTTCTGTTTAATATTCCTACTGTTTACAATTTGTAATTTATGTTAAAAAAATCTCTATCTAGCTATATTTAAATTAATCCTTACCAACTGACCCAGAGCCTCTATAGTACATATAACCTGCGAAAATAATTAATTAAAGTCAGATTTGTACCACGACAAAGAAGCAAAGAATGGCTCTAGGTACTATCATATAGAGTAGTCGATCGTATTTTAATAAACTAATTTTATATTTGATATATTGCATTTTCTCTTTGCATACGAACATTACCAGTACCTGTAACATATTAGATCCTTCAAGTAAATCAACAGGTTTAAAAATTTCCTGCTTAGGTACACCATATTGGTAGATGACTTTCAAAAAGCTCATAATATTTTCCCTCTAAAGCAAGATACGTTAAGCATAAGTTAGCAATATTAAATAATGAAAAGTTTACGCTATCTAAATTAAAAATGTATCATAATGCTAAAACAGATTCTTTTTATTCGGATTATTGCACCTGTTTAAATGCCATCTTAGATGTGCTTACTTGTGATATACTTCCAGGCTGGAGGTTATTAATTAGGCTACGAGGGATAGAAAATTGAAATGGTTATTTATGCAAAAATTTTTTGATTATTGAGTAAAATACTTGTTATCATCTTGTTAAACCTTATATAGCTTACTGTTATTTTAATAACATGTGGATGTAAAACATAAAGAACTATCGGCAATATTATTGAAACCGTTATCCCAATATTTATTTACTACGAAACATAACTAAATGTGATATCCGATATTAACAGTTAAACATGTATTAATATTACAAATGTAACTCTTGATCAATACTTAAAATGAAATACCTGAACCATTAAACATGTCTGTAAAAATGCTCAGATATCTAACTTTTTGGATTAGTCTAGCATTTGTGATGAATTTTAAGATGCAGATTTATAACTGATTTTTATTCCATTACTGAACATACTATTTTCTCTCTTTAATTGCATATAGTAGAACTTAAAATTATCATTTCGCTTTAATTCCCGTATTACCGTTACACTTACATATTTATATTCTATATTTCCTATTTATTATTTACTGACGTATTTCTATAATAACCTATATGTCATTACGGCCGATCTTTACTCATAAAAATAAGGATTGCTTCTAGTTTTATCAGGTAAATCAATCTTTTAATCATCTGTAAACATTTGATGGTAGTATATATCATGCAAAGTTTTCTTTTTTTAATACAAGTAATTTTTGTAAATAAATAAGAGTTCTTATTGAGAGACAGGCAATTCTCTAGAAGGCTAAAGACGAATAGAATATGCCGCGTAGTCGATATTTGATGAAATAGTTATAATTAACTAACTTGACTTCTGTAATGAAGCTGTTATATAAGCTGTTGTTGACAAAATGTTATGTAGAAGTAAATGAGATATAACTTAAAAATAATAAAAAATCTGGGGCTATTAACAACGATAGGTATATATATGTAATGTTGGTGATAATTCAAGTATGTTGATTTCAGCTTCGTAGAATATAATACTAATCGTAGTATTTTATTCTGATACTAAGTTCTGTAAGTATTAAGTGATGTTGTTCGGAAATCGTAGAGTTGTAAACAATTTAAATAACTTATTCAAGCTATGCTTTTCTGCTATTGTTGTTCTTAGTCCTTCTTTTCTAAGATCGGCTATTGTAGGAAGTTTTCCTTGTCTGCCAGAGTTTGTTGTATTATTATGTAGTATCTCAATCTGTAGAGAATCAGTAGTAAAATCGGCCAATATAAAATTACTTGTCTGATCTATACTCTAATTACAGTTAGTAGAACAGGTTTTGTTATGACCTCCCGCAATAAGTCCTAATACTTATTAACTGTATCCGTAGTCACGTAGGCTTCACTCTATTGTATTCTACTTAGTTCACCTAAAGAACGTATTCTCTACAGGGTGCCAAACCTTATTACTAAACTGTTGCACCCGCAACACATCCAGATAATTGGTTAGAAAAGTGGCTTAATCTATACTTCAACTTAAATTTGATCAATTCTTATTATTTGAAATCCTCGGATCACATAAATAAATAGATCAGTTTAACTGAGAGTTTATGATATCATAATTGTACGTATCTCTATAGCTAATTATTGAGGGTTATAGTTAGATCTATAATAACATTAGTTATTGCCAGATTATTAGCTGGGATAATAAAATTTCTATCGACTAAATTTATGCCAACTAAGCTTTAAATTGAATAAGGTCAGTTCTGAAAGGCCAGGAGAATAATTAAACTTCTTTTAGCTAAATTACTAATATATTGTACTCTCTCATAGTTTAATTAGATGGAAACTTCTTGGTACTTTCAAATTAGAATTAACCTATTGGGCAGCTATATCGGCTGTAGTAATAAATTTTACTGGCCTGTTAGGTTGCCTAATAAATCCATCAATTAGTAGTAGTACTAATGCGCAATAGCTGCTACAGTCGCTCAATAATTAAATATGAAAACTTATAATCTCATGATATTAGACAACCAGCCCCCTAGTAAGTTATGTAATGTGAAACTTGTCTTGACCTACTATTTGCATCCACAATGAGGACCAGAAAGAAATTGTTATTATTCTGTAATATACATCTTTTACTCATCTTTAACCGCCTGTACTTACCCAAACGATAGATACTTAAGTCTGCTATTATTAACTTGGCAATAATCATAAATAACAGTGTACTGCAATACTTACTTGCATAAGGCAACACCATCTCTTAGTTTTCCCGGTGTAGTCCAGCCAAAGTTTTTTTTACCGTTAACGGCTTCAATCCAAGCCAAAGCCCTTTTCTCCCTTTTACGATAGGAATTGTTGTTCTACCATTCAAAGCATAAAAGAAACTTTTCATATTATTCAACAAGTTATGCTTAACCAGTTACTGATCTCCCTAACTAAATACTGTATACTGTACGTCGAAGTTAAATCAAAGCTACGTCTATATCAGACTGTAAATACCTGTGTTAAAGACTGTAAATTATCCAAAAATGCTAATCATGTTAAAATAACGCAATGTATGTAATCTAAACTTTCATTGCTATTACAACAACCGCTTAGAAGACCCTGAAAACTGATCGAACTTACATTTGCCTTGAAATTTTCTGACATGCTGTCTCTCATGAGTGATTGAAACTTGTAAGGATTTAACCGATTATGACTAGCGAAAATTATAATACGGGCAACGTAATAGTACTGATGGTTAAGTAAATTACACAAATTATTGTAAACTTGATACAACTTTCGGATCTTTGCATCAAACTTTCTATTAGAAAGGTGCTAGCGTTTGAAATACTAGATATAGGGTAAGTAGACTATCCGGTAAACAAGATTTTAAGATTTAAGTGTCTGTTTCCAAAAAATAATAAAATGATCTTCCCGGTAGTATCCAGTCTTTATATAGGAAAAGAAATTACAATAGCAGCACTAATTCCCATAAATAGGCGGCCCCAAAATTATAATGGTCTAATTGTTTCTTAGTTTGGTAACTAAGCCAGATGAATAGAATGGCAATACATGCTGCGATAAATTATGAAATATCTTTCGTCATTTCTCACATAAAAGGAACATAGGTATAACAACTACCCCCTACAGGTGGTCGTTAATGTCAACAATTCTAAAGCATAGACAATATCATAGAAATAGTTGTTAAGCTCTCGAATACTTTCTTTTAAAATTTCTAAACATTTGCCTTAAAAGCTTAGAATCCACATTTGCAGAATAAACTTCTTTAAAATTATTTCGTGCTGTTTATCTATAGTGAAGTTTTAATATTCTAACGGAAAGAAACATTGCCATTTCCAACCATAAATTACCCTTATATTATTTCTGTAACATTTAACCTTAAAGTGTGATCGGGTGCACAATTCATATGCATTATATTGAAGTAACTATTTATTCGTTTTACTTATCAATAACATAATGTAAATCATGGCAACTCAGGGAATTTTATAGATAACTTCTCTATGAAATCTTAACAATCTTTCAACACTTATTAATCCTTTGAAGGCAAGAAAATGTCTGTATGGCAAAAATTATTCTATAAAGTTCCTTCATTTAATGCTATCGGAATTTTTTATGTACATAATACAATATAAACCAGAAAGCATCTTGGCAATAATCAATTTCTAGCTAGCATCAGTCGCCAATATTGTACATTGTTAATAAATAAGTAATTAAGATAATCCCTGAGATCATTAGTATATGACGGTATAAAATTAATTAATGATAAACGTCGATTTTATATTCCAATCTGAATATGAACTAAAATTCCCGTATAGCGATATAGAATATTAACTCAGTACATATTCAAGCATTATTGATCGGTAGCCAATGGGGGTGATTTTAAATAATTACTGTAATAATGTGTTACGAAGGTGGGGTAGTTACAACAAAGTCAAACATTACTGTTTAGATATTGCCTTAGTAATATGTCAACAACTATAGATTAATCTATAGCTTTGGTGTACCTATTGATATTAACTTTGAAACAATATCGCATTGTTGTCGGTTTAGAATACGTATCCATAGCAGTGAGACTATGAAAGTGAATCTATTAATTCTTAAGCAAATGGAGTTTCTTGAAAATATCTCATTTTATTTTTTTAATTTTATCTGTGCGTCATCGCGTCTTTATAATTTAAATGCTTTTGCAGAGTTGAAGTAATTTCTAGCGTAATGTCACTGATGATCAGCTTAACCGATCTTTTACCATGCAATCAGCCGTATATAAACAAAATTACATGTGAGATTAGTAACAGCTATGACATTTTCACGGCTATTACAAGTCTAAGGAGTCATAATTTTCTTTTTCATATAATTAAATGATTAATTCTATGATATTTATTGTATCAAGAAATATTAGGAAATCCTAGCTAAGGATTAAAACGATCTGGTACCTATTGAATGATTTATGAACTCGTTGATTAACAGAAAATTTTCTTTTATAATTCATTTAGCCGAGAATTCTGCCAGGATTTGACTTTACATAGGAAAATTTTTAGGAAAATTTTTGACTTATTTTTTAGGTAATATATTTTATGTACAGATAATATTTCTCACTCGTTATATATTTTCGTACACTGCCAAATAAAACTGTAGATTATGCTTTCTTTTGTATTAAAAAATAATTTGATTTAATTTTGATTAGATGACCTTATATAGAGAAAGTGCTCACTTGACGTTTGTAAGACAACTTTTTGTCTACTTTTAATACATATTTTCTGTTTGGGAGTATACGTTTTAAGTGAAGATACGGTATATTTATCGTTTTTCTGGAATCGCACCATAGGCAAATGCCTAAGTCTAGAAAATGGCTTGTAGTTACTACTTTGCTGCCAACATTTGTGTAAGCTTACGATATCACCTTGCTATAATTTCGCTTAATGCATTTATTAAGCTCATATTATAACGAATTTTTTTGCATTTATTGCCTTTTATTATAACTAAATATCTTACAGGAAGATATATTACATCTCTGCACTGTTGCACTATGGAATAAACCTGTAGTCACCCTGCTAGATAAGCTATTGTTACCAACTTGTTGTGTGGAAGTAAATTTGATATAACGCCAAAAGTAATACCACAATCTAGGGTTGTTAAAAATAATATACAATTGGTATGCATAAGTAATGTTTATGATAATTCAAGCTTATTGAATTCAGCTCCATTGAATATGATATACGTCATAGAATTTCATTCTCATACTAAATTGTGAAAGCATTTGATGAAGTTATTTGCAATCTTGATGTTGAAAACAAGTTAGATAAGATCTTTAAGCGCCTACGCTTTGCTGTTAGTATTGATCGTAGTCCTTCTTTTCTAAGATCTGTTATTGTAAGAAGTTTATCCATAACTGTCAAAGCTAGTTACATTATGACATAGTATCTCAATCGTTTAAAAATCAGCAATAAAATTTACATATTCGTTAATATAAAACTCTTTGTATGATCTACGCGCTAAGTACAGTTGATATAACAAATTTTATTATCAAACTGTACCTGGATAATTTTCATGATTTCTTTATTTACCTTTATTACTCAATCTATAAATTTTTACTTGTTTATGGAATTGTGTATGCAGTCTCATCATGAGCATCATACGTCACGATCATAACTAAATTGTTTACGAGTTGTGATACAAGTTATCATTTAACTAAGATAATTAAATTATCGTATAGACTGTAAAAGTTATTACCTACTGATATTACGATAGGAACTCGGCGGCATTAAACCATCTCTATGTTGTCAAGTATTTTTGAGATGAATTCATGGCGGCTCTATTTTTAAATTAATGTCCATTTTGTCAGTATCGATTAAAACAAAGAGTTCTATTTTATTCATTGGTCGAATAGAGTTTGGGGGAAGAGGCCAATGTCTGCCAATCTTTTTATTTTCATCAAGGGTGGTCTAACAAGTCTTAATCATTAAGTTAACAGTAAACTAGTAAAATATTCACAAAAGTTGCCGAATTGCCTTAATTAAGATAGTAATATAAGGAAGAATATTTTGTGCAAACAAAGCAGACATCGACTTAAATTCAGTTAATAACGAGCTGTTCGATATTATTAATAGTTAAATGAGGCCAGTATCGGTTAGTCTTCTTGTAGTAATCAAGGGTGGTACAACAACGAATTTTAAGCATTAACTAAACAGTACGTTAGAAGAGATCTTCATTCATATTTATGTCCAATGTTAGTAACACCTTCATATGGTTACCGTATCGTTTTAAAGACAAATAAACAAGCATAAGTACCTTGTGCCAACAAGCAGACATCGACATACCTTCAGTTAATAAAGAGTGTTCTATTTTATTATTAGTCGAATGAGGTCGATATCGGTCAATCTTCTTATATTAATCATGGTTACTACAACAATAAGTCTTCATCGTTAACTAATAGCAAGTTAGCAATACATTTAATAAGGCTATCGTATCGTCTTAACAAGGATAGTTAAACAAGGATGAATATCTTGCGCCAACATGTAGGCATCGAAAGTTCACTCAGGAACGAGATTTTATACGAAGTTAAGCCTAAACTGACATTGAGTTAAGGCTTGAAGACTTTAACAATCATCTATGACAGTATAATTGATAACAAAACACGGTATGCAATAAAGAGGAACATTTATTTTTTGGAAACAGCATATTGTAAGGTTATAGATGTATCAAGGTATCAAGGAAACCATTAAAATTTTTAACCAATAAAAACACGACCTTTATGTAATAGGTTAACTCTTACGTTGCAACATGTCAATATAGGCAGACGTTAACAATTCTGCCTTGGCTATTTCCAATTTAGCCATTAAATCCTCGGCTATAGCCTGTCCTTCTTCGCAGCTTTGTCCTTTCTTCATAACTACCTACAATATCAATATGCAATGAACTGACTTTGTTCTGTTATGATATGAGCTTGCTAATCTTACAAATATAGTTTAGTGATATTACTGAATGTAATTTTGTGACAACACAAAAGTCTTGTTAGTTCTTTTAATGAAATGATTATCATGATGTACTATTATTTCAGAATAGATCATATTTGTAGCTTAGATGGTCAACCGATGGTGGATATTATTAATATTTGATAGACATAAATAGTCCTTGGTAATGAAGTGATTTATGTAATAAAGTGAAATTTAGCAAGAAATCAAAAATTCAGTCAAATTATTTTGAGACACTATTTCAAATATGAAATTCTACTATCACTGAATAAACTAGTGTATGGAAATATCTTATTGGTATATCTTCCATTATAAACTCATATCGGTGGATAATTCAAAGGTCTACTTACTTCGAGTTCCATAAAGTTCCCTAAACCATCGACAGTATCAACGTGGACTCTAGTTTGACCAACAAGATACAGATATCGCTTCTTTTTAACGACACCTGTAGCGTGTTAAATTAACAGGCGAAAAAAATTATTTGTACATACGATGCAATCATAGCCAAATACTAACGGAGAAGTTCTAATTCCCAAGCGAACTGAACTAATCAAGCAACTATTCATAAAAATTTAATATTATTGTCGCAATATAAATATACGCGTATTAAAGGGGTACCTCTAATTCCATACGCTAAATCTAGCGTATGAATCAAATCATCGGTATTTTCCTAAATTGGATAGAAAGAATTTGACACGGTTTACATTTGTGCACGCAATGACCATAATCGTAGCAAAACTTAAACATGAGTATTTAAAGTAGGCGCAGTTGCGCGTCAAGTTTTACGTATAATGATTGACTTACAGTTACTTTAGTGATATGGTAATTCGATAGCTTGGGTCCAGATTGATCAGCCCTGCTATAAAATATTAGCTCTCCTTGACCATTTGGAAATTTTCGCAACTAATTAATAAGACGATCAATGAGGAGGGGGATATTATTTATTTCGGAATGCATTGCTTATCCAAACTCCGATTAACTATGAGCGCTAAAATCCGTTTAAAAGCATTACCTTTAGTCGACCATGGTCACATAAGAAAAAGGTATCTTCCTGTTCAATGAGTTTACCAGGTTGGCCAGAAACTTCTTTCGCTAAATGCTTTAATTTTTCAATATCTGTAACTTTAGCTTTTATTTCAACATTAGAAGCCATAACCGATTTCGTCAACAGAGTCAAGGAGTGATACCTAAATTGTGTTTGTGAGAATATTCCATTAACAAAGAGTGATCAACATATAGCAGCACTATTTTCAAACTGCCTGTATGAGGAAAATCCAGCTCAAAATTATGATGCATCTGTATCGCTTCCTTCAATGATGATCTAGTGTCTCATCCACTTACAGTTCATCAAGATGGATACAATAACTAGAACTATTTCGAATCTTGTGCATAGAAAATACACTGTCCTGCAAGATAACTCTGCGCTTTCATTCAGCTATAGTAATTATGCAAATGATAACACACTGCCAGATTCCCGAAGGAGAATACAATATCTACAGTAGTAGCATTTCGAACTGCAGGTACTGTACAAAGACAACTGGGATCAAACTCCAATCTTTGATGCATCCATATTCCTTCCACAAACCATAATATTGTGTCTCATTGACTTCATGAAGGAGGATGCAGTACAACCATAAGAATGGATTATCTCATTCAAGATGGAGAATTGGACATATGGCATTATTTCCGAGCATGTGTACAAATACAACTGACTAATTTGATACATGCATATCCCTTGTCCTAGCTACAAAGCAACTCAGTGCATTGATCTATCCGTATCGGCCAAAGTCATGGTGCAAAATGCTCTGCTGTCTCAACTGGTAAAATATCATTACAGTCAAACTTGCTCAACTAACACTACTGATCGTGTCATTGATATCAAAAATTTTAAATTTTATCATGGCAGATTCTATTGCTGGTTCTATATCGATTTGAGATACCTAACATAGCAGTCGAACAAGCTCTGGTAGACAGGTCACATTTCTTACAGCCGATGTTCGGGATCATATCGGATTTAATACGCTACCCCATTTGTTGACCACATTAAGACTATGAACCAGATCACTTGAACTTACAGGACTTTGTATGCAAATCCAATCTCCAATGGATGATTAGTTTTACTTTTCAGCTGCGATGACTATACTCGAACTTGTCAAAACATGTCTTATCTAACCCTAATCTATGCATTTGCCTATTCTTATCAACTGTTTTAGATTGGATATTAATCTTAAGTTGTATGTCATTTCCTTCTATACAACCTATCCATACAATAAATTGCGGAACAGCTTTACTACCTACCCTATTCAAAGTGAATGAGGCTATTGATGTATCAAAACAAGACAGCATTTGCACGCTTTGCTGTCCTCACTCTCCACCTAGCACAAACTATTCTACTCGTATTTTCTGCTGGTGATCTACATTCTTTTCACAGCCTATTAAGCGATGACACTGTTGACCTCGTAGGTCGGTCGAATTGAATAGATTCGATATTGCATCAATCCATTTTCAACATAACATAATCTACATTCAAAATGACAAATTGGCTAGAAGCGATCTTACCCAATTCTTGCAAGCCACGGCGATCGGATCAACATGAGCCAGGTGGTAATATCGTGGAGCTCCTTCTTATTCTGAACTTTTCTATACTGAGAGTAGTATGGTGCTCTCGTGTCCGCCACCATCATCTAGCTTCCGTATGACCAGCGGGACAGCTTTTGAAATGGCGATTTCGCGGGTTCGGCCTATTTTGAGTATACAACGGACCTGCGCAAAACGGTCGAGTGCTAGTGCGCACACACGGGTACTGCCCGTAATTTACAGTACCGTACTACAGTCTACAGTTCAGTAAATGTGTACAATATACTGTACACTGCTTTGGGACTCTGGTACATACGTACGTACATTGGACAGACCATTAAGGCTTGGCCAAGCTCTCGAAAAAAAATGGTTGCAAGATATTCAGTAGATCCAATTATTTCCCTATGATATATTCAGAAACGCCGCAATTGTAAAGTCAATCAATTAAGATTTTAAAAGATGCTCATTTCGTTCACACTTTACATATTTACTAGGACAAATATAATGTAGGGATAGAGCCGTTCCAGCGGCATATTTGGATGTGTCACTGACTCACAGGGAAAGGTTTGGGGTCTAATATTCAGCTACTGCATAGGAGCAGTGTTGCTTTTTCCTTCAATTTTTCAGAAATATGCTTAAAAGTTGGCTCCAATTTCACTCAGACAGATTAATATAACCTTAAGCAATTGGCTCTTGACATTTTTATTATTTTTTATTACAGTATTGAGTAATATTATTTCTTTAAAGTTTCCAATACAAACTATCTGTCACTGTTCCATGTTGTCTATCAATAATTATAATTCATTAGGATTCGACAAAGAAAAGGTTGCAGTGAGGATAAACGGATAATCGCTCAGCTTCGGATTAGACATAGCGAATGTTTTATCATAGTTCAGGTCAAATCCATTAACATTAGATCCGTTAAAATGATGGATTGAGGTATAGACTACAAGTTCCATTCCATGTTGTCACTATGATAAAAGTGATCAACCCTAATATCACATGGTTACAGAAACTGTTCCTCAGGATGGTCGCTGCTTTGACAGGATTGCAGCTCAAGTTGTCTTGCGAGTTCATCAATAACGCTACGAGTAGCTTTGCAGTCTTATATTCCTATTTGTCCCAATTTACAAACGACATCGACCGCAAATTGAGTAAAGTATTGCAATATAGCATGCATAGAAATGGAATAGGGCTAGTGTGCAGTAGACTGTGTATTAGTACTCTGGTTTAATCCAAACAGTCTAAACTACAGCACTTTACTCTCAGCCAAGACGTTCATCTACAAGAATATTACTAACTGCATAAAATATTTAGTTTTGTATATGGACTGAATAAAACTGAATCAATACCCTTGGTTCAGAAATTCTAAAGTATGTAGAGATGATACAATTGGATATTTTTTATGGCACATATATTTACTTCAAGCGAACAGTAACGACCGATAATGCAACGCAAGTTACCGTCATCGCCTGATTGAATTTTTTACATACCGCAATTTTAATAGTACTAGCCATGATCATAAATAAAGGCTAAAGATACGATAACCGCTACATACGAGTATATCAGGGTAGATCGATTTTTGACAAACACCACCCCTATTTCTAGTTTTATTGAACGCCTGCCTATGGCTAGCCTCGGGTAGAATACCCTGCCGTTAGCCTAATCGTACTTGCCATTCCACATTCGTGAGAATGCAAAAACTATTCCCTACAAATCTGCAGGCCTGCAAAGTCATCCTTTGACTATTCCTTCTGATTATATTTATTTCTTGATGGCAAAGTAAACTACTAAGCACTTGGTAGTGATGCACCTAGAATTCATAATATTTCCAGTCTTGAAGTGAATCGTTTTACTTCTCAACTAAGTCAAGTCTCATTCATTTTAATGGTGCGCATAATTGCTATCAGGAATGTCGAGCAAGACATACGGGTACTCGTATATGACGTAAATACCGACTAAAGAGATTACTCCATTTCTACTACTGCTTGGCTTAGAGAGTCTACATAATTTTTTTTTTTTATTATTGGACTGAGAAGCTGTCAGTAGGACGCGATGATATCATTTAGGAAAGCAATGATAAACCACGACGATCCAATTGATGCACCAATCATTTCATGTAATTTTTATTTTTATTTTTCATTTTCTTTTATTTATGACGACATTTAAAACTAAACTAATAAACTATCACCTTTCTTTTCCCTTATTGGTTAATGGCATATTTTATTATCATGATATAACAGAGTAGAAAAGAGTTATCCAATACAATTGTCTAAAGTAGTTAAAGTTATTATTCATCTTAATAAACTACAGAAAATCAAGTCCTTATGGAGTCGTTACGTCTCTAATAATACAATTGCAATCAAATTAATACCAAGTTTTCTATCAACACTCCTTCAGTTATATTGAATTGATAGTTGATTGTGTTGTCTAATTAAAGTCTGCCTTACAAGCAAATAAAGAAGGAAATTACCATCGACAAGTCGATTTTACCTACCTCCAGCCAAGTGCTATATATAGTTGTATAATACTAACCCAGCAGTGGAAAATTTTTAAAAACGAGGATAAGAGATTGTTGATTTAGTACTATAAAACGTCGAACATGGCTAATTCTGGTCAATATTCAAGGGAAAGAAAAGTAAGTTCTTTTTATGTAACTTGATTGCTTTCCTTCAATCGTTTGATATACGAGAATGATTAACATCTTCGTACGTGACCATAGCTTATAAAAAAAGTTAATGTGATATGTTCCCAAGCGTATCCTTTGATTTGAAATATTCACGATCAAATGCTAAGCTTATTCTACCCAATCCAGCGGGGCAATAATGTCGTCATTCATCAATCTATGCTAAAGCTAAATAAAATTGACGGCATTACTATTTTCAAGTGGATGTATTTCCACGCTTTTCTAACACCAAAGCAACAAGAATCACGGAATTGTTTATTGAAAGTGTGCATGTATGCTGTATTCACTCCATCTGCACAGAACATTTTTTTAATCCCATGCGACCGAAGGTCACTCGGAAAATCATTTAGATCATGGCCGATACTTTAAAATGGATGCTGTACTTTATAGCATTGAGTAATGATAAAATTTTAGTCCAAATTCTCCATCACTAGTTCATTAGTTGATTGAAGAATCAGTAATGAGAGATTGATCTCTGTGTAAAAACTGTTCTATATACTACTTCAATCCACTCAACCTTAAAATAGATTACCAACACTCGATATAATTGTTAATTATTTATATAAAGCGAATAAGTTACTATATTCTTCCCTAAAAACTGCTAATAAATACCACGTTGTAAGTTAAATCTTTCTTTTTGACGCTATTTAACTCGGATCAATCCTATCACTACGGATTCTAGATCGTATCATTCAGTGGCATTTTAGTTCTACGACATAGAAAACCTGCCCATGAAAATTTTAGCCTTTATGACTATCACTAATAAATTACAAATTTAACATTGAAATGAGACTGAAATAAAGAGTTACCTTCTGCAAAAGAACGACATAAATAGACTGTCATAGCCAAGTAAACCCATTAAAAATTAATAACGCTAGAGTTTGATTTAAAGTTACTACGACGGACAATCCTCTTGAAATGATTTCAAAAATTTTCGGCAATCAAGCCATAGACTCTATTCCACCCACTTAACCAATTAAGCTCAACAATACATCCAATTATCCCTCTCATTATCATCATTTCTTATCCTACCATTTCTCTAATTTCCTCTACGAGACCTATAATATGTGCTCGTCCTTACAGAATACATTTAGAATGTCATATTTAGCTTGAATACTAATATAGTTATAATTATTATTACAATCTTATTAATTCAAAACTAAATCCAGCGTAAACGTAAAGGATAGAATGAATATCTTGGTGGGTCCATTTCATTGTCACTAAATGGGATACATTATTATTATAAATGAATAAGGACTGAGTAGGACTTTGGACTCCTTTAGCAGCCCACTAATGTACCGCAGTCATTCCTTGTAGCAGCTGATTGTTGAAATTAGTAATTCATATCGAAAAATTAGATACATCCAGTTAAATATTCAACTTTCTATATACATCATTGTAGGAAAATAAGAGAAACGTATTGATTTTTTAATAAATATATAATCAAAGGTTAACATTTCGGTTAATTTTTAATTTATAACTGTAGTGTATACTATTAAATACGGTATTGTCCGCAAATTCTTAGTAAAGTCAATTTCCATATCGATTGTAACATAACTCCTTATGTGTATAATCTATATCTAACTATTCATACTGTGGAAATCTCTTATAATTTAGCTTGATTGTATCAAAGAACTACTCTAATATAGAATTAAGGTATTCTTATTAGTCATTAATGTTTTACAAAGAATTTCCTCCGGCTGCGCATCTTACATTCTAAATAGGCTAATCTTGCATCTATCTGGTCAGTTAGTTCTGCTAGTTAAACGGTTAGCCTGCATGCTTTACCTTTTCCACATTACTATAGCTATTCGACTAGTTACATCGTTGTATACGCCATAACCTCACACGGTTTCCTCTTGCACTAATTCCAAAAAGCTCTACTGCTTTGCTAATTTAACTCTGGTAATTTGTTGCGATTATGACGGACCCTAAACCTTCCGAAACATTACAATAACTATGGAACATGAATACCTATACTGTTTAAGCTCCATTAAATTATAATAATTATAAATTAAGATAAAAAAGTGTGTAGCCCATTTGCGTCATTATATCGATAGAACTTCTGCAAGTTTGTCTATGACCTCGCTTTATCACTACAAGAGAATGCAAAAATAAATTTAAAGGCAGCAATTATCGTTTTCAAGAATTTTTAACTATGACAAAATGTTATGTTTTTGATTTAGATTTCTAACCAATACGATCCGGAACAAGAAGAATATATTAGAAAATGGATCGAGGATGTAATAGGTGAATCACTTCCAAATGGCAAATTTTCAGTTGTACTCAAAGATGGCGTCATATTGTGCAAGTTAGTTTAGCTGAACTTACCGACTAAAAATATTGATTTATATCCCTTTTGATTCACTATAAATGCCTTATATAGCTATGTTAATCGTATCTATCATCGTTTGTTTTTCTTGAATACGGCAATATTTTAGCTTGATAAACAAGTTAAGCCCAGGCAGCATAACTAAAATTAACAACACGAAGATGCCATTTAAGCAGGTAAGAGACGGCAATAAAAGAATTCGTTAATGGGTTTAACCCGTTCATCTATTAGCATAAAATTAAAGGAAAGTTTAGTTCAACTTCCAAGTCTATGAGACGTTTCTTTCTCTAAACCCAATAAAACAATGTTCTAGTCGATTAAGCCGGTAATATTAGTGCTAGTAAGAATAGTTATTAATCTGAAGTACTTAGCCATTTCTCTCTCATGCTATGGCAGGACGTTAATTTGAAATTATTCAATGGTTAAATAAATAATGCAGATAAACTAAAGCTCTTCTTTACTTTAATTGATGCTCGATACTTTAGTATCGCAAACTATCAAGAATTTAATTAAACTATTTCGATTAACAGATTGACAGTATCATATTGATTCATACAGGAAATTGACCAAAGTCTAAGTCACTGATATATCCTTACATTAGTTTCAAAAGCTTAAATCCTGAAGTATCCCAGCTCAATACTTAGATTAATTAATATGCTAGTCATAGTAAAAGTATATCCAGATACTTGCTATATTAAAAGAATATCTTCAACACTACGTATCAGATGGAAAATATAGCTAAATTTATAGAGGCTACCAACAAATATGGTGTACCATCTCGCGATCTCTTCCAAACTGTCGACTTATATGAAGCTCGAAATATGATACAGGTAAACAAGCTAATGTACTTTAGCATATACTTTATGTATGCATAATAGATCAATAGACATTATTTACGTGATTTCATAACAAATTTACCATTATTATAACATGCTAGCTAGCACCCTTTGATAAAACCAAAATCTTTTCTAGTCCTCAGTTAAATAGATTTACTTTTATTCTTCTCTAACTCAGTCCTGCAGTAATCGCTAAAGAAATGTTAGATATCTATCTTCCCCTGGGATAGGAAATTATATAGTATTTCATTGCTTTAGAAGCAAACAATTACGGCCTTTTTATTGGTCATTGAATATATGCCATTTTTGAATAGTAATCCGCATCAAAGATGATCAATACCTTATTTATTAATAGTACTAATCTGCTGCTATGAGCAATTACGAAGTAATTTAATAATTTTCTTGAAAGAGGTCTTACTTATTGATTAGTACCAGTAATGTTATTGACCTACAGTAGGATTCTAACTACTTTACTGAATAAAATATCTCGATAATTAAAAGCCATATCTAACATGCTTTTCAAACCTCAAATTAATAGGTTTTAAGATCGTTAGAAGCATTAGGAAGACAGGTAGGTAGCGATTACCTTATTGTCATCCAATCATAAGAATCTTTCAAGTCGAATATAAATTGCTTTCTTCTGATCTTAAATTTTTCATCAATTTAACATGCCTACTTCTATATTAACAGGCTCAGAAACTAGGATATGATGGGCCGACAATCGGCGCAAAAATGGCAACCGAAAACAGACGAAGCTTTACTGAAGAACAATTAAAGCAAAGCGATGCTGTAATAAGCTTGCAATACGGCACCAATAAGGGAGCCAATCAATCAGGGATGAGGTTTGGCAACAATCGCCATATGTAATATCATACTTTCAAGTAAGCCTTGTTCCAGATCATATAAAATTAAAATTATTGTCAAATACAAATGTTTATTACCTGAAATATCGAAAGAAAATGAGTGATTCAGTAATTTCTTTTCTCAAATATTCTTATAATTTTTATGCCCTATTTTAGATTTCCTAGTGCTGCCTAAATCCTATTATGTTAAATCAAGCAGCCTTACGCTGCATGAAATTCTATCATTTTCCATGGTAGTAATGGTAGACAAATCCATTGATCATGCTTTTCTATTATTTAGCATAGGATAGTCTGGCCAGTGTCGATTTCAGACAGTTAATTTAGATGTCAGTGTGAAATGTAATTCATTTGTTTCCTAACTTTTAAGCTAAAAGTTCTAATTGCAGATAATTGTAATTAAAAGTCTACTGACTATTAGCTTTACTCCCAAAATGCCAATAAATAATATCATAGTATCCAGATTCTACCGTAATGATTTTCCGCTCAACTAGCGTTAGCAAATCATACACTAATCAGCTAGATGTTGCTTTAAATATTCTTTCTAATTGCAATAAGAACGGGATATATTTAGATGTGATAGAAATAAAAGCACAATTCTTGTACATGAAAGAATGTAGAATTATTAATCTGAATATAAGTTTTTTTTGTATGTTTTAGTTTCTATCTAAAATCAGCAAATTGCGAAGCTCTACTTGTATCATTGCTACCGATACTAAAGGATCTTTACCAATTTATTAGTATTGAGGGCATTCATATGAAACTATACGAATGTATAAATAATCAAACAGCAGATATCAGCTGATTTTCATATTATTACCGATAATTTGAAAACTAGAGGTTAAATATTAGTAGAACTCAAAGTTTAAATGAAACAACAACAACTAATGTGATAAGGCAAATATTTCAAAAGTTCGTATTCTTGTTATAATACTATGAAGATGCTTTATTACTACACCGATTGTGGTATTCAATTAATGAAAATGAAACAAAACTTTAAATTTTAAAAAAATCGTCATGGCAAATCCATCATGTAATTAGCATGCAGTAATTAAACATTGAAACTGAAATAGTTTAACAGGATCGCTAGCATATCAGAATAACGACTATCTTCTATTACAGAAGATGAAGCGCAATCGAAAATAATTATAATTTTAGTCTATTTTTACATAGTGCACTGCAATTAATATAAATTCGAATTTAATCGACCTCTATCAAAAAAACTGTAACAAATTTAAGGCATGTAAGATTTTCATTTTTAGCAAGGAAGATTTATCCTTGTATATATAATTACAGAAGCAATAGCAATCCCTACTATTTAAAGCTAAAATATTATTAATAATTAAGCTAATTCACTATACTTTAAATTTTTAACTTAGTATCATAACTACGATCAGAATGATTGAGAATTAATGCAATCAGTTTACGTGATCAAATAAGGAATAGAATGAATTAGCATAATGTATTATCACGTCATTAATTGCAGCCACAGGATTCTATTGATATCACGAATGCACTATTGATCACATGGCTAAGGTTACTGTTTCTTATTTTAAGCGTTATCTGTAAATTAAATAAAGATATCTATTGATGAATTTCTTGACAATAGGTTATTCTCATTATTCGATTTTAATTAGATATTATTCTAATGGGTGATCAGAATTATCTTCCTTATCGTCTTAAATCAACATTGCTATTCAATCTAATTTCATCATTCTTTTTCAGTGATCTTGTGCGGTAGTCCTAGGCAACCAATTGCCTAACAACATGTAAGGCATTTTATCTATTATATTCCCACTATTAACTATCTCAACAGGCACCCCTGTCATTTTTCTCCCGACAACATCGGTTGAAATTAGCTTAGAACATTAATTGAGTGTACACTTTAAGTTCTCTACATTCACTAATACGAAGGAGTATAGAAATAATTAAGCTTCCTATCGCTATCATCTTATAGCTTTCTATTACTATCATCTTATTTATTTATCATTGAAACGATTTACGGAGCAGCGACAATTATAGGTAAGTTTTAGATTTTATAATCCAATTTATGTTCTCGTACTTTGTGCACCAAGTCAATTTCTGAAGTCATCATCAATGAACCACTAATTCATTAAATTAATATTTTCCCCTTTCATTGTCGTCTATACTACCATTTTTAACAACCAAATGTAATCAATATACCGCCATATTCACCAATCTCATCTTTAATCACAAATTACCGTTTCTACTCTTGCCCTCATCCCTAATCATAATTCGTTCTATGTTTACCATTCACTGTGATTTTCTCTGTTATTAATAAAATCCGTTATGCCTATCTGACAGCGTCCAATGAATGTTTAATTATTTCAAATGATATCATCATTACTTTTCAGTGCTATGCACTTGTATCTACGTACCTTGTATCAATTTTAATAGAATATTGCAGATAATGCTAACTATTTTCATCCCATGCTATCCTAATAGATTCAAGACCAACATGAAAATTGCCCACTATGTCAGAATTAAGTAAAGAAAAATCCCAAGCCTTTAGTCGAATCATATGAGTTGAATTCAACTTTTAAACACGCATTACAAGATTAATCCTTGACCTATGTTCGATAGTAAATCAAGGATATCAAACGCAACATGGATAACGACTTCTTATTAAAGAATTTCAATAAGGATAGGCGTCGGCGTTATAATTCAGTTTCGAGCACCGGCCAGCAACGACAAGGTCGATCATCGCCAACCAACGACAATAGTTCAACTTCTAACCAAAACAAAAATGAATTACTGCCAGGAAATGACGAATATTTTCATGATCGAAATCATACATTTCATTTATTGAGCATTGCTAGCTTATCTAGTCAGCATAGCCGTCGTAGCAACAAATCAACCTCGGGTAGAAGTTCTGCAAGACGTTCCTCTCGCCAACGATCACACACGAGTTATCATTCCGAATCTGCTAATACAAGCAGTAATCATAGTAGTAATGCAGTTTCATTAGAATCGCCACCGACGTACCTAAATACTAATGATTCTCCTGTTGAAGGTGATCAGGATAAAAGCCATCGGCGTAGGAGAGGAAGTCGTCGAAAATCACCAGCTCGATCTCGTTCACGTTCAAGTCGTCCAGGTACATCTGAAAAGAAAACTTATCTTTGTAGTCCATCCAAATATGCTCATACTTTTATTGAAATCAAGCGTTACTAAAGTACTTACGATAATATTCTCCTATTTATCTTTCAATTTAGGGACCGAGAATTATCTTTATAGCTCATTTAATCACTTGACCGGCGTTCTATCCTTATCCACTAGACAGAACGCCTCCAAGCAATCATCAATGCTCAATAACCTAGGCGTGAGTATAATCATAACTTAATACAATTTATTGTTATCAATTGAATGCTATTTGAATTATTCTTATTTTAAAATCATTAATTCAATCGAGTTATATAAAATGAATAAGATGATTTCTGTATTAAGGTAGAATGATAATTGCATGTTTCCTGAATTTAATGACATTTTCACTCGTAATCTAGTGGTCACTTAATTATATTGACTTAATTATTATGTTTTGTTACGAATACGCAATCTTTGATAACATTTTCCTATCATTATTTATAGTGAAATAAAATTATAGATAGCTATATCAACTATCTAGACTTTTACATTAGGAGGGCAGATGCGAACGCAAATTATAAATACTTTATTGATTAGCTATTCCGATTAAGAAGGTTCAGTGTCCTCCTAATTTATTATCTAATTAGTGCCTACCATGCCTTCAGAATAGCTTGAGTTAAGAATGTAGTTAACTTATTTAACGAAGAGGATAATTAATTGGTGCTCAGGATAATCCATTTAGCCATATACGGGTACAATATGTCACAAAATAAAATGCAAATAAAATTGGAAATGATTACATGATATCTGATTAAAGATATATTGATACTAGTCTATTAATTAGTTGTAAAACAATCAATACCAATGAAGAAAGGTTAATAGCTATAGTGATAATCAAATATTTAAAGAAAACTAAATTATCCAGTGAGAAAGCTATAATAGTCAATTAACTTATATCCAATGCTTTAACCGTACTAGAATTGAATTGAATTAATACCTCAATAGAACCCAAAACTCAGATAGCATACAGTTGATAATAATAATTAAAATTAAATATTGATATAATTACTAACGTTTCCTTTTTGCTCCTATCAGCCTATCGAAAGATTTAAGAGAGTAGTATATATAGTTCAATGGTTTATATCCATATCAAAGTAAGTCGATATTGTCATCTAAAGAAGTAGCATTAAGTCAAGCCAAATAATATTCTAAAAACATTTATTACGGTAGATTCCTTTTAGATATTGCTTAGATATAACTACTTTACATATATTTAACGTGTTGCTAGCTTTGTCCTAAAAATCAAAAGTTCTTTCGTTTTAAATTTTTCACATATCAATATTTGAATATATTTATTTCCGTCATGTCAAAATTAATTATTTTGACGCAATTTAGCCTATCTTAGCTAATGGTACCGTACTAAAAGTGATTAATATTTGCAAGATTCGAAAGTAAAATCAACTCCAAAACAGTAATCAGAAACACTAGCATCACATTTATTAATTTAAATCATTTTCGGTAATAGAAAAGCAAATCAAAGTAAACAGAAAGAAGATCTTGCGGGGCTGCATTCTTTTACCGATATCGAAAAGGATCTGGCTCAGATCCAGACCAACACATCATTGGCCTTCGATCCAAGAAAGTATAGAGCATCTACTGAGGTAATTTAATTGGTTATGATAAGAGAATTTTCAGGGAGCAAATTACGTAACACGATCATAGATTGAATCCACCTTAGCAGTCTAGATAAATTTCTAGATGTGCATTTAAGTATCCATTAATTTCTTGACTCTATTGCTATAATATCAAGTCATCATTAGACTACGCCCAAGTTCCATTTTATATATTCAGCTAATTTGAATTTAAACGATATTTATATAGCGGTAACATTAACCTCATGTTATTTTCAGAGCACTCTAACCAATGATGTTATCAGCATCTTAAAAATAAAGTCCAGCAAAAGAACGGATGAACAGATTAAGAAGGTAAGCCTATACTGTATATTGATAATTAATTTAGCCTAGATGTGGATAGATTAGCCGTCAAAATTAAACATGTCTTTATAATCTACTCGAACATATGGTATCGCACCGTAGCAAATAATAAATATACATCCTTTTATAACCTATTTGCCTCTCCAAATCAGGTTGTAACCGCTCTGAAAACGATTGAAACATTTGCGGAGTATCCCCTTCAAATGCAATGGGCTTTATGTAAACATGGATGCTACCAATCGTATGTTGCATTGCAATGATAAAAATCAACAAGAATTTTGATTAACAACAGGAAGTGCAGATGTTCTATCTTTAACCTTCTAAACTTATTCATCTAGCTATGAGGCCATGCGTGTAATCATTCGCCAAGGCCACTATGCAGAAAATTATTACATGATTTTATCTGGATCAGGTTAGTTCTATAGTGCTCCTAATTAAAGCATTAAATCAGAATGACAGCATTCCTTCCCATTAAAAATTAACCTTAATTTCGATTGTAATCTGCATCTAGTGGTGGTTTCTAGTGTTAGCATGAATCAATCTACCAAAGAGCTGCAATCTCAAACGTTGGCATTATTAAAGCGTGGCGCTTGTTTTGGGGTTAGCTATAAGCTACAGTTCATAATCTATTTTTACTGTAATGGTTGGTAAATTAAATTACTGTTGTATTTAATCGCAAATAGGAACTCGCTCTAGTTCATCATTCTCGAAGAAATGCAACTGTAACTTGCCGAGATAATGTCAGTCTGCTAACGTTAAGTCGTGAGGTACGGAAAGTTTCAGATGGAGAATTACCAAATGTTATTTGAAACTTGCTTAGCAACTAGGCAAATTAATTTTTATACCGTAGTATTAATCTTCAATTCATTTCCTATAACTGACTGAATAGTAGCATCTAAAATATTGTTACTTGTAGTTTGTAGTATACGCTAATCATTTACTATGAGAAGCAAATATCTAAAAAAGTCCGACATAATCTTGGTGAAGTAAAATGAGTAGTAAATAGACTTTACCGATGGCATTTGATAAAATTCATTCTATCTAATATTTATTCTTCTTGGGAACTAAATTAGGCTTTTATGAATTTATTTATGGGTTACAAAGAAACCGGTGGTGAACCAGATCATATTATCTTTCTACGGTATAGTTTAGAATTGATTGAATCAATGAATATTCTTTCATTTATTTGTGAAGTAAATTTATTTCTTTTGCGACGAATAATTTTTAATATAGGACAATTCCTTCCATGCAACACATTCCTTTATCATTATTAAGCAATAATCCAGGCGTCTGCTTATTTCATTATTTCAGGTACCGGTACTCTGCAGTATAATATTTTATCATTAAATTGATTCTTTTTTAAGTAGTGAGATTAAATTAGAAATACTTCCATATGACAGTCGGTCAATTCGAAATTTTTATAAAGTTTTTAGTCTATTAAATTGGTTAGAATTTAGATTTTGATCACGAATTGCCCACTATATGCTGAAGATTTGGCAATTTAAGTAGTAATTAGAAAATACACTGATGTCTTTACTACATATAGCACGGGGATCAAAATAATTTAAGTTAAGATGGGTTAAATAATTGATACTAATTTCTATTTTGGTAATCATTTACCATTTGTAGGCGTGGAGCAGTAGTCGTACGCGATTCTAGTCGTTCAGATTGGGTATACATCGTTAAATCGGTATGATCTTTCATATAAATATTTATAATCTTTTCAACTACTGATACCTTTCAATCGCTATCGATACCCTATAGAAAAATAGATCCTTATGCTAGTCAGACTATAAATAAGATTATGACTCATTTCTAATTTGGCATCAAATTCCAGTTAATGTACAACTTCTGATTGATATTGCAGTCCTTTCGCGTAATATCTAATCCTATTAACCAGCTTTGCAAATCCATTAATAGGGGTATTGTGAAGTTTTAAAAAGAATGCGTGTAAAGGATTCTATTCCACCTCGAAGTCGACCATTATCGGAACTGGAAGAATTCTGGAAGTATCATTCGGAATATGACATAGATCGCAAGAACGAAAATAATAAATTTATCCCGTCCTTGCCGCCATTAGCCAAATCGTTATATGCTTTCCAAAGTAAGTCATGTTAATCTATTAGTAAATTTTTAATTTAATTATCCTATTAATATTAATAACTAATAATTATGTTTCAATGAAAAGTTTAAAATCTTAAAATAATATGTTACAGTACTGTTTAAAGAAATTTTTTTTGTACAATCGGCATTGTATAATTTATGACACAGTTTACGCTGCATGTAAACTAAACTTCTTCTGTTAGCTAGAGAAAATATTTAAACTGCAAATATATCAGCGTATTAAATCTAAGATGAATCAACTTTTCGTTATCTAAAGGACTTGCCAGTACAACTAAAACTTCACCAAGCCTGAATGTAGATAGCTTACTCTTCTCTAAGGGTCATAGAAGACCGAAAACGACTCCGGAAATTGTCTTACCGAGAATTGAAGATGGCAGCTATAGGATAGCAGCCATTCAATCTGATACCGAAGAGTGGGTTTATCATGTGAGAAAATTTCTGACTATTTTTCGCCGTAACTCTACATTTATAAATAAATTAAGGGACATAAACTGTAAAGCTAATTTCATCGTGTTTATAGCGTAGAAATAGTAATAGTAGTAAAAGAATCAGTGCATCTTATGGCTTACTGTCAGGATGAAGAATTAAATGTAAACTTAAATCAGAAATCAAAGCAATATAAAATTATTAAATGCTTATTTTAATATCAACATTTTGTAGGATTCCAAATTACCAAATTTAAGCGAACTTCAGCAGCTACATAACGAAGACGGTAAATAGATTCATGAGTAGCTTATAAATGGGCTTATAAAAGCTAATGTAATACGCCTTAAATGATATCGACCCTGTATTAACTTACACTTACGATGATAACATTGAATTAATCACAGTTCAAGAAGATTTGAGAGTGCATGAGCAACAATTAGAGGAAGTCTACAAGAAATTATATAAGAATAAAAAAGTATGCTACTATGGATACTTAATCCACGGCAATTATTAATCTCTTCTTTATTTTAAACTACATTTCATGTTCATCTTTTATGAAGTATTTGTTTGTATGCTATTTCATGACAGAAGGATACGAACACTCACAGCTATCTTTATGCCGGAAATCGACGACAGCCCAAATCTTCTCATTCTAAACATTGCTATCTCAAAATTAAATTACTAAAGCAAAGAGAAATTTACGTTAGTATTTGAATCGGAAACAGTCAGTTTTGAAAATTGTTAACAGATGTATTCCTTCACGTAGGGGCTGGAAAATATTATATTTGACGATGTGATTGGAACAAGTTTGGTAAGCTATTAAAATATTAGCGCTAGCTATTTGTGATATGCCTTCGCAGATACATGCATTCGATCTATCGTGAAATATAATTTGATCTATACAACATTTGTATTTTTTAACTATACGTGCTCTAATGCTATCATTACAGCATCATTTTCAATAATAAGATATTAAGCATGGTAGTATCATGTAATCAATACATTAATTTAGCATAACTCTTCCTTTGATAACGTAACTTATCGTTACTTTTGTACCGGATTATTATACTTAATTATAGATTACGATGGCTATAATGTCATTTGTAGAAGCTAAATTTTTGCGCAGTAATAGTTCAATAGAGGTACTAAATATCATGATTATTTGCCATGCAGGTTAGCAATGGCGCTGAATGCATAATGATCTCTAAAGAATTTCTCCAAGAACATTTAACAAATCATGCGAAAGAGATATTACGCTTCGAGGTATAGTATCCCATTTCAATAGCTATTTTACCTCTTTATTGTTTATTAAGCTAGCCAATTTTGAGATGGTAGCTTAATTATTTTTGCTCCTTCATATTTTTCCTAGACCCAACCGTATCCCAGTGAAGATGCCTTGAAACAAAATTTTCAAGCTCAAACGGCATGGAACGATTTCAAACGGAAAACAGTTAAACATATATTAAAATTACATAATTTAACTCTTGATCAATACTGAAAACGAAATAGCTGTACCACTAGAAATGACAATGTTTGGATGTTTAAAAATTTATTTTGAAAACCACATGTATATATATATACTGCTAAAGGCACAATTTTTACTTTAGCCACACCGAAGAGAATATCTGCAAAACTTAAGATTTGCATTTAATAGGTTTTAAATCGAAATGAACCCTATTGTTGAATTATTACCAACTTTTAAATTTTAATCGTTTTTTGGAATTTTTACGAATCATTATATTATGTAAAGTAAATTCTTTTATTGTTAATTTCTAACTAATGAATTCCGATCCGAATTCCTTATGTGAGCAAGCTCTGATCGATCCATAGTAAATTAATTATATGGAATAATTCTATAATATAACCGAAATTGTAGCTAATAATACTTTTATAATGCAGTTAATTGATTTATTCGAGAAATCCAAAATTTTGTCATATATAACCGTAAACGGTCTATCATATCAGAAACTTTACTATCGTAAAGTTACAGATTGAAAAAAGTAAATTTATTATGATTTTATATTCTAATAAATATTTAATCTTTATGAGTTAAGAGTACTTTTGAAATAAATTCAACGTCTAAATTATCTCTAGAATAAGTTAAAATTATTATAGCCTGTAATTGCAAATTTAGTCGGTATAAAATGCTCATTTTTAGGAACCATAAGCAGATATGATGCTTTATAACCTAGCACATTCTATATTTCTACGGTTTATTTGTATAAATGTATCTATTTATTTCAGTATTCAAACTCTAGTGAATCCATTATTATATTGAGTAACGGTAAATTGTTATAATAGAAGTATGTATTATAGTAACGTTTTCCCGCTAAAGTTACAGTAATATTTACTAAAGACATGACCAATTATATAACTACCTAGTGATTTTAAACAATCTCACCACAATGAAATAAAAGTACAAGAAGAGAAACATTTGGAGTAATATTCCATAGTTATTTTTAATCTTTGTTAGTCCAGAGGCTAACCTTGTTGGCGAAGATATGATTATGTTAATTGTCTGAACTATACCTACCATTACTAGTGACTCAAAATGCAGTCTAGGCTTACTAATTAATATAAGCCACTGATTTTATCGAAGTAATGAGTGTAAAAAGTGGTTATCAGTCTAGAACATAATTAGTTTTTTTTTTTTTTTTGGGGGGGGGAGGGTGATTATATTATATTAAATTCTTAAATTTTAGTACGCTAGAAATATTTAGTTCATCATGTGTCATAGCGATAAAAAATTTCTTTTCTTCATCTTTTTTAAAAATTGAATAATTAGTTACTACATACGGATCATCATGGCAGTACGAATACTCCATATATCTAGAATCCTTGCCAGTTCATCTTGACTTAACTCTTTATCGACTTAGTATTATTTATATTAGCTTACAAACGAAAATTAATGTATGAAATGTATCAATGTAGATCAATATATTCAATATATAATGTTATATTAAATTATATTAATTCTATAGCGTAATAACCATTATTGTTCTTCATTGATTCTGCTACCAATCTACAGAGATTAGTATGAAGTTAGCGTAAACGACGTTGCTATAGCAACTGGATGACAATAGTCCACAGCATGGAAGGATGATCCTGCCATAATCAATTATTTAACTAAGCACCCGTATACCATAATAAATAATATAAAACATTAATAGTACTGTTGCAGGTTTTCAAACAACGGCTTTCTAATATTGAAATATTTAAAAGTTACTTTACCTAAGATTTCGCAGAAACTTATTTATTAAGCTGTTTCACCGACTATTGACTTATTTTGAAACATTTAAACAAGCTTATCTGTATTGGGATATCTTGAGGATAATTTATCAAAACTCCTCACTGTAGCGATTATAGACTGGGAAATATTTGAATTTTACATCAAGAGTTTGTTTTAGTGATATAACACCATGGTAAGTAATTATTATAGAACTTGATAAACCATCATGACGAAACGTTAGTATAAAATTGTTGTCTATAATTTAGTTACTTTCAGTATTTTTTCCCTATGATGAAGTAAATATAAACTTACTAGAATGGTATATTATATCAATAACAGTTATTATATTTTAAAATTGACGTCAACGCAAGATATTCTCAGCCCTCCATGCCCCAAATAGATTGTGTGGCCTAATTCCGGATAGATTGCATTCGTTTTATCATCATAATATTTGCCGATAGATCGTTATTATATTTCTGTTCAGTAGGAACTTTTAGATCAAGCTTTCATAAAAATATGTTAAGTATGCCGTATACTATTAGCATATAACCATTTGTCTTAATATTAAAAGCCTAAAAGATTTTAAAGTTTTGCTTTTCCTATTTCAGTGCTTTAATAATTTATTCATTCATGTCTTGTGGGCTGATTTAAAGTAGTTTTATAAGTATCGTATTAGTGTATACAGTTTAGTCTTCAGTCTATCGTATACTTACTACACTTTTAAAGATGTATGGTGAAAAATTATGCATTTATTCATCTTTCATGAAACCTAAGTGGGCTATTTAACTAAAGGAAATGTTACACCTTCTGCCTGTTTTCATTTTAGGAAAGAGATTAATTTGTAGTATCCAATTAGGAATAATAACTAATGGTTACTGAAATTATGAATTAAGATTTGGTTGAGCTGTGACCTAACTATTTGTGGATAGCGTTTTAAGTAACTCCTAAATTACGATCATAATAAATAAACATGATCAGTCGAAATATAGTTAGAAAAATCATTCAGGAAGTAGATTTTAATGGAAGAAGTAAGTAAAAGTATTATTAATTTAACTCTTATATTGATAGATAGATTAGTAGACTTTTCATGATTATTTTATTATATAATTCCCAGTTTAGTTTTAAGATAGTCATCTGTAAAAATTTAATTTATTTACAGCTGGAAGTGAAGGTTCGCATTTAGCGGCTGTCTCAAAAAGTCAACGTCGGGTCAGTACTCGTATACCAATTCTATAATATTAATATACTATTAAATGAAAGATCTATTTGTAATGGCGAAGGCCTTAAGTACAGCTGTAATCGGTTAATGTTATAACTATCGATATTCTGCTATAGAAATATTTAAATGGTAAAAATGGACCGAAATTACAGCGTGTAGCTGCGGCTATAGAAATTCAAAGAGCATGGAGAGGATATCAATTAAGGTACTGTAATCTCCCTAAACTAATACAAGTATATTGCGAATTAAGTTCGATTACTAAATTTTATCATATATTACGTTAACTCAAATCATACATTCGTATGTAATTCCATCTAGCTTAAATCTTTAGCTCACGAATTTTCTATTTTACTAAATTCATTTCTCAATATGATTAGTTGGATTAATATAGATTATATCGTAATATGAGTAAAAGTTGTATTAGAGAGAATTTAGACCAAAAAATTTCGGACAGTTTACAAGTTGTATTGGTAAAGTCTGACAATTGAGATGAATGAATTGAGCAAGTTATAAAGGAATCAACTTGATTCCTCTAGTATAAGATTAATAAAAATGTAAAATACATCCGCAATTCATCTTTTATCTTTTGATCTGATTATAGATGTAAATGGTTTGCAGCATTAAATATTCGCTTAAGCATGATCGCCAATTCTACTTATAGCCGATCGGCACATAGTCGATTAGCGGATCTAGAATCCCTAGTATCAGCCAGTACCACCTCCGAAGGGTCCAAGGTAAAACATATATTTCGTTTATCGCTGTATTCAATTAACAAGTAACCCAATTAATACATTATGATGAAAATTATGCCAGTATAGTCATACCAAGGACAACTTAAGGGAAAAAAATTTCCTATGAGTTGTCCCTAATCGTACTTGTTATATTAGGATACCACTGTAGTCAGATTATGTTAAACTGCCTACTACAAGGACCACAAACACTTTAAGTAGTTTAAAGATTACAGGTAATTAAGATGGAGAATCTAACTCGTAATTTAATTGTTTCCATATAGACATCAGCTCGCTTAAGGCTTGAAATTTACTATAATTGGTTCCAGGAAGAACACTCCAAATCAAATATTGAAACGTAAGTAATTAGCTCTGCATCGATATAAGTATTTGCCAGAGTTTGGCTAAAAATCCATCTACGTGTAACGTAAAGGATTTAATTACAGTGCTTCGACAATGCATGAAATTAGTAAGCCATTGATTCTATTCATTATGACTAATATGATTTCATTGAACATGGATAGATTTGAGAATTTTTGCGCAATGATAATCCAACAATGGTGGCGTAATAAGCATGGATATGATAAAACTGGCCGTTACATAGAAGACGATGATAGATCAAGTGTTACAGGAAGTTCTTATTCGTACTCTTATTCCTCCTATTCCGAAAGTGCATCTCGTCGTTCTCGACATACACATACATCATCTCATTATGACAAAAATAGTCCATCTGATGAAATCAAAGGATCTACTACTGTTCCATCCAAAAGCCGTTCCAGAAGTCCATCTGTTGTGATTAAAGGATCAACGACAATTCGGTCGAAGGGCCACTCAAATCGTTCTAGCAGGAAACCATCACCAGCTCCATTTCTATGTGATAAACAGGCATCATACAGTACTACAACAAGTCCTGATCCAAGTATTAGTCCAGATCGAAGATCATCTAATTATAACTATCAACCCGTTCAGCCTGTTGTCATTCGCACAAAACCTGTTAGAACTATGCTCGTTGAAGATGCATGCGAAATTATACAACGAGCATGGCGAAGTTACTTGGTAAGATCTAATAACCAGTGTACTATTTTATGTTTTATATTTACTATATTTATAGACTAAAATTATTCCTTAATTATAAATAGTACCGAATAGTTCCCTATTTCATTGATTATAAATTACTCTATCTCTAGGATCGCCGTGTCTATCGCTACTATCGTAAATTGATCAGTTTTAAACTATCCGGCGATCCAGCCAAATTACTACGGTGTATTAACCCACAGGAGGTAATTTATTGTAGTTTTATTTCTTCAAAATTGATTAAATCCAACAATATCAATACATTATCTAACCTCGATTATGGCCAAATTGACAGTCGAAATTACTCGATGCAGCATCTGGAAGCCATGTCAAGTTTAGACTTGGAGGGGTAAGAACATTTTCCAATTACTGGAATATAGATAATTAAAGATACCAACACGTATTTATGTCGATATTCTATGATACTTTCATAATGTTGATCTCTTGCTCGTAATGATCCAGGAAACATTTCCGCCAACAATCTATTATAAGATTTATACACATCGCAATGTAGCTGATATTTGCTCGACCGCACCGCGAGATTATACAAAAATGGCAAATAGGAAGCTAACAGCCAAACAGGCCAATAATAGAAATGCCATCATTCAACGAGATGGTAAGCTCTAATAATGATCGTATGGTATGAAAATTTTATTTCGTTTTTCTATGTTCCAATACAGTTGGATTCATAATATTCTGTAGCAGCATTTATCTAACAAAGTAATTTACTTATCATGTTCATTTTTATTTCCTTTAGATAAAAGGGGTTGGTATCGAAGACATGAAAATAATGGCTGGCGTTCTATTTCTGAAAAAGTGAGTCTCTATTTTTAATTTATCAAGTGTTCTTTTCACAATATGTTAGGAAAATGGTCATATTACCTTTTTAATGTATACTATTTTTACACGGTTATGATGTATCAAATACAAATCATTTAACTATTGTAATATTTAGCCTTTCCAACATTTTACTGGAGATGATATAACTTATACTACAAGCCAAAAACAAATTAATTTTTCTCATACTAAGGTAACTATTCCTCCTTTACGATGATTTTGATTCTATTTAAATTTTTTATGACTTATTATTAGGTAAAAATGTTCCCTAAATATGCACTTTTATGATTTTTCAGCTGCTAAGGAGGCAAGATCTCGAGAGAAAAAAGAAATTAAAGAAATTAGAATGGTTCCATAAAATGTAATTATGTCTCGAATAATAATACTCTATTCCTGTAATAATAAAAGCGATGTATCGCATGTAGATATGCGATATTGAATGGATTCGATCCATCTTGCAATAATTTAATACAATGATGATGAAAATCTATTTTTCTAGGTATAATCAGGGTAAACAGGCCCTCGAAGAAACCTTGGAAGGAGGCGATATTGAAGATTCCTTAGATGTTGAGGAATTAATTCGTTGGACAAACAACTTGAATTACGACCAGTAAGTATAATTGATAATGAATTCTTGAGCAGTGGCTTAATTTTACTGTAGAATCTCCATTCTATCGTGCCATTATTTCGATAGTAATGGTGATTAGAATTACTTATTGATTATTGATTTTTTCTCATCGCAATAGATATTTAAACGATTGGCAAATTGCTGCTACAAGTGGGCCATCAGACAAAAATGCGATATTATCATAAGCCTTATTCTCCATTTTTATATAGATTTTATATTCAATTATTTTATTGAAATCGATCGCAAATTTCTTGATTGACTGATAATTAATATCTTACAACAGTGTACTAGATCAAGATTGCAAATTTATTACTATCATAAAGTAAAATAACAATATCCATGAATGGAGTCACTATAGTAGCTATCTAATCCAATTAATTTTTGATGATTCGGTATGGATAGATCTCACCAGAATATATAGGCACGATTTTGTACTATAATAATTTACAAACAGCATAAGAAACACTGTCAAAACTACTGTAGTTCTCACGTAAATGATCTTTCCGTTTTTTTATGTCGATGTTATTTGTATAGGCGTCATTGTCAATAAATCCTATAATATGTAAAATGGGCCCATCAGTTGATGATAATTTGCTCTTGCAATTGTATTACTTGAATTCAGATTGGAAAATTATGATCTTTTTACTGTGGTTAACTGATAATTACATATTTGAAATGACTCCGTAATCGATTCTACAGTATACGCGTATAAGAATGGAAGGGAAATGATTGCCATTGATATTAATTGATAATTATAATGAAAAGAAAAACTGCAAAATAAATATCTATTTCTTGATTATTCAATTCATGCTGTTGATATTTTACCTTGTCCATATTCGTATTGATAGAACATTTATCTATTTATTATATTTTATTATATATATATATTTATTATATGGTATTTTATCTCGTCCATATTCGTATCCATATTCGTATCCATAGAACATAAATACCGTTATTTCAGTAGTTCCATGGAAATTTCCCTGTCAAAAAATTTTAACTTCATGATTGCAACCTCATCATCGAGGCTATAGAATGAATTCATCATATTGCATCATAGTTATTCCCCTGAAAATGGATATACGCGTCAAATAGATGATTAGTTTGATATATTCGTCTATTCATAGATACAGTAGTTAGAATTCCATGGTAACGATTGCTGCTATGTAAAGCCAAGACTATATGATTGCAACCTTATCGTCGAGGCTATAGAATGAATCTGTGATGTTGCATTATTACTCTGAAAATGGATATACGCATAAAACAGACGATTGGCTATGATAAATGCCTATAATTAATTATATATTATTCTTCTGAAAATGGATATACGCGTGTTACGAAGCGTAGCTCCGTAGATTATAGGATACAGTAAGTAATAAATAATTGATTAACCAGGGTTGTCTACCGTTTTGGTAAGCAACCATGGGGCATTAAGACAGGTTGTTTACAATTATTATAATCGGAGCAATCAACAAAGCTTTAATTATATCTAGCTGGTTATAATATTACTTAATATAGGACTAGTTTATGGGAACGCACTACTCTTGTAATTAATTACTCATATTGGTGCTGAGCTTATACTCATTGATTGGCTAATTAATTGGTTGTTATTCATTAGTGTTGTTTACAACCTGAGCCCATACTAAGCTATATGAATTGTCTGGGAGTATCTCCCTATAGTAACATAAACAAATTATGGAGGGAGCAACTTACTAGTATGCCCCACAAATGAGTGGGAATGGTATAAAAGACCGAGCGAATTATCATTCGCCAGTTGCTCCGGACTAGGATAATCTACTAGAGACTAGACTTTGGCTAGGGATGGCCGAATAAAAAGTACCAGTGCTTTGAAAGAAACTTTAGTAGTTGTGTGACTGTGTGGAAGAGTTGGTTTTCCCTTAGAAGAAGACTTCCAAGTCAGTGGAAGCCTTGCATAATTACTAGAACACTTGATATAACCAATTCACAAGAGGAATTTCTGACAACGCGTATATTCGTAGTTGCAATGGTTGGAATTCCGTGGTAACGATGGTTACTATGTAAAATCAAGGCTTGATAATTGCAAGCTTATTATGGAGGCTATAGAACGAATCCGGTATGTTGCATTATAATTATTCCTCTGAAAATGGATATACGCGTCAAACAGACGATTAGTTTTGATAAAGGCGTATAATTATATAATTATTCCTCTAAAAATGGATATACGCGTATATTGGTAGTGACAACGGTCAGAATTCCTTGATAACGATTGTGGCTATGTAAAATCAAGACTTGATGATTGCAACCTCATCATCTATAGAATTAATGCGTTATGTTGCGTTATGTTATTGTTCCTCTGAAAATGAATATACGTATCAAACTGACGATTGGTTTTGATAAAAGCGTATAATTATATAATCCTCTAAAAATGGATATATCCGCGTATATTCGTGTTTATATGGTTAGAATTCCGTGGTAACGATTATGACTATGTAAAACAAAGACTTGATGATTGCAACCTCATCATCAAGGCTATAGAATGAGTCCATCCTATTGCATTATTCCTCTGACAACGGATATAAAATAGACGATTAGCTTTGATACTGGTAATTGGAGTAGGTGAAATTGCGTGGTAGCCATTTCTGCCATGGCGGTACCGCTTGTAAAACCCGTCAGGTAAATGCTGCGGTAATGATACTGCAGCCTTGTACCGCAGTAGTCGTCGTTGCTGTATACAGCAGCTTTCATTCAACGAGTCGAAGCATACGGTGCAGTAGCCTACTGTACCATGATTGTACGACCTCTAGTGCACACGAAAGTTGAAGCGAGTCTGTGGGTGGCAGCTCACAGGACATGGAAGTCAGCTGGCACGGTTGACTTTAAACGAGTCAAGAAAGCGCAGTAATGAAGCAAGATGATTGTACCACTCTACTCTGGCGCATTGGACACGAAAGCAGCTCACACTCCAAGTTGAAGCGAGTCTGTGAGTGACAGCACACAGGACATGGAGGTCCACTGACACGGTTGACTTTAATTGAACGGGTTGAAACATACAAGACAGTGAAGTAACATGTTTGTACAACTGTAGCGCATTGAACACGAAAGCGGTTCACACTCAAAGACGAAGCCAGTCTGTAAAAGTGACAGCACACAGGACACGGAGGTTAACACACATTGTTCACTTTAACTTAATTCAACGAGTCGAAACATACAAGAGAAGGCAGTCATTAGGTAACATGATTGTACAACTGTAGCGCATTGAATACGAAAGCAGCTCACAATCAAAGTCGAAGCGAATCTGTGAGTGACAGCACACAGGACATGGAAGTCAACTGACACGGTTGACTTTAAACGAGTCGAATCGAGTCTTTTAATAAAAGTGACAGCACACAGGACACGGAGGTCAACTGACACCGTTGACTTTAATTCAACGAGTCGAAACATACAAGAGAATGCAGTCATTAGGTAACATGATTGTACAACTGTAGCGCATTGAATACGAAAGCAGCTCACAATCAAAGTCGAAGCGAGTCTGAGTGACAGCACACAGGACATGGAAGTCAACTGACACGGTTGACTTTAAACGAGTCGAAACCTCCAAGACAGTGCAGTAATGAAGCAACATGATTTTACAACTGTAGCGCATTGAACACGAAAGCAGTTCACACTCAAAGTCGAAGCGAGTCTGTTAATAAAAGTGACAGGACACGGAGGTCAACTGACACTGTTGACTTTAATTCAACGAGTCGAAACATACAAGGCAGTCATTAGGTAACATGATTGTACAACTGTAGCGCATTGAACACGAAAGCAGTTCACAATCGAAGTCGAAGCGAGTCTGTCAATAAAAGTGACAGCACACAGTACACCGAGGTCCACTGACACTGTTGACTTTAAATTCAACGAAACATGCAGGACAGTGCAGTAATGTACCACAGCTATGATGAAACCAGCTCATAGTCACAAGTCACAGTGAGTCTAGGGCTGTAAGCTACGGAGGTCATCGGACACTATTCTTGCTGGCTTTGGTTGTTTACTTTGGTTATTGTCCTCTACCTTCACGTGACAGCAATAAAGAGATGGACTGAGGGGTCAACCAATGACTCAAGTCACCCGATTACGAAGGTGGTGCGAGTGTTGTTGGTTGACTTTGCATTGACTCAACTCACCCGATTGCGTGGTGCGAGTATCATTGGTGGACATGAGCACCAATGGAAAGCATCTTACTGCGCCGTCGCAGTAAGGCGTAGTAAGCCAAGTAAAGTAAAGCTTTACTATTCAGCTTCTCTTCGTCTTCTTCAGTTCCCTTTTCAACACCTGAAATTGGTTTACTTTCCTTTAGCTACCCTCAAGCCAGGAAAAATATCCACTGAAATAATGGGCGATAGTAAAGTTCTATCTATTCAAAGTCATGTTGTCCATGGTTATGTTGGTAATCGATCTGCTACATTTCCATTACAGGTATATTACGGCCATCCAACTACCGCTTGATGGTCATCAACAATAGATTATCTAGTTAAGGCGATAGATAGCATTATACTGTAAAAGCATAGCAAGATGATGGAATCGAATCAATCTCCCTTATATCCAAGGTTTCTTCATCATCGTATTGAGTTTATAGGCAAGAAATAGACTGTACTGCATTCCATCCAGCTTTGTCGAGTACGGTATTCACTATTACTCTGGATAAGGGTTGGATTGATCGATTGCTAAGTTGCCATAGCCATCACTATTCACCTGTTGGATAACCTTTATCGACGGTATTTGCGTACTTAGTGTAAACACCCAGCACGATAAGAAAACGTGGAGGGGTTGCATTTTTTTGGCTTGTAAGACAGTATCATCATTATCAATTGGTCAGTTGATGGATACTGTAATAACGTAGTAGTTAGCTGCCCAACCAATGTTGGCTAATTTTTGACTGATTTTGTTGAACCACAATAGTGTAGAATGCAATACTACGGCTTATCATTTCATGCAAGTACTATTGGCCATTTCTGTAACTCTCTCAATAATTAAATAATTATATATCATGAATTCATTAATAAGTTATAATAATCTATTAGGGTTAGTCTTGCAATACGGATGGAAACTTGATTCTGCAATGTCTAATAATTTCGTCTAAAGTCGTTCCAGTTGAAGACTTTTGAATGCTGCTAATCTAATTGGATACGATGATGCAGTTTTCATTAATGAATGGATAACATGCCAGTATAGCTTGTACAGTCATAGTGTAGCTCGACGATAGTTTAATCGTTCCTACTTGTACACCCACCTTGATCGATTTCATACACGTAAAATGAAGATAAAGTTGTTTGCTATTTTTTCCACTCCCTATCAGTTTGCCATTGAATGATTAAATAGTCCTTGAACAGTGTACACACCTTTAGATCGGCTTATTCTTAAAATAAACATCAACATAGAAGCACTTGTATCCGTGATTTATCCCAGACCCATTGTCGTTGTACAAGTAAATAGATTGCTTTAGTAATTTACTTCCTGTGGTCGTAATCAAATTAACTTTATGTAAGAGCATTTGAATGCATTTTACCGTCAGCATCGTTCAGTAAATCTTCAACTTGTTGGAAGGCGTCAACATATCGAGTCGCACCTTGTGTGATCTTCTTGGGCCACAGTCATTATATGAGGAGAGTAATAGCAATTTCGTCTATTCACCATACTCCATTGCAAAATGATGATGAATGAAAAATCTCCCTCTTGCATCAGCTTGAATTTTTTCATGTAGATTACCGCAAATTCTAGTAAACTACTGTTTCGGCGTCAAGGCGAATAAACCAGTATCATAGCTGATTCCAAAGCTCCAATCCAAGTCGATACATAGGCCCTCGTCTTTAAATTGGCGTGTCATCTTTGCATAATTTTACCCACTGACAGTACAGATTTTATTGATCCCTGTGCTGTATAAATACAAAATGACAAGCCATCTATTTATTACTTATAATCATATCCATTTATCTTTCATTTTTGCAATCAGGTTCTTGGATTCGATGTCGATGTGATCAATTCCGTTCAGTTCTCTAATCATACTGGTAAGGAATGGATATGAAAAAAGTTACCTGTAACAAATGTTTTGATAGTTACGTAATAATCACAGTATGTATAATGATGCAACAAAATATCGCCCCAATAATTGTGAAATTCCAATTTAGAATACGGAAAATGGAAAGGTCAAATCTTGAATGCTACTGAGTTATGGGATTTATATGAAGGACTGAGAGAAAATAACTTGCACGAGTATTCCCATCTCCTAACAGGTAACAACTACTATAGACGAATAGACACTTGCAAATTTTGTGTCTTTGGAGGCACTAATCTCTCAAATATTCTTGAATATTGAGCACGCTATCAATTCCGGAATCTAAATTTACTTACACTTTGCTGTAGGTTACGTTGGATCGGAGTCTTTCCTTCACTGCATATCCCGAGTTATTCGATCTCTAAAAGAAACCAATCCAAACCTAATTTATGGTAGATTACAGCTTCTTTCTATAAATTTTGTATGGACTATAAATTTCTAACTAATTAAACAAGGCAATATAATTTGTAATCTTTAATTAATTAAAATTTAGTATGCGATCCTGTCATGGGTGACAATGGGATAATGGTAAGTTCTGGGCTTAATTAGCTATCAATGTTAACTTTTGCGCTTGCTATGTCTGTTTAACAATGCCGAATGACCTTTTTCAGTATGTGCCTAAAGAATTATTACCTATATACCGTGAAGAAGTTATCCCTCTAGCTGATATTATAACCCCTAACCAATTTGAAGCTGAGTAAGATCAATGTTAATGTATTAGATAGTAGAATCATTTATCGTGCCTGTTAAGTAAAAATTACTTATTGATCGGTTGTGTTTTTTATTTTTGGTTATGAAACAAGAATACTTACTGACGTTAAAATTGTCGATGAAAAAAGTGCTATTGAAGCAATGGATATTCTACATAGCAAAGGCATCAAAACTGTGGTAATTAGTAGTTCAGAACTTGGCAGTGGCGAATTCTTGATTGGTTATGGTAGCGTTAACTTAGGTAGAATTTACAAAATGATGGCTAACACGATTTTTAGCTGATAAATTAATCAAATTATTACCCTTTATGAAAAGGTGATGGTAAAAAACAGCGAATAAAGTTAGAGATACCTAGGGTTGAGGCTGCATTTGTCGGTACTGGAGATTTATTTGCCAGTCTTTTACTAGCTTGGACCTCTCATCATCCTGACAGCTTATCGGTAATTATGAAATAAGGACAGAATAAGCTATTTCAAATTCATATCAATAAAGTTGAAATTACTTATTTCATTCAATTAGCTTGCCTGTGAGAAAACCATTTCATCCATTCAGAACATTTTAAAGCGTACAATTGCCCATGCTAGAAGTACGTTCATCGATACTTTTATATCAATTCATTGAAAGCACTCCTTATAAACTTTGCTCTTTCTTTTACAGAACTAGCTGGCGAAGGTAAATCGCCAAATTCAGCTCAATTAGAATTACGATTAGTGCAAAGTAAGCACGATATCGAAAATCCAAGCTGTCAGATCAAAGCTATCAGCATCTAATACTATAACTGATGCTATCCGATACTAATACATCACTTCGCAGTTCCTGTAAAGTGTAGTGTACTCAATCTATTACTAGTTTCGATGAATAGTTTTAAAAATATTTTCTCCTTAAATTAAAATTGACAGCAATGATGTCAAGTATTATATATTTGAAAGGGAAATAATTATCATCTGCACTTCGTAGATTTCGAGCATACATAAAAGCGTAGTGAAAAGGAAAATCGATTGATTCTATGTTCAAGCAATTAGTATTTAGTTAATTCGCATGTAATGTTATTAGCAAATCAATTCTTTATAATGATGTTTTGCAAAGGATAATAGTTATGGACGCTGTTTGTGCTTTTTAATAAATGCATTAGTGGTATATTAAAATGTATTGAATGCCTTCAATGAATGACTTCTTGTAGCTAGATAGTTGCATCCAATTAAACTACTACCAGAATAAATTTAATATCATTTTTATTAGATATCGAATTATACGCTAGCATAGAATTTCAGAAGTAGCATGATAAGACTATAGATCAGCATCGATACATATTATTACATTTATATAATACTTTAAAGAAATTGTGTTTGGAAATTCGATAAATGATTCATAAACAGGTAACATATTGATACAACGTATTCAGCATAGCTTGTAGAGTAGTCCAAACGTACAAGTAAAATCATCAAAATGTTGCTAATTTTTGACTGGAAAGGCATTAAATCATGTTATCATTGGTAGATATGCCATCATTACGATGACAATGGTGTAAAAGGCGAATATAAGGCTAATAACAAATGCAACGGAATAGTTCCTTGAAGATCTTTGTAGGGTATTGCATGCGCGTATCTCAAAATTACTTTAATCAGGCTATACCTCATCAAACTGTATGTAACCTAAACTCTGGCTCCTCCTTGCATAACATTTTGGGGAATTTGTTGACCGTCTTGAGCATTTGCACCTCCTATATTTGATCCTGGTGGAATACCAGCATTTGCAAAGTTATTATCTGCTTGGCCTGTGTGTTGGCCGCCCATGTTGGCCCCTTGCTGTTGAAATTGTTGTTGTTGCTGAGCTGCTTGCTGCTGAAACTGTTGTTGCTGCTGCATTTGAGGTTGTTGTAGCAGTGGCTGCTGTTGTGCTTGCACTGGTGGCATTTGCTGTTGCTGGTCAAAATTAAGTTGCTGCTGCATAGGTGGCTGTTGCTGTTGTTGTTGCTGCTGTTGCAATTGCTGTTGCTGCATTGGTTGTTGCTGTAAAGGAGGTTGCTGCTGTATTGGTTGTTGTTGTATTGGTGGCTGAATAGGAGGTTGTTGCTGCTGTTGTATTGGTACTTGTTGCTGAACAGGCGGTTGCTGCTGTTGCATAGGTTGTTGTTGCTGCTGCTGTATATGCACTTGCTGGAATACTGGTTGTTGTTGTTGTTGTAGTGGTGGTTGTTGAACTGATTGCTGCTGCAGCTGCTGCTGTTGTTGCTGTTGTTGTAATTGTTGTTGTAATAGCAATTGTTGTTGCTGTTGCTGCAATACCTGCTGCTGAAATTGTTGTTGTTTTACTTCCTCTCCTTGGTTGCCCATTTTATCAGTGCTGCCTTCAGCGGCCCACTGATTAGCATTATTGCCGACATTTTGTGTTTGTAGATCGATTCGTTTTTGTACATCTAACATAAAATATTGTTTGGAGAATCTTTAAAATAGAGGCACATTATAGAAGACCATAAGGTGAAATTGCAATTGACTCACCTAATATTCCTATTGGATCAACCTCATTCTCCTGTCCTCCATCACCGGGTCCTGGTGGACCTAGATATCAGTTACATATATATTGCTTGTTCTAAATCTCATGCTATAGCATTTATTTAACTGTATTACACCTTATCCACAAATTTTTATAAAAATTCGGCAACAATAAAATTAGACTACTTTCAATCTGACATAAATTAACGAGTAATTTTAAAGTTTCTCTTACCTCGAGGCCCGGGTGGTCCTGGTGGGCCTGGAGGCCCTGGAGGCCCAGCATTCGTTCCTGAAGTATAGAATTATTATACTGTAAATAAATTTAATAATAATGATTTTTATACTACAAACGAGGCTATTGCAGGAATAGATGTTTCAATTTGATTTCTACAGAACTTATGATTAGTCTATGCAATAAATTCTCTGTAATGTTGACTGATTTGGTAATGTGAACATCCTAATGCACCATAGAATAACGTGCGATTTTACGCCAAACATACCTTTATCACCCAATCCAGATTCGCCTAATAATTAAAAATGGATTTTATGGGAATTAAAGCTATGAATTTTTCTCAGTAATACTAAGTATGATCATTTTATCTACTTTATTGCAATTATTAGTTAATAGTGGATATGAAATGGAAGTAATAATTTCAATTTCGTCATGTGAAAATGGGAAGTAAAGTAGTTTAATATTTTATTGCAGGGAATTCCACTAAATTGTCCTAATCGAATGTTTAGATTTAAATCTGGTTCTTAGACACTCATCTGACCTTTTTCTCCTTTTAATCCTTGCATTCCAGGGCGTCCTGTTATTCCTAGAGATACGATACAAACCTGAATTAGTGCTCTTATGATTATTATAAGATTAAAGAGTTGATTCAAAATTTAAATTACACTACGAAATCGAGAAAGAAAGCTTATCAAATGATTGCATAAAATAAGGATGATATTGAAGCGGTGTCATAAGACCTCTATAGACTTCTTTGTACGTTAAAATTTGATTATTTTGGCAACTATAATTTACTTTTACTGCTCGTGAACATGATGATGTACCCCCCCCCCCAATTTTCTTACAATTCTTTATGGTAAAAGTGAAATATCTGTTTATCCAATATGCAATAGTCCGATCAGATCTATCCTGAATTTTATTACAGCGTATTATAAACTTTCTAAAGTGATAAAATATTGTATAGAAATGCTTGTATAATCTGCTGGAATACGTATTATTTCATCATTGGTTATAGAGCTTTTAATCTTACTAGTGATATAAAGTATTTCATCTGATATTCAAATCCTACCTCGAAAACCACGCTCTCCACGAGGCCCCGGCGGACCAGGTATACCTGGCGGCCCTCTAAGTTTTTCCCATGTTTTGATGACTAAATTGTGAATGTAAATATGAATTTCGATATTTCTCAACTATATAACATCATTAGTATAAAATGAGTTTAATCTCTATTTGTAATTATAGTTTTATAAATTATAACCTTATAGAAATAGAATCAGACACAAATACTGAATCGAAAGTTGTACGGATTCAGAATAGAATTTACTCGTAGATCGATGAGAAGTTATTCGACACTATTTTCGAAGTGGTTTTGACTACTGGTGAATGATGACGTGAAATTATCTTACCTGGTAACGACGTGTGGCCTAGAATAACAGCTAGATTTAAAGCAATGGAAATGGAACTGATGAAAAAGGTTAACCAGAAAACACAAGAAATGCCTTTATCGGTAATACTTAGAAATTTCATATAGAAAAGTGGTTAATGGCTGAAGCTTTGTAAAAAAGAAAAATGTCAAGATGCAACTGCTCGTTACTAATAACGGAATAGATATTTAAACTATAATTGGAATGATAACGCTATTTCACTATTTTTTACTCTTTCGAATGCCGTGCAAATGGGCTTCTTTCAAGAACTCGTATATTAATATTAACTAAGATCAAATGGCCTTGTGTAATAATACCTAGACATGATCATGCCTGAGTAATATAACAAAAGATTTTGTTCTATGTTCAATAATCTAAAACTATATACTGTATGATTGTATATCGAATCATGCGGCATTTATGACTGTCCACTGCTATTCCACCACGTTGGCAGAATATCCAACATCTGGTGGACAATTTATTATCAAGATGTTGCGCACTCCTTTCATGTACGAGTATATAGACCATCTAACAAGCCTTTTTGGATGTATACTATTGTTCATTCAATCCATTTCTTTCACTTGCTGATCAGTTATTATCAGAGTGTTGTTAATTATAGCTTTAAAATTAGTGTTTGGGAAAGATTTTAGCGCAGATAACGATTTTATTAAAGATACAGGTCAATATCTTATATCATTTATCTCTCTACCTCATCTTAAAGCGTTTTGATTTAAGTTCCGAACTGCTATTATTAGTGATAGTTTTAAAATAAGTATAGGATTCTGTTATTGATTTTCCATTAGACTCAAAAATGAATCAGTATAAACTATTGATTTGTAGTACCCACATGGCTAAACTATCCAATCAATTAATGACACATTGCCTTTATTTATAGCTTCCAAGATTAGAATAACATTGTTGAACTCACTTTATTTGGTTATAAAATAAAATTAATCAATATAAGCCATTGTTTCATTATATACACATAGCTAGGCTTAATCAGATAGATTACTTTTGCTTATAGTTTTTAATATTAATATTGAATTTCTAGTTCTCAATTAATAAGATATTTAACGAGTCTGTCTTAACTACGGGTCAAGAATATCGCTGAACCGAACTATTCAAAATAGAATTAATTTACCTATGGTTTTAAATGACTGTAATATGAGTATAGAAATTGATACTCTTTCTAGGCATAAAATAATATATTCATTGATATACTTTTAGTTTACTTTTACTTTAATCTTTCCAATTAAGTAATTGAGCTTAATTAAGATAGATCTCTAACGTTGGCTTATTTTATCTTTACGAACGGTCATGGCAACCTAAAATTTTCAATTAATTTATGAAAACTTTTCATTAGATTCAATTTGGAAAGGAGACAAAAATGAGAGTTGAGATTCTAGGCTTATTCACTGTATTGGGCTAAACAGTTTTATAAATTGCTTTTCGTAGAAATATGCCAACATCAATCATAACGTTATCACGTTCGCAGAATTTACTATTTAATAAATCCCTGAAAGACTTTCTTTAGATTTCTGTCTTGAAATTAACTTAAAAATTGGTCTCGGAGTTCGGCATTTATTTTACTGGATTGGATGAAGAGAATAGTGAAATACATGATATCTTTTTAAGCTAGATGTCCGCTTGATGGGATATCAAAATTAAGTTGTGGCAGCCTAATATTAATGATGTATCAGTATTCATGGCTTTAAATCAAGTATTATGCAGTGGTAGTAGTTACTATAAATCTCCAGCACCGATTTATTCCTTCAGAAATAAGTTCAGTAGAAATTACTGTTTGTTTTTAATATATTCACATGATTAAACTTCGAAACTAACTACATTGGTAGTTTGCATTTATTTATAGAATCGGGTGAAACTAACATAAAATTAGCAGATATCCGAGCAAATGAAACAACCAGTTCCTACATTTATTCCGGTCATGACTGTAGCCTAATTCAATAGCATACGCAATTAACACTGTATGAAATTATCGCAATTTCATGTAAACGTGAATATTTCCATGCAATCACGTCAATAACAGTTTTACAATATAGTCGTTATCTCCATGGACCTTCTATAGTATTCAAAATTGGATGGATGGATATGAATTTATTTACATTTTCAGTCATAAAATATCTAATGGATTTGAAAATGTTATATCCTGGATCTTAATTGATGATATTTTTTTCATGATTTTGTAAGAAAATATTTCGGAAAAGGCACGCTACTTAACACTTTCCTAACCAGCTTCATGTAATAGTTATCGAAAGTAATAAAAATCTCCATTGATATGCATGTACAGTATTGTAATGATGGCTTTTATGCTCTTCCTTCTCAACAGTGACAAATTAGCAGTAGTGCAAACTATCGAAATTACCATCTCAATGGGTAAGTAACAAATGTCAAACATCAATGCCATACAGCCGAATCTACCATACTACCATCAAAATCTTAACATCAACGCATTTATAAGTCTCATCAGATATAACTTTGAATGCCTACAGCTGCCCCCTTACTACAACATATGATATCACAAACCTGCTTATAGTTATTCAACTAGTAAGCTTGCTTTCAGTAACTGCAAGCAATCTTAAAAAGACTGTATCTTTATCTCCAAAATAAGTTTCAAAAATAATACCATAAATAAAATTTTAATCGAATAGAACAATAATTTTGTTTCATTTAGAAAAGTGGTATCATGTGCAGTATAGCGCATTCAGTTCATCAAAACTAAGAGTCTATCAAATCAATGATTAAGAACTTAGTTTCCCTTTTTGATAGCATAGCAAACATCATAAATGATTCCATCGAGTACTATTAATATTAGTAGTATACGAGCTTATTTTGATCATGATAGTAACATAATTTAATATTTACATTCCAACAGTGTAAGTTGCGAGATTTCCCTTACTAAACTTTATATCCAGCTTCCTACAGTAAAAGTTCGGCGTCTATGTCTACTAAAGGCCCAATTCATTTCCTTTAAGTAAACGTTTACAGCGCTTAAGTCGAATATGATAATTTCCTTTCTTAGTTAAATTGCCAATTTCTATGACTTCAACGTAGCCACGATTAATACCTGGTCCATCAATAATAACTTTGTCTCGATTTTTGACCTTTCAAATAGTTATAGAACAGAAAATGAAAGAATTGAGCTGCATTGACCATAATGTAAAATAGAACAAGGATAATGAAGTCATCATAAAGCTTAAATTAGATGTATCTCTTCAACAGTAATAGTATACGTCCATTTGTAAAGCACGAGTATTACAAATCTAGCGACTTGTTTTAAATTGCTATTCCAAGACAGGAATCAATTAATGGAATAAATGCCTAATCCATCAACGATAATTTTACTACATGTTAAGTTCTATTACCGCATTACTGTGATAAATCTGATTTACTTTAAATCCTGCAACCATATTTATGTTGATGCTGAAAGTAAGTTATAACTGTACAGATTATTATTTTAGCATGTAGAGCCAGCTTACGAATATTATTATTAATAGGTAATTCGCAACAATATGAAATTTTTTACCAGTAACAGGTACATTAGCACGATGAGAAAACACTAAGATTATTACTTTAATTTATATTAAAACTACGTGGAATACTAATTACTGCTTGTACATCAGCCTATAGTAGAAAATACTAATCTTATATTAGTATTGCTATACAAGCCCGATCAATTAGTAGAATGTATGTTACAATATTTAAATTAATTACTTAATTGTTAGTTACATCCATCTTTATCGCTAGCTAACGACAAATCATTACATTAAAGTATAAGATTAACTAGTGAAATAAACGAAATACCATGTCCTATGAGCCAACTTAATTCGAATATTCTGACCTGATTATTTATCATCTGTCGAAAGAAAGCTCTACTGTTATACATAAATGGGCTTCTGTTTTGCACTACAGCTGAAATTGACCTCCAATACTAATCAAAATAATTCTTGTGCTATGTGTAATTCTATAATTTCATATTTAAGTGCACTTAGTCCTTAATATCTCAATACATAGGACAACTAGAAGCGTTAACATTGATCATCAACCAAAATTAGTCAAGCTATTCCCTGAGTAACATGCAGTCTCTATTGCATCGTTGTGTCTCATAATCGTCATAATTTCTGCCCCTACATGTAATTCTATATTTTCATACATAAGTGCACTTATTCTTTAATATCTTAATGCAGAAGAAAATTGAAAACATTCACATTTATCCCAATCAAAATTAATCAAACTATTTCCTGAGTAACATGCTGCTTTTTCAATGCATTGTTGTGTTGTAGATGGGCCAGCTGTTGCAATTTACCTCAGCGCTTTTCTTTTTGATCTTGATTCCATTGACACTGACGTAACCACGTAAACAATATTCCCATAATTTCCTATACAACCAATTCAAGTTATGTAGATTGCCATCATGATGAAGTAAACTGCAGTATAATGATGGCCTCAAGAGCGATAACATCCATCCCTTCAGCCTAATTTAGTCGATGTCTGAAATCATCTTACCTGCGCGATATGCCTAACCCTTTGGATGCAATAGCATCGATTCTAAGCGATGTAGTCACGGTATCTATTTCTTTAAAAGTAGGATCGTCAGCTTTATTACTACTATACCTCAGTCTAGGCTTATTGAATACTAAATTTGTCCATAGCCGTCGCTGCGATCGGAATAAAGAGGCAATTGGTTGAAGGATTGATTTACTGGCCGCCATTGTGGACTATGTTATTCATTTCCACTGTATGTGGGGCTAGGAGGCGACGGTGACGGACGTATAGATGGACCGAGGGGATTACCAGATATCATGTATGATCAAAAGTAATCCTTGCCAAAGACAACAATACAGATATTGTGTACTATATTGTATGGGCCATAGTGGATGATCGAGATAGTAGACTATAAACCTGCCATAATGCAGCTTTGAGAGAACAAGAAATCGAGCTGAAGAAAAATTCTTCATCTTTAAATATCTTATTTTGCCTACTCTAAATTGCATAATAAGCTTGTTGATACGTTGATTCTAATTAGATGCATTTGAGCCTTTCAATGATCTAGAAGTTGAAGGATACTATTTCAACTGATGCAGTATCATTGCAGCATATGATGATATTTCTGCGTTTTTGCACATGCTGCCTAGGTCTTGGACGACTAGAAGAAAGAATCTTAACTTGTCGTAGTCCATGTCTAGGTCTAATCAGTCCAAGTCCAGCTACGCTGCTGATCTTAGTCATAATTTTATATATTCTAAACACTATCGATATTACTTTTAGGAAGGAGACCATTTTAAAATTCACATTATACAAGTACAAGATGGATAATTATGAATAATGGCCATGAACGAATTGGCTTCTCCTGCATAGTAGACTTTGGCAACTTCAGCTAAAATTCGTCACTACTAAATTAAATTTGAAAGGATATTAATAAAGAAGAACTTAATTTACTTTATGTCATAATCCAAATTTAGCATGGATGGACACCAGGCTCGCACCAGCATTGGCTTATGTTCCTACTTCCATAGCAGACTATTCATGAACTAATTATAAACCGATTGCCTTATTATTAACTTATTTTATTGCCTTCATTAGAAGCGCTATGCTGTATATAATTTCAAAATTGATAATGATATGTACAAATGATGCAAATCAAATGTAAAAAATTTTCGCATGGTCAAAACAAAGCAGATAGAAAGATCATTAAAAGATTGAGCATAAATTTTCTCCATATACATTATCAAATATAAATGTCGTGAAAATAGAAAACTGAGTATCAAAAATTTTTCAAGAATTCTTTCTAATAAATTTTATATACGTGTATATCAGTCATTGAGCTATGACGATTCAACCAACATACAAATGCAGAGTGGAATTTCCCTTGTTTCAGGGAAATACACGTCGGTGAATACTTTTACGACATCTCAAAATATCACTGAAAATTCAATTTTTTTATAGCTAGTACATAATCATCAATCCTGCGATTGATGAGCATGTTTCTTCTTTTTACTGTGTAGTTGCAGGATCATATATACCACTATCACTTTTACGTTACTATTTATTCCATGCAAAACCAATACGGTGAGCTACTTCACAAATATTTTGAGAGATAGATTCGTGATAGCTAAAATAAAATTCATGTATCGGAGTAAAATTGTCGTGGAATATTCTCCTGTGTTTTGAAACAAGAATATGATCGTCAATACTGTATTCATGGTCAAATGAAGACCTCATTCAAAATTTCTATCTCTGCTATTATTTAATGAATAATTAATGCAGTATCATGTCTATCGAAAACATACCCTATAACCCAGTATCTGAGCGGTTTACGTAATTTCTTTCCTCCTCCTCCTCCTACGCGTTCTGGTGAAAGAGTAAATAAGATACCTTGTTCATATACATTTAGGGATTTCTTTACAAATTTTGGCGACACATTTTCAGGCTTCTAAAATGAACACAATAATCAAAATATCTTCATAAATATGCCACATAACATTTTAGTGTTCTTGAATCATCACTCCATTACCAACCTTTCCTTGACCTTGTCGCGATAAAAAAGTATTTCTTATGACAGCACAGGCCCAATAAAATTTGGTGACGATTTTCCTCTGTAGCGCTCCGTCAATGGATGCCAATTCTCGCGATGTAGGGCTTATTAACATACCCGTTTTTGAATTTATACCAATATAATGGAATAAGACATTGATTTTTCCAGAGGTAACGTTACGTATACTAAATCCCTCGCTTCTGCTTTGTTCAACTGTGGTATCCAAATAGGAATAAGCAGTATTCGCCGATATCGCATTTTTACGTGAAACAATAGGGGAAGCTCTATGTAATCCATAAGAAGATGCCCGTTCGCGAGCTTGCGAGCTATCAGCTTCTAATAAATCATTTCCATGGGAGCTTGACAATTTTTCAGGATTTCCTAATGATGATAACGTCGTCATTCAATAGCTAATTTCGATCATCACTATATCCTAATTCGTGAAGCTCTGTATATGATAATATCGGATATATTTGCGTACTAAGGATAATTAAAGATATGAAAATCAGCAAGTTTAAAATTACCATTTCTTAACGTAGCGGCGGATACAGAACCATCGTCATTTGCACTTAACACTTTACGATCCACCACAGGTGAATTGGGCGGATTTTTATGGCGCGAGACATTTAAGCTTAAATTCGGCGATCTCAGTAAAAAATTAATACTACCACCAGAAGGGTGACGGTGATGATTGGGTGTATTACCTGTACTAACAGTAGAACGTCTAGATGATGCTGATAGCGATGAGCTACGCTTCACAGCGCTATCAGAAGTAGTGAAGGTATCTGCTGATGCCAGCTCTGCACACGATACATTGTTTATCCTGCGAAATATTAAAAGTATTTTGTATCATGATCCCTTACCAAGCTAACAAGGTTAATTTTGTATCTACTGCAACATTATCAAAACCTTTCATATTATCATTCATGCCGAAATTCATTCCAATCACACGAAACGAACCTGTCATCGCAAATGGCAAAGAAGCCATCACATTCTAGATATTTTATAGTGTCTCTAGCAGAATTAACATAAATCGGATCGGCTTCGCTCTGACTGATTATCATAAAATATTATTAGTGAGTACCATAATCGTCCATAAAAACGTCATGAATATCAAATTTGTTATAGAAACGTTATACTTGATCAATTTACTACAATATGTAAGACTTGTCTACCCTAAAATGATGGGCGTTGTTCCTTAATGACTTTACCTGATAGTATCAGATGGAATAATACATTCCAGTAAGGTAGCTATTACACAGGAATTCTAAAGTAAGCAGTAAATTATAACAAAGGTTAATTAAAATATATTTTTATCCATTCGTAAGGTATGTACAGTTTGTTATCGACAACGACAATAGCTGCTATGAAATAGAAGCTAATTATCCTGAAATTCAGTGCGATAGGCAGTTACACGAATACATGTGTTATTAAATATACCACAAACTATCAAATTTACCACGCATACAACCAGTAAATAGACGTAGCTATCTTCAGTGAAGACCCCATAACTACGTTTTTCACCTTGTAATCTTTGCAGATTCATCTATGGTATAAGCAATTCATATTACATTAATTATTTCTTCGATAGCAATTACCATCAGTATGCAATATCGCACCTTATGCCAAAGTGTTATATTACCGCCAATATGGCGCTTAGACGCATCCAAAAGACCATAGTAGAAACATAATAATCTAGTGTCTAAAAAGTCTTCATCGCGCATACGGCTAGCAACCAAGTAACCCTATCGTCAAGAATAGAAAAAAATGTCCAAATTCAAAATTACTATACGCTATAACAACAAGTATGTGTTGCTACACACCTTATAAAAGAGACAAGATCCTAAACTAGCATATGCACGCCGCGTATGCGTCATTTGTCCAGGCTATAATTAAGAAATTTAAAAACAGTAATTCAGGTTTCCTTGATATTTCTGATAAATTATTAATATATGTATCAATCTAAATTCACAAAAGGAGAATCTAAAGCTATTTCTCCTACCATTTGAAAATAGCTCCCACATTCTAATTTAGTCAGTGCTCCACTCACGAGAGCCTAAAATATACAATAAACTTTTATGGAAATTCTAAATAGCACGATATGAAATCAATCAAAAATGGCTGATGTTGAATGGCATTTTACATAGGGTGGTTTGGTTAAAAGTATTAAAATAGAATCATTGCGCAACTGAATTCTATACCTGATCAACATTTGGTAAAAAAAGACTTGGCGCAGCTTCAAACAAGTGTGCCAAATAAGTTGGATAAAACGCTTTTAAAAATCTCATACTTGCTAAATCAGTAGCTGGTGTAAGCAGTCGATATAGTGCATATTTAAATATCTTATTTAAATTTTGTTCATTCTGGGTACTGAAGAAGGCACTAGAGAATCAAGAGGAAGATTGACTTAACATAAAAATTAATTTTTGAATAAGATTATAACGTATTTGATAGAGAAATACACAAATTGCTGATTTTATAAAGGCTATTTTCATACCTGTGTAAAGATCCGTACAGTACTTTAAGTAATCTAGCAATATTTCTAATAGTTCTATTTAACAAAAATAATCCACATCTGTGCATAGCAAAAGCAATCATGAGGCGTAAGTCATTTAAAGTTAAAAATTATGATCATATGATAATCATGTTTGAATATCAATATTGAACTGGCTTAAATAAATATTTTAGCCTTAATGATGTTTCAATAATGAATTATACTTTGGTAATAAAGACAGTAAACGTGTTGTAAGTTTACCTCTGGTCTGGAACTGCTAATATAAATAAATTTTGTTCAAATTGGTAATATACTACATTAGTTATCATCTTGTCGATGAGTAAGGAGGTTCTATAATAGTAATTAAAAATTACAAAACTGTTTCAATTTTAAATTTAATTGATTCAACGAATATTGAAATTCACTTACGCAAATACATTATCCAACGTAACTTGCAATAGGACATCGCTCATGGTTAAAAATAATCCACGCAGAGCAGTCAACACCTTGGCTTGTGTGTCAGATAAACTAAATTTATAGACAATATCCTAATATGTGTAGATGACATAAAGTAGATGTGAGAATGTGTCATTCATCTGGTCAATTCCACTTTATCCATTTATTGATTCATTCAATGATTCGTTTTCATATGGCGGGAAATGAAAGAATATTGTAGAGCAAACCTTATCGCCATCTTCATCTGCTGACGATCCCATAGTCAAACATAATGCAACATGGGGGACCTGATAGAGATCAACCTCTTCGTCATTTTGTCGAGTATCGCCTTTAGAAACAATTAAGTCAGGATCTATTCTGGTTATCTTATCGGGTTGAATTTTAAAATCATCTTTCAAAAATGCGACTCTCGTTACCACTAACTCAATCTATATTGGAATAAGTATCAACATTGAACCATCGATGAGTGATATACCTTGGCATGGCCTGGCAAAAAATGATAACAGGAATCTTGCTATATAATATTTTTCTAACTTACCTCGCTAACTTCACCTAGGCTTTTTAATAGCTCATCAAGATTGCTGGTAGTGACTTCATGTCCATTAATAGAAATCAACTTATCACCTAGATAGTCAGAATACCTTATGAGATCATGGGTAGTGATTGATAAAAAAATGTTGACTCAACCTTATCTATCCTGATTTAACAAAGATAATTTCGACTAAAAATAATAGGAAAAAATACAAAGATGCAACAATATTACATTGTATGTTAGAATAATAAATTAATCCTATGATTTCTAAAATTTGTTTGCACATTCAAGTGTTGATTGTAAGTAGCTTACCTATGGATAACTGTCCACAACGATATGCTGGAGAATTAGAATCGATACCCGCTACTTGTAATATATCTAACTTTCCTTCTTGAATTGTTTCACTAAGTTCACCATAAAATTGCACTTTAATACCTAAGCTATCTTCTAAATCAGTTATGACAGTCGGTGTATCTAACTGAAGGGTAATCTTTCTAAAGACAACATCAGCCGCTCCAGCAGGTGAAATTGGATCATCCGTGGTTTGGATAGGACTATCGTCGTCTAAATGGGCAAATGGCCTGAACTTAATGGGTATAACATTCTTTAGCCATTTAATTTTGAAAGAATGGGATCGGCGGGCAGATGACGGTGGTGTTACGTCTAGATTGGATGGTTTACGATGCGAATGAAAGCTGCGATGCCTACAAAACATGAAGAATTCGAATACGTGTGATGATGAAAAAGTCTATCACAAGAATCCCGAAGGAGTTTACATCAAGATTATTTTAACGGTTTGCGAATCAATACCCTTGTCGCGCATATGCCCTTACAGTACTGTGTAAAATCATTTGATATACTTAAATCAGCCAAAGCCAACTATCACTATTTCTACATTGATTTCTCTAATCAAGTGGATACAACAATATTTGTAGCAGACTACTCTATCCTTGATTAAAACCTAGTAAAATTGATGATTATTATTGATTCTATGTTAATTGACAATACATGTCTTGTAGTTCCAACTGCGTAACGAGGCCACAGCATTGTTGGATTACCATTATGGAATCGATTGATGTTTGATTTACTCCTAAAGTCATAAATCGCCTTTCAATTCTGACAGTGACTGTTTGTAACTTATTTTATAAAGTAAAGACAAGATATTCTATAGAAATGAGCTAAGATCGATTACGCCATCGATGATTGATTTATCTAAGGTAAAGTAATTTAGATAAGCCGATAGCGATTGCATACTTGTGTGTCGAGAGATTGAATCCGTTGATTATAATTACTCGCTTACCTTCCTATTTTTACTTCCTTCTCTTCGGTCGCCATATTCGATTGGTTTAGAAATAGATTATAATACAACGACGATCACACTCATGATGATCGCCAATTCGCTCTTGGATGGATAATTCTATTAATTTCTTCTCTACTGGCTGTAATCACTTGCTGTCATCCGTCGATCCTTTTCAACACTTTACGATGCTATGAATTAATCAAGATGACCAGACTAGACTACCCAATAGCAAATGGAATAATCGGACTATTTAAAGTACATTGCTAGGACATGCTGGATGGATCACTATGCTCGATCCAGGGGATCAAGCAATCCAGGGTATAAATTTGTAAACTACCTAAGACGAAGAATTGAATGTTGTCAATTTGCAGCATGGAAGGCTGGCCTAACGCGTAGGGGCTGGAAAACCATCGCAGCCTGTCAACAACGCCGCGGGGGCAACATCGAGTCGTTAGCCCTGATGAGATGACACTGCTATACTGTAGACTGTATTGCAACGTACGATTTCAGACATGGTACGGACGAATGTGCTGGAGTAGGGGATGTCTGTCCGGCCCGGATTGACCGCTTGTGTCTGAATAACAAGTTGGCTTGTATGCGGTTAAGGGGAAACCGCGGGGTAGCGTCTAAAGCTCAGTCAAGTTCTGTACATTACAGCTGGAGACGAAGTGAATTTCTCCTCGCTGGGTCCATCTGGTCAAACCTGAGACTTGAAATTCTCTTATGAGAGGTGCATGAAAAAGTGTCGGCCTTGGATATAGTAGTTATTGATGACTAGACTTTGTTGATTGGAATCCCTTCTAACCACTGCATGTCATTTCGAAGTCATAGTCATACTCATGCCGTACGGTCATAGTGTACCATAGGCTACTCTATACATCCAGAAGTCCGTATCCTCCGTAGTATCTACCGCCATGGTATTACTACGTGTGGTGTGGACAGATGGACAGCAGACATCAACGCACTCCACCATCCCCCATCTTGGCAAGCTCGCACCATCAAGAATTTAGCTTGGAAAGAAACGCTTGTCCTTCATTCTGACGCATTGCTACAGGCTAAGAAACTCCCAACTATTTTTCCAGGATCTGAGTGCTGATATCCATTACTGTGGTAATGCGATGAGTATTTCTTTCTCTTTTTTGCATGCAATGATATTCCATAAGTTAAATTATCTGAAATGCCAGTAAGGACAAGCGTAATGGCTGCTACAGTACTACGTTGCATGCTAACATATCTACGTAACATTTGATCTTGCTAATGCATATTTTTTCTAACAATGTGAATCAAAATTGAGTTGTGCTACAGTAGAAGTTACTAACCAGCGAGCGTTGTTGGATTACACTCGTTTTATCTCACGATTTCGCAAAGTAAAGCAATAGCATTGATCTAATCGATTTGTAGGCTGTCGTTGGATTGGGAAAACCATCACTAGTCTAATCGCCTTGAGCTTGAAACCATTAGATCGTGGAAGAGAACCCCTTAATCATCGTGCTGAAAGCCAACTGACTTCAATTCTCATGGCGGCTTCTGTTTGTAAGCTATTATCGCGGTTAACCTTGTCTTCTAATGCTAAGACCTTGTTAACAAGTAACTTATCCAAAACTGCCTCTTGCATCACCACGGGTAAGGACAGAATGATGCATCGATTGATTCACATCTTTTAAAATGAAATTGCAATAATGGAGTGTACTTGTCTTATAGTTTTTCGTGCTATGTTGCGCACTATCGTTTATATACAGTACTAGTATATTATTGATCCTCATTTTGCTATCGATAGTGCCAAGCCTAGCCAATCCCATACCTTCTATCAATCTTCTAAAGAATGTCTCAATATTACAAAAGACCAATCTGGGTAAGTGATGTATAGCTTCACTTCTTTCTGAACCTGCTACCAATAATCCTCTATCATGATAGTTGGATGAATTACTAATCGAACCGATTGCTTGTAGCTACTTTAGCTACCGATAAACACGCAAGGAAAGATGAAATATGTTATCGATTTAATAAGGTTGAAGAATTAAAGAGGCAAGTAGTAAATGACCTAGAATGCAACATGTTATACATGTGCATATGGTCTAATTGGCTGTTTTACTAGTATACGTAATAGATAGTTGCTGGCCAAAATCGATAAGCTGAGTTTGTTATCCCATATTATGAAAGCTTATCTTTGGAAATTTTTAATCATTTAGTTGCGATGACGACATTGTCAAGAAGATTTTTGGTACTGAATTTGCAAGACAGGTAGAAAGCGTATTTATGCTTGATTATGAATAACGCGAAAACTTGCTCTTTCAGCCTTTCTTGATAGCTGTATTGAAATACGGTATTGACGTTATCCATTTGCTCGTATGTAATAAATTCATCGTTTGTTTATAACTTTATCAATTTCAAGTCGGAGTTAAATCGGTTGGCGATTCATGAGGCGATAAAAAAGTATCAAATGCATCCTAACGATTATGGATCTTCGCCTGTACAAGGTTTGTACATCTACCGTAGTTTTCATGGAACGCTTGTTCATTCGCCTACCATTGTCTGCTTACTATATCACATCACAGTTAGTAATATTATTCTTTATTTTATGGACCCATTTATGGTACGGAAATAATTGCCCGCGCTTATACAGTCGCGATTTTAACTACTCGTATACATCGATTGAGATATCATATGACATTGAATAAAAAGGTAAGTCCGTTTAAAATATTATAAAAGTGGATACAACACTTTACGATTATACTTTAACTTTCCAAAAAATGGACAACACTCTTGTTTATACCAATTTTAGGATAAGCATAACCGAAGGCGTTTATTGATGATGATCGATAAAAGAAAAAAGCACCTTAATTATTTGAAACGGAAAGATTTTACGATCTATTGTAAATTACTGGAAGAGCTCTTAATTAGGCCTACTATAAAACACAAATATGGCAAAATTAATCCTATAAAAAGGAAGCGTCGATTTTAAATTATCCAATTTATCTAGCTTTTCTGTCATACGGCACATTTTATGAAATCAATAATAAATTGCATGGCATCCATTGTACAGTATCAACAACACTTTTTGTTGTCCTTGACTAATTTCATCAGTAGAAATAGGATATATTAGGTTAAACCAGACTCATCCTGTGATACGAAATCTTTGCTATTATTATTTGATATTCAATATGTCAATGTACTGGGACAACCTGAACTACGTGCAGTGAATGAATGGTCTTGCTCCAAATTGTAGTAATCATTGCTGCTGGTAGAAATACTGCGTAGGTATACCATGTAAAAGCAGTGCAACGCAGCTACTGTACTGCTTTGTCAATTTCTGACGATATTGTAAGCGTCATCAATAAATAATAAAGTCTTATAGCATCCCTACTAAAATTCTCGTCATCTAAACGATGGATACAAGTAGTTGAATATATTAAAACGAAAAATCTTCAGATACGACTATCCTATTTAGAAGATCTGCTTTAATCCTCGAATGAGTAAAAGACTTTCTGCTAGCAGCTCTCTCGCCTTATAAATTTTTCATATAAAACTTTAATTAATTTATTTAATAAAAGTAGACATTTCCCAAAATTTAACTGATACTAATACTACACCATTTAAAATGTCTGCATTGATCTAGTAATGACTAGAGTAGAATCCGCCAACAGTTTATCTTCCTACAAATTACCTATACGAGCAGTTCAATTCATTAGGATATTTGAAAATATCCAAATTTTAACTAATGCTAACGCTGCTCTATTTCGAAATTATGTTCCGATCCTGGAATGATTAGAATAACTTGTGCTTACAGTTCTTCGTCTTTGAAATTATCTATATAAGCAATTCGAAATCAAAATGTCCAAATTTCAACTGATATTCACACTGCATCCTTTCCAAAGTCTGCAATGACCCTGGAATGATTGAAATGATTCCTGCTGATAGTCTTTCCTTTCCCTGTACCCATCCAAGCAATATAGTTATCAAATTTATTAAAATCTTCCTATTCAGTTAAACGCTATGGTATAGCTTTGGATGGTCTATCTTGATTCAAGTAGTATTAGAACCCTTTCCTCCATTTATTCTAGCATTATACTATCGTATACCGGCTGTATAAAGCACATGAGTCTATCTTTGTAGGCTATATGACAAGTAGACATTATTTATTGCTCATATTCTTCTTTTCCGGTATTACTTTAAGTGGGTTATTTTAATCCAAGTAGGATTAACCCTTCTCTCCATTTTAATTCCAGCTGCATATGGTCGTGTACTAACTGTTTAAAACGCCTGATTCTGCCTTTGTACACGGTCTGAGAAATGGACAATGTCAATGCTCATACAAATCTTTGCTTCCATTACTAAATAACATGCAATATACTATGTCATCGATAATGTAGCCATCTAGTTGAGCAGTACATAAAATAAATGTCGCCCCTATTCATCTTATTTAAGCAATCCAGCTATCGAGCGTTAGGCATACCATCCGATGAAAGTCTAAGGGTGACAATATTTTGCACAAGGTATGAGTGCCATACACGACCTTGTCAGAGGGTCTCATGACAACATTACGCCAAATTATCCTGCTGCTACCACCTCATATCAATCCACTTACCCTTGACTATGGATAAATGCACTGACCTACTATAACTATGGCTATCCTAGTCGGCAGCCAGCACAAAAGTAGCCATCATTCACTACGCCCATCCAGCAACATGGCCACGAATGATTAAATCTCTGTGGATAAACTCCTTCAAATTAACTCTCAACATGATCCAGGAAAGCTCCAGACACTAAATTTACAGACTATCATTGTCTATCTATCCAGTGAGTCCATGGCAACCAAATCGAATAAAGTATCCACTTGGCAGTGCACCTCCAAATGCAAGCTAATCGAACATGGTCGAAAGATCAATGAAGCCATTGCTACGAAATCTTTAATTTCAATCCAATCTTCATGGCATAGCTGTGCTAATGCTGATCATCAACATGATGCTTTAGGTCGGACGCCATTGCATATGGCCGCATCTTATGGCAGATATGATTTAGTTCGTTGGCTAATCAAGGATCGTAAATTAGATGTCAACGCTCGCGATGATGAATCTGGATGGACGCCATTACATCGTTGTCTTTTTTATGGCCATCTTGATGTTGCGGCATTGCTTGTTAAAGTGAGTCATACTTGCAATGGATCTTTGCAGTGAATCCTATATCATATTGTATGCTATTAATCAATAATGGACCTACTAACTAGGTCTAAAGTAATACAGACTTGACTTAAAGAGTTATCTATCATTTGTCCTCATTTATAGTACCAGCTATCATATTTGTTGATGTGAGACAGTTTGGCTCCATAATTGGAGTATAGTTTAGTTTTGGCTAACGTAATCTGATGTTGGTAGGAAAATTCTGAATTACATTTTTGCTGTACATCTTGCACTTCTTTGAATAGTTACTAAACACAATCAATTCAATATACTATAGTGGCAGCTCTAGCAAACTCGATGAATCCATGGCTACTACGATTGACGAGATCATTAAGATAGTCAACACTTTTCCTACCAGAGTTGATATAGAGTTTGATAGACTAACAGTTCTGTGCACGAGTTTAAGTACAGCAACTATATTTCAATTTAATATTATATAGTTGTATTTCTATCCTGTTAGATGAATGAATGATATGCAAGATCGATTATACAGTTATGATATGAAACAATCCTCAGATGATCATTTTTACATGTAGATAAGCTTAATTACATTAGGATACATTGGCTAGGGTACAGTACTCTGTGGGATAAATAGACAACAGTAGCTTATGCTGCTACTAATTTTTTTGCCTTAATTAATATCTTCAATCCACTTTTCTATTATATCGGTCTTACAATTTAAGATAACTCTGCTTTAATTGTTACAGTTAGGTGCAGATCTCTTTGCAGAGGATCGGGAAGGACTTACACCACTTGATATGGTTCTAATCGATCGAAAGCAGACGTTCCCATCACTCCATCTATCTCCGCCTGCTCATGTATTTACATGGGGATTAAATGATAACTTTACCTTAGGACATGCTGAATCGAATTGTCGCCTACCAGGCAGGGTTAAATTTATTACTGCCAGCCAAGCCGCAAAAACAATTTCCATCAAACAAGTACTGATATATATGTATATGTTGTCATATCCTAGAGCTAACAATGCTGCATACAACTCCAAATAAGATTGCCTTTATCTTAGAGTATTTAAAGATACGACAATATTATGCTATATTATGATATAAAGCATTGACTACTGATACCAGGATACTATTAGATAAATTCATTATTATGTGAAATAATTACATCAGCAAGTCATGATGGATCTTTCATGGCAGATAAATTCTCTGTTGCGATCTCCAATAGATAGCGATTAAAATTATGGTATGTTTTTTTTATTAATACCAATAGATTGTTATGTGCCAGTTTCATTCAGTATTTTTATCCCACGATGGAAGAGTTTTTACGTGTGGTCATGGACAAGGTGGCCGCTTAGGTATTGCCGATGAAGAAACAACATTACGTGCAAGTGAAATTAGCAGTATTACTGGAATAAAAATAGCACAAATTGCAGCTGCCCGTGATCACACTGTACTCTTAACCGATAAAGGTGCCGTTTACACCTTTGGTATGAATAACTATCATCAGTTAGGGCAAGTACCATCACCCAAAAGATGCCTTAAACCAAAACAGGTATGATATTTGTTATGAATATTTACTAACGTTACGGTAGAGTAGCGGAGAACATCATACCGTTGATGGTAATAGGATTGTTATCTAATTCCTGATATAGATTTCCAGTAAACATCTACATAATAAGGTCATGATTGGTATTGCTGCTGGAACATATCATACTGTTATGCATACAAATGAAGAACTTTATACCTGTGGCACCAATTACGGCCAGATCGGTCACGCTGCAATGGAAAGACAAGTTACCCTACCAAAATTAGTAAGCAGTCTATCACTAGAAAGCTCTACTGAATTGGTCAAGAGAAAAATTCAAATAGTGGCAACTTCTGAATATGCAACAGCTTGTACGACGGACGTTGGAGAAATTTATATTATGTCTGATTTTAATATTCGAAAGATTAGAATACCACGCGGGTACAAGCAATTGTAACATTTTACCGTGGTTAGTAACTCAGATGACATTAACTACAGTATACCATTATCTTTTCTATTTAGCCAACAATCTATTGAACGGCTTCGCCTTAAGAGTTTTGCAATACCGTCAAATAATTCCAACTCCAATGAACATCGAATAATGTTGTTTGTTATTTGCAAGCCCAATTTTCAACTTCTTTCCTGGACCAACGAATATCGGAAGTTATATATCTGCAAATGGGCTCAAAAACCGGACATGCATATCATGGATATAGCATTTACCGAAGATAACAAAGTTCTGATTTCAGCAGGCAATATATTTTTATTCAAATTTTAACTGTGCCAGCGTGGGCCCTTTGACTTAACATTAAATTTATCCAACTACAGAAAATGGCAAATGTTATCGTGGAAAAATTAAAAAGAAAGCATTTAAAGAATCGACAAAGTTATCGTCAACCATGCCGTCGTCCTTATCCTTAACTGAAATTTGTGTCCGATTAAATTCAGAAGTTATCCACTATTTAGATCTTAAACGTGTTCCACTTGTCCATCATGCAAAACAAGTAGCTATGGATGACAAAGGTTCCAATTTTGCAGTTCTACAATGGGATGCGTATCAAGGGTATGACTTAAATACTGTGCACTAGTATTATATACCAACCAATTTTTACCTATAACATGCTATTTTTTTTCAGTATGAATAATCGTGCGAGCAAGTCCGAATCCAAATTGAATGCAGATATGGCTAAATTGCTGCAAACTGCAAGCTTAAATGACCACATCCACGATATCATCATCAAGGTAAATCCTTTAAGTAGCCAAGTCATCACCTAATCTTAACTATTTGTAATAAAATACGAATACGTGTATCTGGAGTCTGAAGGGAACAAAAGCAGCTAAAAACTTGTTATCTGGAGGATATCCAATTTTATTGTCAGAATTAAGTGTGTATACTCATCATCCTATATTCACTGTTTTGCCTAAGCTTTAGCTATTACTATACTCGGATATAGGTCGACGGTTTGGTAATACCGTGTCATCGATTTGTACTATGCAGCAGAAGTATTGCGTTCGCCGAAATATTAGGGAAAGGAGCAGTTGATGAGGCTACTATGGGAATTTACCAGATCGACGATATGAGTTACGACGTAGCTATTAATCTTCTACAATTTATTTATACCCGCGATTGCATTTTACTACAACGAAATACCGCCTATAGCAGACAAAAAATGCAGGACTTGGAGACAAGTAACTCTAAATTGCCATTAACTGACATTGGTAATTATTTTAATCTATTTTAAATTCTGATTTTTAAATTATACGGTTATGTACATGATCTATGACGAATTGATGTTTAGAATTGTCAAGGAAAAAAATGGAGCATGAACAAGCATCGACAACTGCTAATTATGAAAAGACAAAGTATGGTTACATTCCGGTTAACGTTAAGGAACTACGTCGAGCTGCGAAGCATTATAAAATTCCAGGGTTACGAGAAAGGTTATTTCTTGACTATGTCGAAAGAGATAACTTAATTAGTAAATAAGCTCACTCTGTTCTATTTAATATGCTTGTGACTTTAGCATCGATGCGTTATATTATCGAGAACAATTTTCTGACGATTTAAATACTGCAAATATAGGAAAACTATGCTTCAATCATGACACCATGTTAGTTCCATCACAGCTTGTATTTATTGATATCTTGTACTTGTATTCTATCAATTTTCTAATCATTAGATATCATTTCAATTATTAATTAGCCAAGAATCTAGTGACTTTACTTTGGAAAGTAATGATGGTGAAACGTTCTGTTGCCACAAATGTATGTTTATACACCGTAGCGGTAAGTAATAGCGAGCACAATTGCCCAAAATTCCCACAGCATATACTTATTTATTCATTACAATCTATTGAATAAGATTTTTTCTAGCATGTTTAGTTGATAGAATGTCTTAACGTGATAATTTATAGGAAATTATTTATTTTTTTGATAATAGAATATTTTTTTAGCATGTTATCTTGCAGCTGGAAAGAGGTGCAGTACATTTTATTTTTATCATGCTTAAATCCAAGGTAATCATTTTAATTGACTAAAGTGTTGAATAAAATTTATGCTTTATAGTCTAAAGCGGGTCTAGTGCGCCTTAAATTGATGATACCTTCCGATTTATTAAAATGCATCGTGGAATACATATATAATGATAATACTGAAGTGTTTACAGGTTACTCCGATTTAAAAATTTTATTGATGCTACAACTTCGTTAGTATATCGATGTTCTAATTTCAAACCATTATTTGCTAATTACAGAATCCAATGATGCGGAATTTCTCAGTAACATTGTTGTAGCTGCGGATTATGTAAGATTTATATTTCGTTATCTACGTGTACCTGTTAGATACCTGTATATTCAATAACTTTGAACTTAAATTCTGTATGTTACGACACTCCTTCATTCAATACTAACTTTTTACTAATCTAGCTCCTCTTATCCGATTTGAAACAAATTTGTGAATGGAGATTGTCAAAGCTCAGTAAGTCTACCTGATTGATAGAGATAACCATAATCGTAACTACTTCTAGTGGATATTTACATATCCTATCTTTAAGCAAGTAAAGATTTCTCTATTCTTTCCATGATAGTCACCCTCAAAACTGTAATAACCTTTACCGATTTCTCGCTAACGTACAATGCCAAGTTATTGAATGATGCCTGCATAGAATTTATATGTATTAACCTTGGCTATCTACTAGAAGGAAGGTACTCATTATTAAAATTGTTTCCTCGAATTCATAACTCTTTTATAGACTTCGCAATTGATTTAGAAACTGATAATTAGCCTTATCAAATATTAATTTAAATTAAATTTAATAATTTGAAAAATATAGAATTTTTGACAATGTGACGTTATCAGTACTCGAAAATGTATCAGATATGTACAAGACAAAAGTAAGCAGGAGAAGTAATTTATTTTTTTAAATTAAATATTTTCATGATCGGAATAAATGATTGAAAATCTAAATACTCTTTTTCTTTCTGAATAAAGATTACAGGCATTCTTTCCAGAACTGTGTCGTTCCAATCAAGCCATATTGATTATACTTCTGCTTCTAACGACGGAGCTAGTTTCGTAACTTTGGAAAGCAATAGCAATGTTGAACCCTTAAAGGACGATCTTCCGAAATCAACGGTAGCAGCAAAATCATTGCATACTTCGACGCCAACAAAAGATATCCATAAAACTCTACCTAGTAGTAGTGGTGCCTGCAGCAAAATTGATGACAATACCCATTCTTCTGCCTCAGTTGAAGACAGTATCATGTCTGACATACTCGCGTATGACCTGAGTGATATATTAGATACTTCTGATACTCTGCTACTACCAGCAATAAATCAACAAGCCACGAATGAGGAAGCAAGCTTTACGACGACTATAAGCAAAAATAACGAAAACACCAACAGCAATTCAGTTTCTCAATCGAATAAAAAGAAGAAGAAGCGTAGTCAAAAAATGAGAAAAGCTGAGCTACTAAAGGTAGGAACAGCGGCTACGGTTACAGCAGAACCTCCAAAGGTGAGTATAATTAATTCTAGGCCTTTCTATTTGGCTTTACAAAGTAAAATTTTAAAATTTACCATGCACGTATGTTAGTATAGTGGGAAATTTAGGATATTTACTTATCGTATCATTGTATATATTTACGTTATGATTACATTTGTGAATCATCCTATTAATTTATCGCTTTGGTTTTGTTAGAATACACCACCTTTATCAAAAAGTCAGCCTACTGTTAATACGAACGCAAGTTCTCGCGTTAAAAAATGGAATAGGTGTGTTTCTTTTTTTATAAAACATACGAGTACGGTATGCTAAGCGAAAACATTAGGAATAAACTCTTGCAAACATAGAGCACTGACTATAGCTATTAAGCCTCCTTAATTAATTCCACTCCCATCATGTAGTTCTCAATCGGCTAATTCGAATAGTCTACTATCTATCATGGCAGAAGAAGAAGAAGTAGCAAGAAAGCAGCAGGCATGCTATCATTTTCAATGGATTCGACTCGCAGTACTGTATCTTAATCTAAGGTAGTGCTAATATTAATCATTATCATTTTGAACATATAGGATTCCTTACATCCGACGAAGCCAAACTCATATCAAAGGTTGATATCTTTCATGCTTAATTTTGTAACATAAACGGCACAGCTAAATGCAGCACGTAAAGTCGATATCACCTATCCCCGCATCATTCATTACTCATCGGTTTTTAACCAATTTCAGTGCAAATAATACGACTTATAACGAAGCTATTAAGTGGGGAGTTGCGCAAGATGTTAAGAAAAAGTCAAATCGTCAAAGGAATATTTCGACAAGTAGTAATATTAGCTTAAGTAGTAATGAAACGGAAATGCTAGCTAGCTCATCATCAAAATGTCCTTGGTAGGATTCATATAATTTGCCTAAATCTTGAATAATTTTGAAATATCATATTTACGAGTCAAAGTTTAAATGCTGCAATATGGTACTTTATCAGGGGCAATGTTAAACAAAGTGCATCATTCTCGCTTGGAGATGTTATGAAGCAGGAGGAGGTTGCCCGGTTGGATGGTCGTGGCTCTAATAATAGGAAAGTGCAATCAAGCAGGTATTTCAAAACAAATGAATTAGTCAATTTTCTTCTTATTCGCTTCTATTTTAGTTCAAATTTATGAATATCTGACAAATTCGTCTTATAGCTCTTCATCGAAAACAATGCCTTCAAAAGGAACATCAAGATTTTTAGACATTGTTAGCTCTCAAGCAGAAGAAAATTATATTTCGTTTAGGTATGTACTCTATAATTGACTACATTATTAAGTGACTATGCAGTTTCCAGTAACCACTAAACATTAATTTCTTTCAAAGCTAACTAGTCAAGTAATTGATATCATACGAGATTAACCTATTTAGGCTCTAAATATTAATTTATCTATTTAAATTGCGTATGTAGACGCGGGAAAAAGAGCTTGTCATCAATACAGGTAAATTGACTTTATTTTACCGTATTGATTTTATCAAAATAACTTGGTATAGCATAATTTAATCTTTAGGAAATGTTTATCATTATAGTTAGAGGAAAAAGCAATGTCCGAGCTACTGCATGAATATGGTGGACGATATAATCCTGAAGAATATATCATTGTGGAATATGAAAGGCCGGAAGTATCATTAAATCCTTCATGGTTTAGAAAATAAACTAATTGCCGGTAATGGAACGTTTCTGTCTTAAACTATAATTACTCTTAAACGTATTATTCTAATTAAATCTTATACAGCTATCTTTATCTGTATACGCATTAATCATTTCTTAGAATGACCTTGCATTTGTATAAATTTTAGGTGAAGGTGTCTCATGACAGTTGACTCCCCCAAGAAACAGCAAAATATTATCATTGAATAGACTACATAACAACGAACAATTTCTTGACTCTTCTTGAGAACTACCTTATCTGTTTAGAAAAATTATAAAATAATGTAAATTTAAAAGCTATAAAGTATTACAGCTAAACATATTCCCTATATCCTACGTTCACCATTTATTGAAGCAAAGATAGTTTTGTAAAACTTGCATATTTTAACGTTATTCATATTTCTACAATTGATAAAACAATGAAATCTATTATACCTAATAACAATCATGATATAGGAGATTTCTTTTAATACATACAATTTTCATTGACGGCATGTGTAAATATCATATAGGGACTTTTCTTTACGGAATCGCCTTGTCGATATAAGAGTTTCCTATTTGAAGTTGTTTTTCTCTTCATTGTTAAAACATCTTGAAAATTTATTGTTTTTTAAGAATAGCGATTTCAAAGTATAATATTATCGTAATCCGGATATTTATTTCTTCAAACAAGATTAGGGATTTTTATCATGCCAATGACTTGCCCATATATATTTCTAATAATAAGTATATGGAGAAATTCTTTATTATTAACTAGAAAATTCAGTTATCAAGAAGCCTATTGTACGAGACGATCGATGAAATCTTAGCGTAACATAATATGATCTACTATCTGCCTTTGTATATTTCAAAACTAATAGAAGCCCTCTAAATATAAAATTCTGATTTTTATTAATGTATTTTTACATTCTATCAATAATAATCAAATTTAAGTTTGAGAATACACCTCAATATATTTTCAATAGCTTTACAGAATACATGCGTTAGAAAAGTATCGAGCTAAGCCGATCTTTTTTGATCAAAAGTTTGTTACAAGTTATAATTATATGGACATTTTACGTTATGATACACAAAAGTTATAGCAAACACGTACTGATTAATTATCAAATTAATGATATAATTATATATTTCTAAATAAACTTTTCTCTTAATACGAATAAAATCTCAACAATCTTGATAGAATTACTTACCGTACTCTTAATTCGCTATGGCTTAGGCCCTCACCTTTTAAACAATTATTATTTTACATAGATACTATTCAAACGGTCCAATTTTAAGTGCTATTTTATTTCAGTAACTTGCATTTGTATAGAAACTAAACTATGATAAAAATAAACATGCTTATCGAGGCGCAACTGAATGAATATAATTATCATGAAACTGATGCGAATATTAGTCTACCGTTCATGCTAAATGTTATAAAATAGATTCTAGCAAAAATCATCCTTCATACAATAATCGATGGCATCTCAGAGTGATGAGAATGGTCATTTTTTTACCCTATTACGAAGTTTTAATTAAATCATTAATAGTTACAGTATGAAATTACCAGAAGATTTCATAACCGAAGACAATACGTTCATTATGGCCTTAGTTAGATTTTAGAATAATTATGTTTATTGTAATAGAACGGGCTCTTTATATTAGCAAGATTTGTATGATATTCATAGAGCTGAAATTATTCTTTGTTTATATAGATTTTCGTAACGAGAGCTATTTATAAAATAAAAATAGACTCAAAGAAATTTGCTAATGCATTCTATAATAAGAAATAACACTGTAGTCATAGCCTGTCTTGAATTTAGAATACTAGTTAGGTATTACAGTACGAGTGGATGAGATTTGTGCAATTGTGCAATACGATTCAAGGCACGAAATTGATCCTTGGGTGTAATTTCTCTTAGTAAACCAATTGCACGAGCTACCTTAACGGCTTATTTGTTAAGATATTCCATACAAGAAATGAAGTAGGCTATTCTAATTTTAGCGTCATAATTCTACCCGGCCTTGATAGTGGAATACTGAGATTGATTCAAAGGTCAACAGGATGCATAGATAATGATTTAAATGCTGAAATAAGAGTATCTATCTACCTTACGTTGGCCAATCTTATCTATTTCGTTTATTAGCCTGTAACGTATCCATTTGTGAAATTGGCCATCACAGTAGATATTTTTATCCGTATCAAAATACTTATTCATAGCCTACTTTTACGTAATTGGCAATCATGGCAGATTTTTATTGATAGCAAAATATTTATTGATAGTTCACTTTATAGAACTTGTTTACGGATACAAATATCAATCAAATATTATCACAGTATAATAATGATGATGCAGATAGTTCACATTTCACTATCTTTTAGTCAATAAAAATTTATAATTTTGGTGCTAAAAATTCTTTCAACGTATTTATCTACAGTAGTTATTATGTCATTATTCCATTTTAAATCAATAAAATTTATAAATTAGTGCGATATGTTCACCAGGAGTAAATTATCTGGGATACTTATTGCATTCTTAGGGTCAGCTTGAATAGTTATACTACTAAATTATACCGTTCATCTTTTGTGTCTGATATCGTTTAGAAATATAATAGCTGATGTAATTAATTGGTATTACTATTAATTGCTTATCTGTCGGGATTAATATAGTTTCAACTTCAATGCTTCTAAATATCGAACTGATTCGTCTGTATTCTAATTTATTATTAATCTCAGTATAACAGAACATAGCTAAACAATTGATGACATAGTTATTTCGTATTTGGCTATCAAAAATTTGCAATTTTCGCATATGAAATGAAGAAGTCAATTGTATAATTCGTCATATTTAAAATAATTGCTTCACTAATACGTAATAAAAATAGTGCAGTACTGCTAATATTCTAAATAAAGTACTAAGGTGCTCAGCTTCTCTAGCAAGCCGCTAAAATATAATTTATAAAATTAAGAAAAAAACATCCTAAATTGAGATTAATATTTAGACGCTTGCATTCTGTAGTAATAGCATGGATGATGAATAATTTCATACTAAAATAACTATTTACTTAAAATTCGTAGGAGGTCAATACATCCTAAGAGACTCAACTTCCTCTCGGTATAAAGGGCAATTTCAGATAGAAATCCCCTTAATATATATCAATTCGGCTTGTGAGTTTATTATTTCTACGTAAAGCCGTTAACAATGATTCGGTCATCGTTAGCTGCAAGCAAAAAATTGACTACCGGTAATAAATTAACACCCTATTCATCTTAATAAATATTATGCAGTCTAGTATGATTATATTGTACTCCCACTCTCTCAATCATTCTAATAAAATTCTAAACCATTTTAATTTCTTATCTCATCGGTTATTATATCTATTCATAAAATAATGGCATTACACGCCTAATTTTTCTTGCTTTTCAGCCTAAGGCTAGGCTAATACATTAATTCTATATTGATAAATCATCTATTACAATTCTTCATAACAATATTCTCTGCCAAATTTAAATTATTTCCTACAAAATACGAAAAGTCTACCGTGTATTTGTATCTCATTAGCAATCTATTACAAATTATACCGATGTATTATATTGCTAATTAACGTTGTTTTAGCGAAATACTAAGGCAAATTATGTACTCTTATGTCATTAATAATTATGTAATCTGTTACAATTCAAAATCTTCATTATGCATTCAGTTTCTTTCAAATAGGGCCCGTTACAGCATAATTAATATTCTCATATACTTAGTAATTCTATTACACTTTATAACTACTGTCCGATTATGCAGTTTAATATTTCTAAAATATTAGTAGGATATATAAAATACTTCTATATCAATAATAAACCGTTTTACTTTAGAATAATAGTATAACATGCTTTTACCTATCATTTCCAATGCAACCCTAATAGATATCCTATATTAGGCATCATTACTAATTAACTATTTCCATTGTAATTCATTACATATCATGACTATGCCATGTGTTCCTGTCTGGTTCGAATTTCTACGAGACTACTAAGGCATATGGGGTAACCTTAGATCATAAAGGATCTATTAAAATTTCTACTCGAATATTGCAAGCCAAAGTCATGTAACTTCCAACAGAATGCTAAACCGAAGTATAGCTATACTTTGTAAATCTACTTAGAAATGGCGTTAAATTTTGCGGCTGCTATGAATTCTAATCTATATTATAATGTAAATGATATTGCTATAATTTAACGGTATCTCACCGCTATTTAGAGCTAAATTCTATCTTATAATAGGTAATGAGGACCATGAAAACTTTAAAATAGTCTCGGACAGCATTCAATTTAACTTATTACCTAAACCCTTTATAAATCATTTGGTTATTTTAAAACAATCCTATTATGGGCAGTATTTAAAAATATACAATGAAAATAATCACGTCTCAGTTCCTATATTAGAGTCTCGGTTACATTATGTTTACGCTTATGCAGGTATTATATTATTGCCCAAAATAAATTAGATATCCATTGATATTAAATTATGTAACAGGATAGCACAACTGATTAATACAATTTATTTCTTATCAGCAATTTCGACTTATAAAAATATTCAAATTGAGTTATAATCAGAAATTTATAGAAAGACTAAAGAGTCTTTCTGTTTACGAAGAGATACATATCCACTTTTAACCGATTTTTCATTATTACTTCGTGGTAGTTAGCATGTAGACTAGAGTCTAATATCATGTTTATTTGAATATAGGCAGGCAATATTATTCAATATTTCAATCGTCGATGGAATAGACTACTATACATTATTGATATGATATTTATTCTGTCGATAAAATCGAAGGTAATTTAGTAGATACAGACCCACCAATTTCAATATTGAACTGTTTATTGGAATCCTTGCATGTCTTGAAGTACTTAGAATAAAATTGAACGTCTCATTTATTGTCCAAAATTCCAGTCCTTGATCTCCCTATTTCGCTATTAAAACAGTAATTAACGAGAATTAATAAGCAGGGGACAACAATCTACTAAAAT